GAGGCGCTGCACCAGCAGCTGATCGACATAGAGGCGGAGATGTTTGAGGAGTTGGGGCTGCATTTCAAGGTGCCGTACTATGGTGTTGGGGGGATGTGGGGGGACCCGGGGGGGAAGGAGGTGTGTCTGACCTGGGGTCGAGTTGAGGAGTGTAGATTCCATAGCCGCAGTAGCAACCGGTGAGGCGAGGGGAAGGGGGAAAGCCACGCGAAGTAGGGGGGCCGCGAGGGGGCGGATGGAAGGGTGGCACGGACTGACTGACTCGAAGTGACTGAGGGCTGACGGCATGCCTCCCAACACAGTCATGATGGTGTTAGTGGTAGTAGGTTGTTGATGTTGTTATATTACAGGTTTAGGTGTGTACGGCTGCATCGCAATGACGGTATGTTGCCGTACCGGTGCCCTGGTGCCGCAGGTTCTGGATATGCCCAGCGGCGACCTGGGGGCTCCCGCGTACCGCAAGTATGACGTTGAGGCCTGGATGCCAGGACTGCAGCGGTACGGCGAGATCTCCTCCGCTTCCAACTGTACGGACTATCAGTCCCGCCGCCTGAACATCCGGTACAGGTGCGTGTGTGTGTGTGTGCGTGTGTGTGTGTGTGTGTGTGTGTGTGTGTGTGTGTGTGTGTGTGTGTGTGTGTGTGTGTGTGTGTGTGTGTGTGTGTGTGTGTGTGTGTGTGTGTGTGTGTGTGTGTGTGTGTGTTCGTGCGTCAGACGCAAGCAATTATTAAACCCTACACTGCTGTTGCTGCTGCTGTTGTCGTCGTCGTCGTCGTCGTTGTCGTGATGGTGGTTGTGCCGGCTGCACGGGGGGGTAATTGGGGCCCCCAATGGCATCAGGGATATGGGGACTGCGGGCGTTTGAACTGCTAGATCTACCCGCACACCTCTCAACTCATATGCACACATATGCACATATGGGGGGTTATAAATATATGCATATATACCCTCACACACATGTACGTATACATGTATTTACCACACACAAACACCGGTTCCATGCTCCCCTCCACCCACACCTCCTCAGTTCAAATCTTGTTTATCGCATTCATACCTTCCACTCCCTTTTCCCCCTATCCTTGCCGCCCTTCTCCTGCAGACCGGCTGCGGCTGCCAAGGCTGCTGCCGAAGCGGACGGCGCAGCCAGCAGCAGCGGCGGCGGTAAGAAGGGCGGTAAGAAGGGCGGTGGCGGCGGCAGCGGCAAGACCGAATTTGTGCACACGCTCAACGCGACTGCGTGTGCGGTGCCCCGAATGATTGTGGCGATTCTGGAGAACTTCCAACAGGAGGACGGCAGCGTGGTGGTGCCGCCGCCGCTGCGGCCCTACCTGGGTGGCATGGAGGTCATCAGGCAGCCCGCACTGGCTGCCGGCAAGGCGTGAAGGAATACGGAGGCTCTAAGGCGGACCAGGGGTGGTGTGGCCGTCGTGGAATGGAATTGAGGGGGGTTCGACACGCCGGGTGTGCAGGGGTTGCAGAGTGCTGGACCTTGGCGGGGGTTGTGTGGTGATCGGTGTGTTGCCGTGCTTTTCCCTGGGTTATAGAGTTGGATTATGTACGTGGCGAGATAGGTGAAGTAAGGAATCGTTGCCGTGTAAATCTTATCACGGGCTTTTAACCTACACTGCAATAAGGTCAACGAAATGCTCTATCGGGTTGTGACCGCTAGCCATGTTTGCAGTGAAGCAGGGAGAGGATGAATTCTGTTCACTTAGCAACGGTGTTGCAGCTTGTTCTCGGTGATGTGGGAATAAGTTCGACCCTAGGACAGTTCAGTTGGCTGCTGTCAGCTGCGGTTGAGTTAGCAAGGCTATGGCAAGAGGTGGGTGACGATAATGGCCGTACAACACTAGCAAGTAACTTGAAAGTGTTCGTGGTGAACCGTGCGTTGCCATTACTGCACGCTAGCCAATGAACACAACCTGGCGTAAGAGAACATGCAGGCAAGAGATCGTCATCTTTTCATCGTGGATGATTTCTTGCAGGAATCTGGACGTGAGAAATGCCGCCAAGGTGTCAGCAGGACAAGAAAAGGCAGACGCGATTCCAACCATTAAGAATTACATGCGCCTATGTTTGGAATTTAGTGCACAAGGCGCCGCGCATAATCTTCTCAAAACTGCCTGTGCACTGCAAACAATAGACCTTAATAACAGAACATAACTGCAAAGCGTTGCCTAGTTCCTCAAACCAAGCTCTGCTTGCCCGACTCACTCCGGCACACAAGCACCTGAGCCATGCACCCTTAGAGCACTGTCGGTACCTGCAACTAGCACGTCCGCCAGAATGCTCTCGTCAAAACGACACTTACACCATCCTTCACTACGCTAGACAACCTCCAGTGCGCAAAGCTCACTGCCGATCTCCCAGCCCGCGCTCCCCGACTAAGGCGCTTAATCGCGCTTCACCGAGTCGAACTTGGACACGGCGGTGATGGCAATAGCGATCCCGCCAAGCACCACACCTCCAGCAACCAGAGAGTACAGGAAGTTGCGCAGCGACGGGGTCACGGCAGCCTCCGCCACGGAAGGAAGCGCCAGAGTAGCAGCTGAGGCAGCAGACAGGCCAGCAACCAGGGCCTTCTTGCTGATCTGGGCAGGCTCAGCACTGCAGTCCAGGACAACAGACATAAAGTTAGCAGCTTGAAATCGCGCCAAGCACCACACTTGCAAAAGCAAGTCAGACATTTTTACCTGGCACGGACCACCAGGCGAGCGGCCGGGCGAGCAACCGCTGCGAAAGGAAAGACAAGAAAAAGATCGGTATTGTGCTAATGGAATGTAAAGAGGTTGGTCATGTCTAGCAGGTGCTTACCCACGCGGCGAGTGGCCGCCGGGCGGACAGCCACAGCCTTCTGGGAGACGCACACAGCGGCCATTTTGCTCGCTAAGGAGGTAAATAAAGCGAGAAGTGCCTTGGAAGTGCGCGGTGGGGTGCTGAATGTGACGGATGGGATGCAGCGATAAAAGGGCATCCTCTCTAGTGATCGGGGGCCCTACTTGTACGGATGAGACTACTGCAGCGATTTCCCAGGGATGGGGACATATTTTCTTTTCCTTACGATTGCAAATGTTCGCATTGGTTGGCGGTATGATAGAGATGATGGGACTGTTTCACCTTCGGCGTTTAGTTAGCTGATGACCTCTTTCGGAGGACACCGCTCCACAGCAAAATCTCTGAACAGCTTCGTTGCTCTAAAGAATATTCGTCCCGATTGCGCACGGACGGTTGCATACTCTCTGCCTGGCCTTTTGGTCTTGCATGTGGACATTCTCTGCCCATAGAACGCTTTGGACGACCTGTATAATGCACAGATGCAAGCAAAGAATTTCCGATGTAGTTTCGTCCATCGCCTGCTCCCAGATGCTATGCCAAGGTTCCCACAGTCACGCCACCCTGTTCACACGGGACAGTATGCACTTGCTTGGTGTTCCTTGACAGGATGGCAGTTCTCGTCCCCCATGTAGTGGCCTTAGGTTGGCCCTTCATCGCATCCAGTAACCCCACAATCCTGAAGAATTATTGCGGCCGCTGTTGTTTCCCGGCTCAGCTGTTTCCACTTGGCCAACGGGACAACCCGACCTTCAAATCGCCGCGTGTTGCTGGCCGACTGTGGTTTTGACCTTAGACACGCGCATCCTCCAGTCACTAGCAGTGAGTACCGCATGGTACACGCATGCACGGCATTGTGGTAACTACCCCAGCAAGAATGTTGCTGGTAAGGGTTCCGCGTTTGGATCGGTGCCCAACAGGCGACTGCACGCGAGTTTTGGAGCAAGGAAATTCCTACGATAGGCCCGTATAGGTCGTGGATATTCCCCAGTTACAATCGGAGCATGTTCATCCCATCCCACGCGCTACCGGTGAACGATGGGACACCAGACTATGGGAGCACAGATTACCTACCAAAAGGAGAAAAGATGTTGGCGTTTTTGCCAATCCGCCAGTCCTACCCTAAAAGACCCAACCCCGGTACAACCCATCCGCAAAACGTTGCCAACCCCCCTCAAGAGACCTCGCACACTCCGCCACGACTCCAAACACCCACAGTAGCATTCGGGCCGCGAGCAGTTCCGTCACTCTATGGCTGGGTAGTATGTACGTAACGCCTTATAGCAAGGGATATTCTTTCAGGTAGCAAGCTTCGTGGGTCAGCAGTTTTCTGCATACAGACACGCCGTCGCCTCGCATGGCGTAGGGGCCCTCGCCGCGGCCACAGCACCTGACCGCCTACGCCGAACCCTTAACCAGCGGACACGAGCCATCTACACGCAGATATACCGCAAGCTCGTACCTCAACTTTCATGATCACTGCTACCTACCTTCAGCACCATCATCACCACCACTATACCATCATTGCCAGCTACACCAGCTGACAACTTACGTCACTGCAAACCGCACTCTTCGCGCGCACGCACACCCTCAGCCCGCGCCACCAGCTACACCCCCTTTCGCAGCTACACCCCCCCAACCGCGCCGCATGCCCCTGGCCCCCTTCCCCCAAGCAGCCGCTGCTGCGGCAGCATACCCCCCGAAGTTGCATGTCCATATACATACCCACCCTACTACTTGCTCCCATTCGAGGCCGCAGCAATCGATGACGCCGGTGCCGTCACGGACCTCGGCCCCGTGTACGCAGCGCTCTGCGTGAGGGTGCCATTCTGGGTCGCCACCATGTACCCGATGCAGGCCACTGCCAGCACCGAAACGGGCGTCACCAGGGGCGCCGCCGCCGCCGCCAGGCCCGTCGATGGGGGCGCCGGCGGACGGCAGGCGTGCAGCAGCGCCAGCGCCGCCGTGAAAAGGTTAAGGGCATTGGCCTGGTGGGCGCTCCCTAAGGCCACGGGCACGTACTGCAGCAGCGTGTAGATACCCAGCGCGAACTGCACCCCGGGGGTGAGGAAGGGCCGACGGGGCTTAGAAGGAATATAATACCGAAACGTCGACGAACAGCAAAACACCCAAATGGGGAAGGGGGCTGAACGGAGCTTTACGGCGGAGCGTACGGGAAGAAGGGTTGTCTCAAGGGAAGAATAAAACAACCTACACCGTCTCCTCGTCCACCCTTCGCCCAGCCGCTTTGGACCTTGGACATCGGCACAGTCCACTTCCCACTTTCTCGCACACGACTTCCACCCCTCGCCCAGCCCCCACCTGCGCCGCCGTGATCGCCGCCACTGCATGCAGGCAGCGGGTGGCCCGACCCGGCAGGTGGTCTCGCCCCTTGTGACCCAGCCAGACAGCTCCCACAGCCAGCAGCGTAGCGGTGGCCAGGCAACTGCGGTAAGCAAGGGCGGGGACGCGGGAGGTGGCGAGAAGATAATAGGGGGGTAGGGGGGAAGGGAGGGAGGGGGTTGACGAAAACAAAGGATGAGGCAACCTCGGTGTGGAGAGCTGGAGGCGGAAGTGGCAGCAGCACATCCAAGGACGGAATCCCAGAGGCATAGGGCGGGTGAGGGGTTCGGGTCAGGAGGAGGGAATACGAATCGGCTACAGTTGAGTGACCGGACATACCCCGAGAGGGGCCAAAACATGCGTATCCCCCTCTCCCCCTCCCCCTTCCCCCTTCCCACTACCCCCGACCCCTTCCCCCTACCCCGACCCCCTACCCCTTCCTCCTACCCCCTTCCCCGTACCCCGACCCCTCCCTGACAGCGCCTCACCGGTGGTTGAACTGCACCGCGGCGGTGTTCTCAAACAGGTTCCGGAGCGGTGTCAGCCCCAGTCGCTCGTCCCAGTACTCCTCAGGAACCAGGCGCCCACCCATGAGCGGATACGTGTTGTAGGCACGACCCGCGTCCATGCCTGCTCGTGGAAGGGAGAGGGGCGGTTGCGCGGCGTTGAAATGCGCACGCGAGGGTAATACACCGTCGTGATGACGACGGGCAAAAAGGTGGAAGAGTAATGGATACGCGAGCTTGCAGCCTTCCAAAAACATCCCCTCTCTCATTCCTCAGCTTTTCAGTACAACCTCAGCATCTCCGCCATCTACCCCCAGCCCGCCCATCCACCTACCCGCCACGAAGGCCCCGGATGTAGCTGTCACGGCGATGAGCGCTGCCAGGGGCAGTAGCACCCGGCGGGCGGCGGCAGTGGTGCGCAACAGCCCCTCGGGGGCACCTAGGGTAGCGGGCTGCGGGTACAGCAAATCTGGCGGGGGGTATGTACGGCGAGGGACGGAGAATGTAGTGCGGGAAAGGGAAGCGGAGAAATGAACATGATGTGAAAGAACCGGAAAGAAACACTCTTCACCCGGCCCCTTCCCCATTCACCTGGGAAGATTTCCCCCCATCCACCCCCACCCCTTAGGATAGGAACATCACCTCCCCCCTCCTCCTCCCCCCGATAGCCCTGCCCCCTCCCCAGCCATCTGCACCTCCCCCCCCCTCTCCCTCCCTCCCCCTCTCGCTCACCCAGTGTGGTCCACACCAACGTGGCGTATATGGCGAATGCCGACACCAGGTGTGCGGCCAGGCGGTAGGGGGACACGCGGGGGGCAGCCCACTCGTGCTCAGGCTCCTGAAGGGGTTAGGGGAGCGGGTAGGGGAGCGGGTAGGGGAGGGGGTAGGGGAGCGGGTAGGGGAGGGGGTAGGGGAGGGGGTAGGGGTCATGTGCAAGAAACGCAGGGGAGGATCAAGTACTGACTGTATGATGGGCCGGAGGGGGACATCAGGCAGGGGTGAGATGGAGCGTGTGGGGTTTGCGGGGGCCCCTGGAGCGGAAGAAGGTGGCGGTGTGGTAAGGAAGGGACATAGTTTGGCAGTAGGCATTGGGGCTTCGTTTGGGAGTGCAGCCGTCGGGAAGGGGCCGTTGGGGAGTCCGTCGTCTGGGGTGCGAGTGGGGGTGCGAGTGGGGGTCGCGGTGGAGGCGACGGGGCTCAAGAGGTAATGAAGGAGAACTCCTGGTGCACATGCCGCAGATAATGACCAGCGGGGAGGGACAGAAAGCGATCGACAGGTAAGGCCCGGGTGATCGGCATGGGGGAAGAACTTATGCAAGGAAACAAGGAAACAACGCCGCCGTCCAAAGGTTGAATCTACCTAGTGAGTCCAAAGCGATAAAGCCACTGACCCAAGCATCGGCATGGGGGAACGCTGAGGGGGAAGAAACCCAGGGGGGGGGACGAAGGGGAAAGACCAAACCCACAAACCCGCACGTACCTCCAGGCCGCTCCGCACCATCCACCAGCCCACCAGGCCCTGAGTTCCCCCCATGAAGAACAGCAGGCCCAGCCGCCGACCCAGTGCTCGGGTCACCCAGCCTCGCGCTAGGAAGTACGCGGCGGGCAGTGCGAAGGCCAGGCCAAGCAGACGACCCCACATGCTGCGAAAAGATATCGTCAACACGCGGAGAGGCGGATATTCTTAGACCTCAACAACCGTCCATGGGCCCCCACCGGGTTTTACGGACGCCCCCCCGCACTTGTGCGGAACTTGCAGCCTGTTTCCCCCCTTCCGACATAGAGGGGGGAGAGGAAGGGGGGAGGTCTCCCATTGCGGATCGCCACCCCAAGGCACGCACCCATGCACATCCGGCTTGGCGCCCTTCATGGAGCGGAGCAGTAACCACAATAACGACCACCAACCGCCAACGGTACTCACCGGTGGGCGTACTCCATCCAGTAAATGAATTTAAACTCGTTCAGGGTCATGCCACGGTGCACCTGAGGGTAAGGTTAGTTGACCGTTGGTGGATGGTAGTTGGGCGGGCGTTTTGAATGGTTTAAGGAGTTACAGAAAGGCTGGCTGGAACGGTCCAGCAACATCATACATTCCATGACCTTCTCACCACAATAAACGCAACAAACAAAGCAAATAGCGACCATGAACGAGTGAAGTAATAACTATGCACAAAGACCGTAGGTAATCCTACGGGGCTTCCACCTCACGGGTTTACAGACGGCGATCTTGTCCACCTTCAATATCCTCCCTGATCACATCCCTACACCTCCTCACCTCCGCCCATAACCCAAAAGCCAAGACCCGCACGCCCTCCTCACTTTCTGGAATTCGGGACTGGCTTTGTACTTGGCAAACTCCGCTGCCCACTCCTCTTCAGTCCAGGGGGGCCTCTCGCCTTTGGGGATTTTGAGGGTGTGAAGGAGGGGGTTACAGGCTCAGTCTTAAGAGGGATACCAGGAAAGGGGGATTTGCAGGGAGGTAAGGCAGGGTAGGATTCGCATAAGTGCATGGTAAGGAGGGGGGGGACCTGTGCCGGGGGTCGCGCGCACACTCGATGAGGCCACTCCACTACCACCGAATCCCCCCTTCCCCCATACCCCGCCCCAACCCATTCCAGCAGAGTTCCACCAGCAGCAGCAGCAGCAACAGCAACAACAACAACAGCAGCGGGTCCACAAATGCTATCCCCCTACGTCGTCTCCCTCCCAACATCCAACATCCAAGATTGCCAGGATGTTCCGGTAAGAACTCGACGGGTTCAGTTTCTGTTCGGGTGCTGAAATCTCACCGGTCCAGATCAAATCTGACCCAGATTAACTCGGGCCACGTTAAGCATGAACTAGATAAAGTTTAACCCACATCACGTCCTTTGCTGAAATCAAGTCTGACCAAGATCTGGTTTGACCCAGATCAATTTTGACCCAGATTATTTTTCATTGACACCATATCTTGGTCCGAGTGAATTGGATAGACCAAATCTGACCCAAACCAGATATGACCCAGATGAAATCCGATAATTATTTCAACTTCTCGGCAGTCAAACAGTACGCTGCTAAACCGCTCTTACTTCACCCTGTCGATAGGGGCACGAAAACAGCCGGCAGTACCTCTGTTAGACCACCTACACATTCCCTCATCTGCTAACGCCCAATAACACAGCCAACTCCGCACCATCACCTCCACCTCCACCACCGCCATCTAAGCCTTTTCGGAAGCCATGCTGTACAATCAACTGTGTGCCAGCAGCTTAAGAATCAAGAGCCCAAATGATTGATCAAACACGTGCCCAAGCAAACCCTAAGTACGTGCCATGCCGGCCCGCCGGCGCCGCCCGCCCTCCGGAATCAAGTTACAACATCACGCTGCAACGCAGCCCCAGCTCCCCGTGCGAGTGTACATTTGCACGGAGGGATATCGCGAACAACCTCCAAACGGCAAACGCCTGAAGGGCCCTCACCCCCCATCTCTCCCTCGCGCCTTCCCCCCACCCACCCACAGGGACCCCACCTGCAAGCTTCCATTCCGTCATGGATAGCCCAGACCGGGTCAGACGAGTGATGCCCCCCAGCACCACCATGCTGTAAACCCAAATCGAGCACACACCCAGCCAGCCAGCCAGCGCAAGACGGGCTCCGGAGGAGAGACCCTCGCTCAGCGCTAAGCCGCCGTACAACCGCCGCCCGGCCGCTACTGCACCGGCGCTAGCCGCAGCAGCGGCGCCTTCCGCTGCTGCTGTGGCATATGCCTTAGTGGCGCATGGATTGTGGGAAGGTTGGGGCGGCGTGTGACATGGGGAGGGAGGCGAGGGATGGAGGGGTTGGGGGGTTCAGCAATTGCGGGGGGAATGCCTGAGGCAGCAATGGGGGCCGCGGAGGACATGGGATAAGGTGCGAGGCTTTCTGACAGGAAGCCGCGAGACGACACGACCTCATGCACACAAATCACACCTTCTCATACAGGGTCTCACCGCTGCCGCCGCTGCACTACCCCGCTTGGACAGTACACCCGCCGCTAAGAGCATTCCCTGTCGCATGGGAGTCCTGTTCGACGCGGCCGCACAGCTACCCACGCTGGCCGCTGCCTTAGTGGCGATTCCACGGAAAGTCAAGGAAGCTGGTGGTCTTAACAGCGATGCGCAAAATCGGCCTGAAGATGCCCCCATCGCTCGCAGCGTGGAAGCCACGCCGACCCCGGATGTAGGTCCAGATGCCATCAGCGGCGCAGCGACATCTAGTAGTTGCCATGGAAGATGCGCTGGATTAGAGACCGTCGCGACACTTGACTGCGTAGCGGACGAAGACGCGCATTCTGCCGTGAGGTGCGAAAACTGCCTAAAGATTAAAGCGCCGCGGGAGCCTTGCGCTCCCGACATTATCTATGTGCTATTAGGCTGCGTAAGACGGCGCTGTCTGTCGACTGTCGCAACGATGTGTCGGTGATGGCCGACGATGATTGTTGTTAAAGTTACTCCTACTTAAACAAACTGAAGTTATCTTTCATCAAAGGTAAACAGCTATTCATTGACCTGCCACTAACTCGTATACATACTGCTCGCAGTCCGCTTACTAGTAGCGACACACGTCGCAACAGGCGCACAAGTGGACAAGAGACGTCGCCACGTAAGATGCATAAAAGTGCCCAATCAGAGGGGAGCATGCAACACTCCGTAACGGCATTAATTACATTCAAAGGCTGTGGCAGGTAAACTACCGACGACCGCTGCCGGTACAACCTTCCGTTAGGTCTGGCAGTTGTTGAGAGCCCCATACACCACTGCCACCGTCACATGTACAGTAGAGGCGCAAAAGCAGCGATGGAGTCTAAAATTGCTGCAAGAGTCCCTACAGGAATCGAACGGTAAGGAAGAAAGAACCACGCAAGATATAGGAAACCAACTGCCCATCCCCTCCTAGAGGCCTTTGCCTTTCCCGCCTAGGGCCCGGAAGTATACTGCGGTCCTACAGCGCATGACCTACACCATAACCTACTTCCTGTCAGGTTGTCTGTCCTTTTGCTGTCAGAATGTGGAAGGGGCGTCCAGAAGCCAACATCAACACGGCAAGGTGCGGCAGCAGCGCTCGCACTCCTTACTCATTCCGCTCATTCCGCTGCGCCAAGTTGCCCATCTCCCTGCTTCTGCGGGGGCCTGCCCAGAAGCAACCGAAGATGGTTTTGTATCGTTAACCCCAGTGCAAGCTGCGTGTCTTGTAACCACACTGCAACTGCCCCTTAGACACCTAACAAAGGTCCCTGATCCTCCGAATTCGAACAACAGCTGGCTCTGTTTCAACTCAAAAGTGCAATCAGCGCAGTTTACGTGCCACATGGCGTCAATACCAAACAATCAAAGCGAGCCATTTGAATATAGTGTGACGAAGAGCAAGCTTCTTGGAGCTAAAGAGTGGCAGGAGAGAGGAACAGAAGCAAGCGTCCCTCACCGCCCTCCACAGCACGCACAGCTGCGTTCTCAAGGGAGGGCCCCACGGCTGGTCCGCAACCCCGGGAGCGGCCTCAGCCCAGCGCTACATGCGACCTCACACCTTGCCTTCATAAATCCAGACATGGAGCACCGGCTGACACAAACACACGGCGCCGCCGGTGCTGTATACGCCGCACCGCTGATGCTGTCGTCAAGAAAGATCCCCTTCTTTCATGCCGCGCACATGCACGCACACACGCGCACGAGCACGCGCTCGGGGTGAACACCACTCTGACTCGCCTATCCGCGGGCCTCTCTTATCCTCGTGGTGGTGTTGGCCTAGCTACAGCACCTACGTAAGTAGACGCACACAGGTGCACACCGAGTCACGCCCCTCTGCGGCCACACGCCCTAACCCCCCGTTAAAACATGCGCAGCTCGACCATGCCCTCGCGCCGCTGCGGCGAGTACCAGGCCACCACACGGGCGGCCCCCCTCGTGCCCGGTACTGACAGGTCCAGTGCATACACCGCTTCCAACAGCTGCGGCCGCATCCCCACAGTATGAGCCGCCACAGCACCCGCAGCGTCGCCAAGCCAGGTCCCTGCTGCCGCCGCCGCCGCAGCTGCGGCTGCACCGGGGGTGGTTGCGCGCATCGACGTCGGCGCTGATGCAACCGGGGTTCTCTGGGGGCCCGGCGGCGGCGGCGGCAACGTCAGCGGCCTACTCGATGCCAGCTGGTACCGCCAGTCCGCAGCCAAGCGAAGCGGGCCCAGTAGCTGCTGGCAGATCGACAGCGACAGCGCGTGCCAGGCGCCGGTGTCGCCCAGGGCAAAGGCGGGATGGCGCTGCCTGGTCCAGCTACCCTGGTCGCTACCACCTGCAGTAATAAGTTTTGGTTTCAGTAACAAAAATAGCGGAGTGGCCCACGGGACCTAGGCTAGGAACACCGCGGGGCCTACGAACACCGCGGATATGGATGGGCTGCCGGAAGAGATCCGGGAAACGTCGGGTGGGGCATTCGGGGTTTCGGAGCATTGGGTTGGTAGTGGGAGATGGGCGGTATATGGTCACCTGGATGCAACACCTCCGCTCTGGCCCGCAGTACCCCGGCGTGCAGCTGTATCGTCCCCCCAAGTTCACAACCCGACAGAGGGGTCAGCCAGTTCAGCCCACCTGCGGGGCTCTTGTCGCCGGGACCCCAGAGCCCGCAATCCAGCTGCGCAGACACGCGGGTGAAATCCAGCAGCCAGCCGCTGAAACGGCCCGCCTGAACACTGGCTGCGGCGCTGGCGAACGGACGCAGCGCGCCGCGTGCGGCATGAGCGGCCGCGTCGTCCCCATCCAACCCGCCTCCCTGTCCGCGTCCGCGTCCACAGCGCAACAAGTGCGACAGCCCCAGGTCTTGCAACCAGGCGAGCCGGGTAGGCCGGAAGGCTGCGGTGGCGCTGCTGCCGCCTGGCGCGACTGACCCGTGGGTCAGCACGATGACGGGGGCACGTGCGGTGATACCTGCCACGCCCGCCACCTTCACGTGGGGCTTCCCCACGAAGGAACTCCAGGGAACCGGCGCCACTGGGACGTCGTCTACCCGCAGTTAATCGGCGGGTTGCCGTACCGCCATCCAGCATCCGAACGATGCCCCGAGGCCAGCCACGCAGATGGAGCAGATGGCACGACAGCGGAACCGCGCCAAGGGAGGGGAACAGTTAAACATCAGGGCGACGGGAAACACATGCAGGAGAACGACGCGGCAAATACTCCCCCATGTCCGTACATTGAAAGTGTAAAATGGGCGAATGGCCACGGTGTTTTCCATACACCCTGGCACGCAGAGAAGCACAGCAGGGGTGTGCACACGCTGCGTCGCCGCTGTCTCCAGCCTAATTGTTCGATCCACAAAGTGTCCCCCTTTCATCACCACCGCATGGCGTATTCACTGGAGCCCTACCCACCCGCCTGTGTACCTGTTCCGTGGGGTGGTGCCGCAGCGGCGGCCTGTCGCTGCTTAGCTGCCGCGCCTGGCGCCGTCGCCGCCGTCGCCGTCAGCTGCTCCACCAGCCCACCGCTGCCGACCCACTTAGTCGCCGCCGTGACGTCATCCCGTAGTCGACTAAACGACTGAGTGACGTCCATGAGGGCGTCCTGTAAAGCAACCGCGGACGGCAGCTCGATCCCGAACGGCGGCGCTGCGGCGCCAGCGGGGGCGGCGCCTGCGCTGCTGCCGGAGGCCCCGCCGCTGCCGCCGCCGGCTCCACCGGCGGCGGCGCCTCCGCTACCCGCCGGCCCCGCAGCGAGCACGCGATTAGGTGGCCGGATCGCCTTTCCGCCTGAGACGCTGGACGCGCCAGTTGTGGGGGACGCGAGGACGCCGCCGTCCTCCTCCTCATCATCGTCCTCCTCATCGCCGCCGTTGCTGGAAAGCGGGTAGACGCTGGCAGTAGCTCTTCTCGTGGAGGGAGTGTACGACCCTATCGCCTGCGGTGCCGCAGCTGCCGCAACCGAGGGGGGTGCGGCCATGGCGGTGGTAGCGTGCCCGGCCCCGTCGACCGTCGCCACGGTCTGCTGCTGGACTGTCGTACCGCCACTCTGCACGGCTTCTGTACGGCTGCGCCGGCGTGGCGGCCGCGTGGGTCCCTGCCACAGGACGCGCTCCCCCTGCAGTGCTATGGTACCCTGTGCATAGGTACGGCGGTACGACAACATGAATGTAACCGACCGTATAGGGATTGGCAGGCCATACATAAGCATCGTAAAAGTACGGCTAGGGCGCCGACAGCCACCAGGGCTTAAGAGCACTCGGTCCTGCTAGTCCATGACGTCATGCAGACCGCATGGGTGCCTCCCAGGATTCGCCATGAATAAAGGACGCACAGTAAAGAGAGGATCGTGTACGAAAACTTTCACCTGGACGTACACGCCGCTCTTTAGCGCAGGCCCGGCCACGTCTGTCGGTGCATCAGCCCCGCCCGCCAGCGGCCATGTCGGCGGCGCAGTCACCTGCGGCCGGCATCCCGTCCCATACCGCAACCGTGCGGGGACAGAATCAGCTGCAAGGGCGTGATGAGCAGACCCCACCTCCAGACAAAAGTCCCTGGAAAGGTCCCCTAGAAACCGCAAAACACACCCCGATGCCCGCGGAATTCATCCCTTATGCCCTCATCTTGTCCTTCGCCGCAACAACCAGCCCCCAACCCCCGGCCCCGGCCCTGGCGACAATCCAGACACCGCTGTCAGGAGCCTCAGCACTTTCCACTTCCCCCGGGATCTTCAACCCACCGTAGATGTGTGACCAACCAACCCCAACTAACCTGCAGCACACCGCACCGCCACACCAGTGGCGCCCCCGACGTGGTCACCGAGCCCGCCTGGAGCCCCAGCAGCAACGGCGTCACCGCTCCAACAGCCGTAGCCTGAGCCGACTGCCCCAGCTCCACGGCCGCCGCCGCCGTCGAACCGCTGCTCGCGCTGTTGCGCTCAGCCCAGCCCCCGCCAGTGCGTTGGAAGATGGCCAGGTCAGCCCGCACCTCCGCCCACCGGCCCACACGGGACTGCAGCTGGGAGGACACAGACAGCGGCGGCGCGGCCGCCCAGCCCGCCCCCGCAGGCTGCGGCTGCTGCGGTTGCCGCTGCGCGGCCGCCGCGCTACCAGCGGCGGTCACGAGGGCAGCCCTGGATGTCGAAGTCGAGGCGGTGGAGGTGGGCGGGCAACAGTCCAGCCGAGAGCGCAAGACGGTGCTCCTGAACGGGGGGAAGGGGGCAGCAGTGGGAAGTGCAGGAATATGTGCAGGAGTCCGCACCCACCCCTCGTTTTAGGTCAGGTGTTTTATATATATTCCTGCCGAAGTACAAGCACCAACTGGCTCTGGTGAAGGGGGGAGGTAGCAACAGCTGCCGAATGCAACACTATGCTCCGCGTGGCTCCGTGGGTTCCCGCTTTCAGTAATCACCTCACCTTTGCGTTTTTCCCCTAATTCCCAACTTTTGATCAACCCGCACCTGTTTAGTTGCACCCGCGACGTCGCGCACAGACTGTAGCTGGCCGGGTCAGCCACTGCAGCCACCTGCAGCCGGGGGCGTGCAAAGGGATGCCGAACTCAAAAGAGCCAATAAATTGGAGACGTGGCCACACCCCACGCAGGCGGCGCGGGTGGGCTGTAGAACCGAACGAGGCTACCAGCCCGAGTGCCTTCCCCGCTGGAGGGTTATAGTCAGGTGGCGGGCGTCAGAGCATGCCCCAGGCGGCCCGCACACACACCGGGCTGAGCAACGCCAAGCACCCATCGTGCGCATCGGGGATGTGCACCGCACCGCCCATCGGCCCAGTTAGCTCTCAGGACCTCATGGCTGGTCAACGACACAACGGCCATGAGGCACGGGCTGACAGGAGCTTGTACACATGGGCTACGACCCGTGGCAGTTGGGAGGGGGGCTTACCAGGTCCGCCCGCTGTGCCACCAGCCGGCCGAGCCGCGCACGACCGCTGACCGCGGCCCACCATGAGTCGCCACTGTCGTGGGCGAGGATCCTATCTAGGACCTGGCGAGGTGCGTCAGGTGGGGAGGAGTTGTGGCAGTTGAGGGCAGAAAATGAAAGGATGGACAGGTGGCGGGGGCGCGGGTGGGGGCCGTTGGATAGAACGTGTGGAGAAGAGGTAACGTGGTTTTCACATGTCTGTGACAGGGCTGTAGGATTCGATATAACAGGCATTAGAGTGAAAACGCGGGACTGCGGGCAAGGGTTACCCATGGATACACGCACTTTTTTGGCCCTCTGGCCCAGGCAGCACGGCTTTCTAGGGGAAAGAAGCCGTGTTCATGGAGGTGTCAAGTTGCGCTCCAGCAAGACCAATGATGCGAATGTCTAGGGGTTTATGTACGCAATTTGTTGTAAGAGCATGATGGTCGGGGAGGAGGTAACCAGTGCATTACATTCAAACTGGGGTATTCGCCCATGCCTGTAGAAGCCTGTTAACCCTCACCACGCCACCTTGACTATGGCAGACTGACGGCAATCCAGGAAGCGAAGGCCGCCCCGGTAGCTTCACCGCTTGGGTTGCCAAGACAAGTTGCGGGCGGGACAGGCCGGAGCCTGCCAGCAGTGGCAGCGGCACGGGATCTGACACGGACGAGGCCAAAGCACCATCTGGTACCGACGCAGACGCTTGTGATACGCCCCAATACTGAGCAGGAACAGTGCGGCGAATTTGGTGTGCAAACGAAGCCTTTTCCGGGATAATGCCCAACGGAATTAAGGTTGGGCTTGTTGAATTCGTCGTATTACTATAACCACCTAAGCTTAACCCGTTCGGTGATCCTTTCAAATTCGGCATGCTCAATCCGTCGCCAAACAACTGTACTGATCCTGACGACATCGTTTTGTGAAAAAGATAGGCACTTTTTTTTATAAGATCTCAACGCTGCAATAGTATAACCTTTGAATTAGACTTTAATAATCAATAAATGTACCACAACGTCCAACATCATAGACTACTAACATTCACACCCATTGACCAATCCATTATCCACTCTGCCAAACTTCAGGACATTCACAATACCATAGGAAGACATGCATTGTGTATATCTCTTGCTCCTGGTCAATGTTGTGGCTGCCGTAACCCGTACAAGTAGGGCCCTCAGGACGCTCCCTGGGATCAAAGATGCGGGGCATGCTCACAGCAAGCTGTCCCAGAAGCGCTAGCACCCTGTGACCGAGTAATCCCATCTCAGCAACTATGGCCGTCGCGATGCGTGCCCAGTGGTGAGCAACGCTCTTCGTCGGTCCCTCCTACATCGCTTGCACTTTGTTCGGCAACCAATGGCTTTGTCGCATAATGTGCTTATCTCGCTACATGTATTAGATTTTGTTCGTGCCCAGGGCTGCCATTAAATGGAACGACAGAGCGCTAAGCAAAGGATTTTGCTGCCCCCGTGTTCCTTTAATGTAGCGCCAAGGTGCAGGCTGCCCGCCCTGCCCGCGCCACCACCGTCGTCTGCCGGGCTTCGGCTCAGTCCCGCCGCGAGGTCGGTATTTTGATAAAGCGCGAGTCGTGGGATGAAAATGTACCTATTTGGAGATGCTATGCACGTAATTGCGCTGGGCCGAGTCATGCAACATAAATGCTATAAAGAATTTCCTGTTGGGCAATGCTAGGTATACAGTTATCCCACCGCTGCTAACGATCCTCCATACACACAACTTCTTCTCTTGCAACCCTCCTCTGCTCGCAGCTGCTGGGTCTGGGTGTCCTGCTGGGTGCTGCCGCGCTGGCCCCTGCTGCCAATGCTGGCGTGGTAAGTCGCGTGATATGCATAAGGCTTCTCATTCTTTTTCTCAGTCGTACTGCCTGCAAGCCCCTAGGCTGTACACATGCAGGTGTACCGAGACTTTTTTCCTGTCATACTATTCTTGTCACACTTATTTGGAGGCACGTGCGAGCTGTATACACTTCAGGCCCGACACAGCAAGCAAATAGCACTGCAAGCAAATAGCTAGGGCTATACCACCTTCAGAATCCTGCCTGCGGTACTCCTATATCATTACATCTACGCTGTACCATCTGCCTTACCCCAATTCCAGGTCGAGGACCTGCTCGCTAAGTCTGCGGCTAACAAGGCCCTGAACAACAAGAAGCGCCTGGCCACCAGCTATGCTAACCTGGCGCGCAGCCGCACCGTGTACGACGGCACCTGCCAGTTCCCGGAGAACTTCTTTGGCTGCGAGGAGTTGGCCTTCAACAAGGGTGTCAAGTACATTGCTGAGGACCTGAAGATTGAGTGCGAGGTGGGTGTGCCGTATATTTTGCCACTGCTTGGGTGTTCAGTTACAATCGCTGACGACTCGCTTTGCTGCGGAGTCGAGCGTCGTAAGTCATTTCCAATCGTTGATGGGTGCATTGTATGCAGCATATATGGCATTGTAGATATGGCATGCATGCAATCCTTTCTATCAGAACTTTGCAAATGGAAACCGAAATCCACCTTGCTGCTTTGCTTCCTGCAGGGCAAGGACGCCAAGTCTTGCGGCTCGAAGTTCACCCTCCGCAGCAAGTGAAGTCTTGATGACCGGCTTGCTCATGGCGGGCTCGTGGCCAACCCTCCAGTTTTGCTGTTTCAGTTTTGTCGATAGGTAGCGATGGGGGGCCTAAGTTGCCTCTGCAAGGTGTGCACGTGGCCTGAGCTCCGTCTTGACTATGCGTGCCTGGTGTGCGTCGGATGAGAAGAGAATTTGTTAGCTGCATGCGCTGAGGTTGTGGTGCTTCCCGACGGGCCTCTTCGGTATGACATATGACGGTTGCGTCCTGCTGCTGGTTGGGCATCTGCGGCGTATGGCGAATGGCTGTCGCTCTGGTGGTCAAGGGGTCATGACAGGTCAACGGATCCTGGCCTGAGCCATTTCGGATGTAAATATGCGGATAAAATCTTTCCCGGCCAACTTCCAAATTTAGCATTTTGTGCGAGGTTCATTAAGTCAGCTCATTCTAGGAAGTCAGCTATTTATGGCTATGCAGAGATCTTCACACTACCTGACGCCATCGTTGGTGAGCACCCTGTAAATGACCATGGATCTCCTGAGGTCTCTAAATGCAGGATAAACTCCCGTTACAAATCTTGAACGGAATTATAGTTTAACATTCTCACTGGTGCGCAACAGCTTTCACTGACCTGGTACCATTGTTGCAGCGTACCGGTTCACGACAGTTCGCGACCAATGGGCCACGTCCGCAGGGATAGTGCTTCAGCAGTTTTCGTATTAGGCATAAACTTGCAACCCAGCTGACAATGAACGTAGTCGAATGTAATTGCAAGTGCCCAAAGATTGGCCAGAACGATTTGCGATCGTAAGGCCCATTGCGAGATACACTTTGGAACGGAAATTTTACTATCTACAGCCCCGTTTATTTCGTTGTTATTGTATTATTTACAGCGCATGAACAGCGTCTGATCAAGGAGTGACAATAGGGTTGTGTCTGCCCTAATATCGTGACCGCGGCAAAATGTTGCCTAGCGTATTGACACCAGGCAGCGCTTGCTCTGGCAGTGGTCGTGCTGCTGTAGGCCATGTCCTTACTCCGCTTGTGCCAACCGTGCCGAGTAGGGCGCCTCTTTGCCCTCACCTGCTTCAGCCGAACGTGGTGCCGCAGATCGTTTCGCAGCAGACAACATGTAGAATGATTACCCACTGTGCAACGCCTCGCGCAAATGCAGCGAGCTCTGTCGCGAAATTGGTACATCAGAATAGCAAGCCTATGAAAATCATCATTGCTGGCGCTGGTATAGGAGGCCTCGTGCTAGCAGTGGCGCTGCTTAAGCAGGGCTTTGAAGTACAAGTTTTTGAGCGCGACCTCACGGCGATTCGTGGCGAGGGCAAGTATCGTGGCCCCATCCAGGTGCGTGCACCCGATTATTGTTAACCTGATTGCAGACCCTATGTGCTGGTACTCTACAAGCTACGTGCTTTAATATGGGGAATACTGATTTCCGTGGGCTGTCTTTGTTGGTCAGCCTTCCTGTATACCGCTCCTTCGTGCTATGCTGCTTTGACACCCTTGTATCATGCGTATGTACAGGTTCAAAGCAATGCGCTGGCGGCTTTGGAGGCCATCGATCCTGAGGTTGCCGGAGAGGTGCTCCGGGAGGGTTGCATCACGGGCGACCGCATCAACGGCTTGTGCGACGGCCTAACGGGAGAGTGGTAAGCGTTGAACGTATTTGTAGCCATTTACAGAGCAGTACCAGTCATTATGGCGTTATGCGCTTAGATGCCTTGACGGCTCACCGTTATTGCGTTGATATATCTGCATTTGGCTCGCGCACCCCTCGCCAGGTACATCAAGTTTGATACCTTTCATCCTGCAGTTAGCAAAGGCCTTCCGGTGACGCGGGTCATCAGCAGGGTGACACTACAGCATGTGTTGGCGCGCGCTGTTGAGCGGTGAGTGTTACGTTGGCAGTATTCGAGTAGCTCTTTGGTAGGGCTGGCGGCCTGGGAGCTGGATTGAAACGTGACGTTGGTCACGGAGGGTGGGGAGGCATGATTTCGGAAGTGCGCGTTTGCGCGTTCCACCAACCCTATTTGGCACTTCAAGCATGTGGAGCTGCTCCATGAACCACGCGATGAGTGCGCTTCATAAGTTTTTGTCAGCGTGATGCTAGAAGTGAACGTCTGGTTCCGCGGACCTCACGGTCGACTGACTGCTTTTGCATTTGGCCCGGCGCTGTGGTCCTCTTAAACGCGACCGTGATTGCAGGTACGGCGGGTCCGATATTATTCAGAACGGCTGCTGTGTGACAAAGTTTGAGGAGCGGCCGACGGCTTCTGGTGGCAGCGAGGTACGGTGTAGTACAACTTCCCTTGTAGGCTGGCAGTGGAAGGTGCTGCTTGTTATTGTGGTTCATGGGAAGCGTTTTCCTTTTGGAAAATCGTCTTGGATACACGGATGGCCCTCGGCATTGTGTTTCCTTTCCAGATGTGCCCACGGGGGCTGAGACCGGGGTTCAATCGTGCTGCCAAAGGGTTGGTGCCCGGCGCTGCGGTCACGCCGTTGGAAGTTGCGTCTCGCGAACTAGCGACGTAGATGCGGGCGCCGGGACCCGAAATCGGTCAACGCGTGTGTGGGTTTCAAAAATTCACCATCCTTGTGGTTCGACACCGGTCTTGGGTCCTTTGCAGGTCGTAGTACACTTGGAGGATGGGCGCCAAGTCACAGGCGATTTGTTGATCGGCGCCGACGGCATCTGGTCCCGGATTCGCAAGCAGCTGATTGGCGAGACCAAGGCCAACTATAGCGGCTATACCTGCTACACCGGTGCGTGGTTTTGGGTTCATGCGTTTGTCGGGTCTCGCTGGATTGCGATAATCTGCCGGCAATTCTTTCGCTTTTGCGCACCTGGACATAAGCAGGAGAGAATGCGGCTTTGATCCCATGGAGGGTTCGGAGGACATTCTGATCGCATCAAGCTGCGCACCGGCGCAACTGGTATCTGGCAAGGACGAAACATTTTTTTGTAATCTGATCCCTGATATTCCTAAATATCCATTTTGCCACTGAGCCATGTACCAGACGCATTTCCTCGATGTGCCACGGCCGTTGACTGTTAATGTGCCGATATGCAGCTGCATGGGTTAGCATAGGAAGCGCACGTCGATTGCCGACTCAAGCCTCACTACTGCTGAAATGAAGCCCCTGAATTCCTCCTGCCAAGCATTTTAGGCCTTACGAAGGAAAACATTTTACCTGACGAGGTGGTACCTATTGGGCCACTCTACTGCAATTTTTCAGGTATTTCGGACTTCACGCCCGCGGACATTGACATCGTGGGCTACCGGGTCTTCCTGGGCAATGGCCAATACTTTGTGAGCAGCGACGTGGGCAACGGCAAGATGCAATGGTGAGGACGGGCTGCAGATCCGCACGGAGGGCAGTGCTGACTGCGTTCGAGCCTTGTTGCGAGGTCTATTGGATGGCCATGCATGAGTCTGGCATGCGTACAGTGCCGACCTAGGATGTGTAGGACAGATAAGCTGCGATCAGCTGAGCTGGGGCCCTAAGCGCTAACGTTGGCGGGGACAGAACATTTCGCACGGTGGCAGGGCCTGGCCCTGGGCTGGCTTTGCGATCGGGGTTGCAGCCTGCTGCGGCGGTTGAGGGTTGGCGCATACACGGTTCCGTGTACGGAACATATGCATTTTGATTTGTGACGCGCATGGTATCTGGCAAGGACGAAAGTTCTATAAAGCGGATGTCCGTATGACAGTATCCTATCCATTTTGCCACTGAGCCTCATACCAGGCGCGTCTGCATTGCTCGCCGCCGATATACCGCCCCATTCGATCATTGCCCCACTTTTGTAGTGGCTTAGTAGCCTGCATAGATGCTCTAGGAGGCGTCGTTGTAACTCCTCATGCTTTCGCATGGCAGCTAAGAGCACGGGGGAAGCTCATCCGGGACACATTACTTGCGGGCATTACGCGGGGAAGAAGACTGAAGTGTCTATTTGTGTGCATATGCCTCTGCGGCAGCCGTGGTGCAGCAACTGGTGGGTAGCAAGGATGAATCCCTATTATCCCTTTCGTGGAATCCTGACACATCCATCCTATCCATTTTGCCACTGAGCAACCTACCAGCCTGCCGGCCAGTGCACGCCGATACCTCTAAAAACTTAAGATGGCGCCACTGCTCGTCGCTACTCGCGCCCTACGCGGCCCAATGCCATGCCCATTATCTGGGTTAAACTACCCGCTCTGTGCCTTCTGGGCCTGCTTTCCGTCCACCCAATCTATTCTGTCCGCCAAGTACTATGAAGTCCGTGCTGCTCGTCGACGCGGGCTCACGGCTTTTGATGTCCTTCGCTGGCTGACTGGAACACCTTGCTCAATCCCATGCTTGCCTGGGCTATGTATTGCAGGTACGGTTTCCATAAGGAACCGGCTGGCGGCACGGACCCGGTGGGCACTCGTAAGGCCCGGCTGTTGGAGATCTTCGGCCACTGGAACGACAATGTCGTTGATCTGATCAAGGCAACGCCTGAGGAGGATGTGTTGCGTCGGGACATTTATGACAGGTGCGCAGACTTGGCCGTTTGGTTTGGGCCCATGTGGCGGGTCTGTTGCATCACTGGTCCACGGGAGGCGTGGGGGACTGGGAGCATGGACAGCGGACCCAGAGCTAAGCCTGATTCCGTCGGATGCGACCTGAGCGCGCCAGGGGCAGTCTGCAGTCCTTTGCCTCGCTTGAGATACGGCGTAAGGAGATGTGGCTCGTCCTGATCATTACGTGGCCTGGGGCCTGACGGAGCCCCTTCAACATGCTTCTGCACAAAGATCACCTTATGCACCACCCAACTTTCCCTGGTAGTTAGTGCGTTGGATGCCTGCAGGCGACTTTTTGCTCCTTACGTGATTCGCGCCCTTGTTCCCGCTATCAGGCCGCCCATCTTCACTTGGGCCAAGGGCAAAGTGGCGCTGCTGGGCGACTCGGCGCATGCGATGCAGCCCAACCTGGGCCAGGGCGGCTGCATGGCTATCGAGGACGCCTACGAGCTGGCCATTGACCTGTCCAAGGCAGTGGCGGCTGCCGGCGGCAACGCCGCGGCGGTGAATGTGGATGGTGTTCTAAACCAATACCAGGCCAACCGCATGATGCGCGTATCTGCTATTCACGGCATGGCCGGCATGGCCGCCTTCATGGCTTCTACCTACAAGTGCTACCTGGGCGAGGGCTGGAGCAAGTGGGTAGAGAGCTTCCGGATTCCCCACCCTGGCCGCGTGATTGGCCGACTGGTGATGCTGCTGACGATGCCCGCGGTGCTGGACTGGGTGCTGGGCGGGAACACCGACCACGTGGCCCCCAACCGCGTGCCGTACTGCTCTCTGGGCGACAAGCCAAAGGCATTCGACGAGAGTCGTTTTGGCGAGTTTATGTCTAACGATGCGTCGATCGTGTACTCTTCACACGCGGACTGGATACTGGTTTCGGAGCGGACTGCGTCGGGGGCTGCCGCTGCAGCCGGTGGCGACGTCAACAGCTTCTGCGAGTGCAAGGGCATCTACATGGCCACGCAGCAGGCGCTGGTAGGGCGCAGCGGGTCGCCGGCTGAGCCAGCGCTGTCGGTTGACGACGTCCACGTGCATGATCGTCATGCACATGTGTGGCGCGAAGCCAGTGGCAATGGCAACGGTGATGGCAGCAGCAGCGGCGGCAGTGACTACTTCCTGCAGGACCTGGGCACGGGGCGGGGCACGTGGGTCAATGGACAGCGGATTCAGGACGGTGCGAAAGTGCAGCTATGGCCCGGTGATACGGTGGAGTTCGGACGGCACCCTAGCCACGAGGTCTTCAAGGTGAAGATGCAGCACGTGACGCTGCGCAGCGATGAGCTGCAGGGCTCCAGATACAGCACTCTTCTGGTCGGCAAGATCCAGGAGCCCAAGGCGGATGCTCAGGAGAGGAGTGGCGCGATGGCCGGTGGTCTTGGGGGGGGCAAGCTAGTGGCTGCGTAAATGGTCTTCTGTGGCGTTGTGTAAAGATGTTTCGGTCCCGGTTGGCTGTGGTTGGTGAATGTAACTGCGCGGTTCTACCCAGAGGGCTTCCGCAATGCGCTGGGGCAGGAGCCAGGTGGGCTGGAGCTGGCATGGCGTGGGTTTGGGGCCGCAAAGAAAGCATAAGCTAAGACGATTAATGTGAGCACGATTTTTTAAGGGAGGTATCTGACTGGCAACTTCCTGTCCAGATGGCATGCAATGTGAACTTGGTCAGGCTATGTAGATGAGCCGGCTACTATTCCTGAAGGTTCGACGCAATGAAGGTTCGACGCAATGTATGGTCGTGGTGACCGCTTTTTATCACCGTGGTATTGTCACTACAGCGTCGTGGATCGCGTCGCAAATAGTGGTGCATCGTATGTCTGTATGTTAACCAACAGCGCATGGACAGCGCGTGGTACCTTATGTATGGTATCCCGCAGCGAGAGCGCAGGAGGGAAAGGAGGGGGCCGGTTAATTGAGCTGAGAAGATCATGACAGCAGAAAGAAATAGTTGTCCATTGTTGGGGGGTTTAAAGTTCGTGCTATTATTGGTCTTTGAGGAGAGGAAAAGGCGCAGCTCGGCAACGAACAGTTTGGAGCTCTGCCTAGTGTTGTTGCGAGACGAATATGCGAAACGAAAGAGTGTTGCATTCCGTATCTGTAGCGCGGGTATATGGTGTGATGTCGTTTGTATTTTGTTTGTAAATGGGCGGCGACCATTACACGAGTGCTGCCGTCGCTTCGGTGTTGGGGTCATTGCCCGCGCAGGGGGAGACGCTCAGTACGCGCACCGGAAGCCGTTTGCAGCCTTAATACTTTCGTCTTGCTGGTCAGTCTGCCTGTCCGTCCGGTTTGTTGGTGAAGATCATTTCCTATTTTGTCGAGAGCTGTGTTATACGGGAGCGAATGGAGGTTGCTGTCCGTCCGGCTATTGTGCTGATTGGAACAGAGGTTGTAATTGTGTCGTTTGAATATGAATCGGTGGAGGCGCTTAATATGTGCAGCGGCTTCGCTGGTGAGGGCATAGGCCACATGCACTCTGTCTGGCTGGCCCCGCTGGCTGGCTGGCTGGCGCACGAAACCCGCTGCGGTGGTTCTGTAGTCGGCGCACACGCTGCTGGATATGGTTGCTGGATCGGATGTGCGCTTGCAAGTGCGGGAAAATTTAATTCTTTGATGCGCTCGGGGGCCGGTTTTGTTCCTCAGTGCGTCGACCATGCTGGAGTGTTCGGGGTATACTAGGTAATAGCTCGTTTACTGTCCTCGGTTATGGCCGTTTAGATGCATTAGTCCAGAGTCTGACTAGTTTTGCATTGCGGCGATTGCAATTGTTGTCCTAAAGACGTGGAGGATAACATAACGATGACACCATTTGTACGTGGGGAGCGTGAACCCCCTACATGAGGATGCTCGCGTTGGCGACTAGTCACACGGTGTAAAGCTATTCAACCATTTCGGGAGCTTGAAATCCACAAGTTATAAGGTGTACGAAGTATCTGGTAGTTCAGTACCTGGGGGCTTGTCCTGCAGTACGGACTACGAGCTTATAGGCGGAAGACTTTTTCAGCATCGCGAAGCCATGTAATCTACCTCCTGAGAAGGGCCCCCAAAACACCTTGTATAAATTCTTATGTGTCAAGGGCTGCAAAGTGTGACTGCGATGGAACGTTACAGCTAGCAACTGGCACTGGCTCGCCATAGACCGTACTGTAAAAATCCACCACAGTTAACAGCGTAGTCAAGGTTTTCTATATAATGATAATGTTTTCTTTGGCGACAAGACGTCTCTAAGACTCAAAATCAACCTGTGTTAGTGGGCAGTTGGTATCGTAACTGCGCCGCGGACATCGTTTCTCCCTACACATTGGCGGCAGTCCTCAGGCCCTAGGTGTACTTCCCAAAGCATACATGGGGGATGAGGTGGGATTTCGTGCTTGCCGAAACTGTAATTGCGACTCTGTGGCTACACAGTTTTGCAGCACCATTTGATTCATGGGTTGGCAACCTTCTTTTCGCAGGATGGGGCTTCCAAGCCTCGAGGCGGCGAAGCATCCGAAACGAATGGGTAAGGGCGGCGCAAGCGGCCCGATCTTACGCAAAGGACTGAAGTGACGTACGCGACTCAGAGAAGGCATCCTTGTGATTCCTTCTTGTATTGCATGCAGGAAGAGAAGGTCGGGCTCTCGATCCTTGTCCCGGTAAGTTGGACAGGAAACGTAGCATTGTGGGCTTGTCGACAACACGTAACCCTAGCTTTGTCTTTCAACCTACGTAACATGCCGCTCATGAGATACACAACATTGTCTTGACTTTTGCCTGGTATGGACATGGCTCAAGACAGCCGGAGCACATCTGGCGCACAGGCGTTAAGCTGTTGGAAACTGCAGGGATGTGCAATCTTTATGGGGGAGCATATTTCCTTTGTGGCGCAAACTTCTTCCGGCCCATGTACGCTTCTTCGCTGTCCCCCCCCCCCACCCGCTCCTGCCGCCCACCTGCAGGTCACGATCGGGCTCAGCCGGTGGTTCCCCGGTAAGATCAAGGTCTAGGTCAAAATCACAACGGTCAAGATCTCGCTCCAAGTCCCGGTCTCGCTCACCCAGCAAGAGCGGCGGCAGCAGCCGTAAGCGAAGCGTTAGCCGTAGTCGCAGCCGCAGCAAGAGCCAGTCACCTGTCCGCAACAAGCGGCGCAGCCGATCGAGGTCGCGCTCCCGTAGCAGATCGCGGTCTCCGGCGGCACGGCGCGCCGGTGATGGCGGTGGTAGCGCGGCTGCTCGAAAGCGCAGCAAAAGCGCAAGCCGCAGCCGGTCTCGATCCCCATCGCGTAAACGTACTCGCACAGGCGCAAACAGCCGCAAGAGCCGCAGCCACTCACCGCCTGCACGGTACCGTCGCCGTACCCGTTCGCCAGCAGCGCGGCGGCGCAGTCCAGTTGGCCGCAGGAGGTCAAGTCGCAGCCGTTCGCCTGTGGTGAAGCGCTGGGTCAGTCGCTCCCGTTCGCCAGTGCGAAGACCGCGCAGCAGGTGGGCGCTGAAAGGGGCAAGATTGGTATCTCCCGGGTTTGGCAAGGGTGGGTTATTGGCGTAGCGCCCGGGATTTGTGATGCACGCAAGCCGACTTGGGACGGGCCGTTCTCGCGTCGCCGCCTGTTCCGGACTTATATCGGTATTCGGTTAATAAACATAAGGCGATACTTGCGTGTCGCATGCCGCGTGGTGGAATGCAAACGATGATGATTGTGTCATTGTGTGCTTTTCGCGGGCACTATCTAATGGACGGAACCCTGTTGCCTTGATCGCTCTGAAACCCAACATATCGGCAGTGCTTCGCCCTGTGTAAGAGTGCATTTTACGACATCACCGTGACACACACAACAGGCCGAGGTTCTGTCCATCCCTTGAGACCACCTTTTGCGTGCGTCCTTCGGGCCGCCAATTGGCCTACATCAACACGCACACACAGACACTATCCGCGTCTGCTGCTGCCATGTCCTGCTGTGACATTATACCATGAGCCCTTCCGGAGTTCCGGAGCTGCTCGCGCGGCTCTGCTGCTAACCGGCCGCGATGGCGCCACCCGCGGCTGGGAATTCCGTACCAAGCCGCGGGGGCGCCGGCCGCCCTGTCATTTAGCCGCGTGGCGGCAGCGGCTCTGCCAATTAGCCGCGCGGCACCCGGTGTTGTTGCCACACCATGGGCTGCGTGGGGGGACGTCTTACGCCTTTTCCTGGCGGCCGCGGGGGCCTAGGAGCTCTAGCGCTTTTTGCGGCCAGCCGCGCGGGGAGCCCCCTTGCGGCGTTCTTGACGGGCCGCAGGCGCTGGAGCGCAGCTGCGCCTTTGCTTACTCCCCATGGGAGCGTTTCTGTGAAACGTATTCCTTGAGCCTGCGGTGCGGCCAGTGCTGGTCTTCTGTCTGGCCGTAGGGAGGGCTGTTCCGGCCTTGTTGGGAGGCACAGGGGCTGGTCCTGCGGCTCGCCAGCCGAGGGGAACGCTCTCGCGGCACTTGCGGCCGCCGCTTGCAGCCGACAGAGCCTACGTTGTGTGCTTCAGGACCGTCTGTGCAGAGTGCGACATAGCAGAACGGGTGTGTACCGTGAGGCTCTTCTGCCTATCTGAACTGGAGCTTCTGGGGTATGCTGCCTTTGTCGTATTATCCCAGAGGTCAGACGGGGCTCTCTGACATTTATTTGAGTTCCTCGTGTCCCCCAGTGTGCTTAAGCTATCCCTTGGGTTGGAGAAGGGGCGTCAGGTTAGGGATAGACTTCGGGAGGAGTTGGAAAGCCGGTTTCTGGGACGCATAAGGCGTGTGGGTCTTCTGGAAACGGACATAGAACGGGAAAGCGTTTGCGTTCCCTGAAACGTTCGTTGTTTCTACGGAAAGTCTACGCGGGCCCGGGCTCAAATGCAGGGAAGAATGTTGATTTCGCGAAACGGCTATACACGCCGCCTGTGGTAAATCGGTAGGCAAGAGCCCATAAAATCTGGCTCCTCGCATGTTCTCCCGAGGCTGATTCGCCACGGAGAGAGAGGGAGAGGTGGAGATCAAGAGAATGGCTGTCTTTCTTACACCCTGGGTTTGGTTTTGGCAGGCTAAGCAACCCGTGCGCCTTCGCATGGGTTGCTTAGTGTGTGATGACTCTGGGTTTCATCAAAGCTGTGTGTGTAGTGATGCCGGCACCGGCGCCTTCTGGGTGTGGGGTTGCATACGCTGTATGCTCAAGGACGGCAGTGATCAACCACGACACGTCCTTCCAGCTGGTTGCCAGACGCCTACTCATTTACATAGGACGGCTGTGTTGGTCACGTCGCCGACAGCTGCTACCGCATACTGCGAATGCGCTAAGCACAAGAAGTGCTCTTCAACCTTGCTGATTTTACCCTCATCCGGCCATACAACTCGCCCTGACTCCTTGGCTTGCCGCAGGTCGCGCGACCGTGCCAACGCCGCAGCGGTGGCGGCCCGATCCGATCGGGACAGGGCTCGCGACCGGGCCAGGGACCGCGATCGAGAGCGGGAGAAGGAAAATGAGAAGGACCGCTTAACTCGGGAGAGGGAGAGGCAGAAGGAGAGGGAGACGGAGCGGGAGAAGGAGAGGGAGAAAGAGAGGCAGAAGGAGAGGGAGGCGGAGAGGGAGAAGGAGAAGGAGAAAGAGAGGCAGAAGGAGAGGGAGAAGGAGAAAGAGAGGCAGAAGGAGAAGGAGAGGGAGAAAGAGAGGGAGAAGGACGCCAAGGGGACGCGGGACCGTGAGCGGGATGCGTCGGACCGGGCCAGGGACAAGGAGAGGGAAAAGGGCCGGAGCGAGAGGGAAAGGGACCGCGACAATAAGGACCGGAGTGAGAGGGCGGACCAACGCGACAAGGAGCGAGACAAGGACCGGGACCGGGAACCGGATAAGGACAAGGGTAAAGACAAGGAGCAAGACAAGGAAAGGGAGAAGCGGGATGAAGATAGGGACAGGGGCCGTGACCGCGATCGAGACCGCGATCGGGAGCGGGACCGCGGGCGAGACGATGGCGAAGTGCGTGTCGACAATAGGACCATGGTAAGAGGGGAGGGAAGCGGGTTAGGGGGTTAGCCGCAGGGCCACTCGTTTGGACCGTAACTCTCGCTTTGCTGTATTTTCCTACATTACGGCCGATGATATTTGGATCCGGCAGTGGTTGTGGGGTTCGCAGCGCCCATACTGCTGTATGGACAGGAAGCAGTAGAAGGCGCGGCACGCGCCTGAGCAAGAGAGGCTGCATTTAGTGGGCGCACTTTTCATCGTCCCCAGCTCCCGCGTACCAGCTACAAGGGCTCATGTATTATAGTGCGGAGCTGCGCAGGGACCCTTGGCTTTTTCTCCTCCATCTAACCCCCGATGTATCAACGCTGGCTTTGGCCGGCTGGCTATGCTGCTTGGCAAAGTCCTCCGCACCCTAGCCTCCTCCCCCCGCCATCCCTGAGAGCTGAACGGTGCTGCGCCGAACCTGAACTGGACTTGCCCAGGCGGCATTGCCATTGCTCCCTGCCGAAATTCCCCCCCTGCTGCGACCGTCAGGGCCCTCTCATTAACGTACTTGTTCGTATCCCCCCCTGGGCCTTTCACCCGCTTAGCTCGGTAGCGTATGGATTCGCTTGCCGTCCTGCCTTGATAAAGCAAAGCTGCCCGTCGCAACCGTCCTCAGGCCCTGGTGAAGGATTGCCTCATCGAGCTGGCAGAGCGGCAGCGCCTGCCGTGCAACATCTCAATCCTCAACGACTACATGCGCATCCGGGACCGGTGAGTCGCAGCTCAGGCAGGCAGGGTGTCCGTGCTGTACAGGCGCGTGCAATTTTTTCCTGGAGCGTACTTGCGCAATTTTGCTTGTTAGCTTCATCTGTTGCTGATGTTACAGGGACTTGCGCTATGTGTGAGGTGCTGGCGGCCTAGCGTATGGGTGCGGGGGGGGCATAAGGGCGCACACAAAGTTTTTGAATGGGCGTAATATATGGTCGGATGCAAATAGCTGTTGGGTCTTCGCAGCACGCCACGGCATGTGGCGAGCAGCGCTGCATTCTATTGTTGCTTGCAGATAGACGTTTGGTAACGCTCCTTCCTAACCGCCGCTGAGGACCTTACTGCCCCTAACCTGTTGTTTACCCATTGCCGTCGCCGCCGTCTCAGGCGCTTCACGTACAAGTCGTGCGGCTTTGGCACATTTACCATGTTTTGCAAATGGTTTGAGCGGGAGGGCTGGTTGGTCATGGACCAGGAGCGCAGCAGCGTGGTCATTAGGTAAGCGTGTGGGGAAAAGCCTGATAAGAACGCGGGGCAGCCGGCGAATGATGACCAGTTTCAGGTTACCGCCCAGGCCGCTGACATGTGACCTGTTGGACGTAGTGTGCGAAGATGAAGGCTGCCGCCTTTGGATTATTGCTCATCATTTGTCGTGAAGTTTTTAGTAAAAGCTCGCCGGGTCATATCTGAATATAGAGCTGAGAGGTGTACATCCATCTGGGTCCGCCGCACAAAACAAGGGGATAACCAAGGGGATATTCTTGTTCGATGCACAACGACTCTTGCAGACTAATCCCAAGTCGTGTCTCCTTAACTGAGTATTTGTGGTTTGACCCTTCAGCCCGCGGCTATGCTCCCCCTTCCGCCTCGCAGCCGCACCAAATTCGACCGCTCTACAGGCACCGGTGCGCCGGGCCCCAGCCAGCAGCGTCCTTCCCGCTCCAGGGAGCGCTCCCGCGAGCGGAAGCGGAAACGCGAACAGAAGCTGCGAAAGCGGGAACGGGAACGGAAACAGCGCTCACCCCGTGAGCCGCGGGACCGCGACCGGGGCCGTAGCGGCGGTAAGGAGGAAGACAAGGCGGCTGGAGATGGCAAGGATGGAGAGGAGAAGGGACTCGGTGCCGAGAGCGACAAGGCTGGCGACAGGTAGGCGAGTGTGTGCTGCGGGGTCGCTCTTGGCGCAGGAGCCGAGGCCGGGAAACAGGACGAAATTCGGGGTGAGGTGGGCTCATGATTCTTGGCGTTGATCAATAAAGCTTACCCTCCACCAGCTCCATCAATTTCTCATGCCGCCAGGTCGACCTGCCCTCCGCCCACGCATCTCTACATCAGCTTCCGTCCCGGGTTCCATCTGTTTTCCTCAACCCCTGCTGCCCGTTTACATCCGTCGCCTGCCAGGTCCTGCTCTCCCTCGCGCTCGCGGTCCCGGTCGCGGTCGCGCTCTCCACGTGGTTCTCCGCCGGCACCCCGTCGCATGTCCCGTGACGTGCCACGCGAGTCGGAGCGCTGGCAGCTGGACCCAACAGCGAAAACCGCACAGGGCGGGGAGCGCTGGAAGATGGAAGTTGACCAGGCTTGAGCGACGCTTCCGCACGCCTTGCCGCGTCTCTGTCCCGTACGTAGGGAATCTATTATTGTTCCGGTCTCTCCATAAGGTCTGCGAGTGCCTTCGTTGAACGGTCGAGCTGCTGACATACCTGAGACGGCCAGAGCAGAGACTGAATGGTGATAGGAAGGGTTGGATGTCTTTGTTAGGGGATAGCTGGTTGGTGCATGGCGTTGTAGTTGCGGTGCTTGGTATGGGGTTTAGGTTCGCCGCCTGAGAACGGGGATACTGGTGCCAGTTGAGCTGGTGAAGCAGGCGGCGAGTTGCATGGAACGTGCCACTACAGGGAGCCATTGCCCGAAGCTCGTCGATATGGGTTATAGCCTTATTAAGATGCAGCTGCTGACATTGACAAGCCGGACAGGTTGGCTTGCTTAGCTAAAGTGATATTGCTATTGCGAAGAATGAAGACAAACACTTGTGTGTGGCACAGGGTCAAGTATGGATGACATGATGTGCTGGAAGAGGAGCACACATAAAACGTGAGGAAGGGTATGAGGATGATCAGGACTGGGCAACGCCGTGTTGCATATTGAAAAAGCAGCGGACGATAGCCGATGTCACCTAAGGGAATGAGTTCTTCTGTCAACATGCACATACGCCCATCCTCCCTTTCTGAATGGTCCCGCACCAATAGCCAACCCATACAACCAGGCGGCTAAAGGTAGCAAGTAGCATCAAACATGCTTCAACGTACGGTACTTTGGGTAAACGTATACAGACGGCGAAGACGGCTTTCTTCGCCTCGGACTTCCCAATGTTTCACAGAAGCATGTATCGCAGAGGCATAAAAAGTCCAAGCAAGCTGTCAAAGCCTTACGAACTGCAAAACCACTAACTCCACCGACTCGATCATGTCGCACTGACAACAACCGTCCAAGCAAGCTCTTCGATGCGAGTGCACCCAGCTTAATATACGCCTTGGCATAATCAGCCACCTCGACCACTCCCTGATACGAAGACGCCTGTGTACAGGCAGACGGCATATGCAGCCGTTCCACTGGTCAATTACTACCCTATCTGCCTACGCCACGACGACGCTGCAGTGTCAACTTGTGTCAACCTCTGGCGCTAGCATGCCTGATGACGCTCGTGCATCGGTCAGCCCATGCAGGGTGGAAGGGCTGGCCCGGCCGCCTCCGCGTATCCGCCGTCATCCTCCTCATCCATCGCCTCCGCGGCAACGCCATCGGCGCCACTGCCCGCCAAACCAGGCGGCATCAAGGGTCCCGCAGCGACAGCGTAAGTACCCTCCTCGCCCTCATCTTCATCCTCCTGCAGAAGCATAGAAAACAAGCTGCACATGAGATTCTGCCATTCCGCACAGCATCGAGTCTTCCTCAATCCTTCAAAGCGAATCGCCACCATCGTCGGCCATGGTGCTGTTACTGCTTCCTGAGAATCATCTGGCTCGCGGCCGTGCGGTGTGGCAGTATTTATACGCGTGGGTGCTACGCGTATTAATACGAATTGTAGACTACGATTTCGCCTTAAGACGCACGCGAAGCCGGCGACGCAACGCAATGCTGCGGTGCCAACCATTAAAGAATTGCCATGACCATCTGCTCCATCTATCGAAACCCTCACAGCTGAACTGACGGACGGGCGAGGTAAACCCTAAACCTTGAGTCCTGCAGAAGGAATCACATCTGCACGCTATGGCAAACTGAGCGTGCTCCATAACCCCAAGTATCCCAATTACCCGGCATCACCATCCCCCCTTACATCCTCATCCTCATCGCTGTCGTCGTCCTCGACGCCCTCGTTATCATCCAAGCCCTGCATGTGTACCAGCTCTTCATCTTCGTCCGAGTCGGATTCCTCCTCATCATCTTCCGCGCCTAGATCTTGAATCCGAAGAGCGCCTCCACGCATTACCGAGCCGCCCGGGGCTGCTACCGCCACCGCGGCCGCCTCCTCGTCCTCCTCCAAGAACGCAGCAGGCATCGGTACAACCCTTCGTTGCTGTTGCGGCTGCCGCGGCGGCAGCGGTCGCGACGGCTCTGCCGCCGCCACTGCCGGCTGCACCTCGGCTGGCAATGCCGCATCCACCGAAAATTTCTCCGCCGGGTGTCCATCCTCCTGCTTTCCCTCGGCAGGTGCGCCCTCTACCATTTCGCCATCCACGCCCACCTGCTCTGCCCCTCCTTGCGTCCCCACCACTGGCTCCACTGTCGCTGCCACCGGCGCCTCCGCCGCTGTAACCTGAGCCCGCTGACGGGCAGCCATTGCCTGCCGCTGCGCCGGCGGCCTCACGGATGGCCCTGCTTCTTCTTCATCCTCCTCATCCTCGCCATCCATACGACCCAGAGCAATCGCAATCGGTCGCTTGGTCCCCACGCGCGCCGCGGGCGCGGAGTGAGAGTCAGGTCCGTTTGCCGGTTCCGCCAACGCTGGCCCTGCAGCCGTCGTCGTCGCGGCGTCCCCGGCGTGGGCTTGGCCGTCAGCCTCGTCAGCATCTGTTGTACGGTTGGCGCCCCGCAAGTGCCGCTGCTTTCTAGGCAGCCGACGCCCGCCCTCCTCGCTGCCTTCGCCCTCCCCTGCCTCTGCTGCGGCGGCATTGGCCTCCCGGGCCTCTTTTGCCTGCTGATATGCCTGGACTGCTTCCTCCAGGACGGCAACCACCTGCCACCATCACCACAAGGGGACGCGTGTTAAGCACCTCAGCAAATATTTCGACAAATTAATGATTCCGCTATGTGCCGGGGCAGTAGAGCCCAATAATCTGCACAACTATATGACATGTGCCCATGTATCAATTTGCCGAACCAAAAGCACAAAGACCTGATGCACAAAGGCCTGCAGGGATCAGCACTTGTCTCTGTAGCGCAGGACGCCCTACAAAATTGGCGAGCAGCGCCCTCTCAGGGCTGGTGTCAGGATGCATTGCACCTCCATGCGACATGCTTAACGCCGCCGAGCAAGCAGCCATGCAAGCACTCCAAGCTCGCATCGAGCTGTCGCGTTTCCCTGGCCCGTGCCCCAGCTCCAACTTCTACGGCAAATCCTCACAGCCTTCCAGACCTGACCCGTCTTCGCTATCCTCCCCGAGCAACCCCAGCCAGCCCTTCCGACTGCCTTGCTTAGACTGGGCCAGGCAAGAGCTGCTTTTTGCAAATCAGTGTACCTCCGTTGCCTTGGCGAGCTGCAAGGGCGTTTCGTTGCGCTTGCTGGTCGCTGTGGGATTGGCTTGCCGCCGCAACAGCAGCTCCACCACGGCTTTATGACCTGAAGCGCAGTCAGGTAGAGAATCGGGCGACGGTCATCGGGTCAGGCGAGGCCGGGTCAATTCGATCGAGTTCCAGGCTGACACATGCGGCATAAGAAGCCATAGAACCGTGGGAACCTAGGACGTGCCATGCGACCTTACCCCCTTGCGCGGCGAAGTGCAGCGGGGTAAAGCCCTTCCGGTTGCGGGAGTCCATGTAAAGCCCTGTGGGATGGGGACAGGGGGCAGCGGCGGACTTTGGGCGAAAGATGTAGGGTAGGAAAAGGAAAGGGGTTGAACATTTGTAAGCAGATCGACGGTAAGGGGACGAAGAGGCGAGAAGGACCCACCGGCGTTGAGGAGGTGGCGGACGCATTCCGAGTGGCCCTTTTGTGCCGCGAAATGCAGCGCGTTCATGTCATCCACTGCAGCCGCCCCAATCTTGCAGCCATGCGCAAGCAGCACCTTGAGGACCTCCTGCGTTGCGTACGCCGCGGGGGCGCCTGGGCTTGGCGGGGAGGACAGGCGACGCGAATGCAGGAAAGGCCTTGCATGACCCGTGCACATGCCCACGCGGTTAAGCTATGGTTCAGAGCTGCGTTGGAGAAGGCATGCGGTCTAAGTCTATCCGCCCACAAACACCTAGATTCGCATCGTACCGTGTGCCCTGCCCATGCGGCAAGATGCAATGGAGTGCGATGCAGATTGTCCCGTTGATCGACATCCACTTGCTGTGCGAGCAGTTCGTGCAGAGCCTGGAGGTTGCCGGCTCGCGCCGCATCGTGAAGCGGAAAAGCCATACTGCAGCTTGGGCCCCCCAAAGAGAGCTCTCGGTTGTGTTATTGTTTATATGCTATAACAATGGCACTCATAACTAGTGAAATAGCACTTCACGTAGAGCTTTCACCTAGCTTTGTCCGGCCTCACCACAAAGTCAGCAAGCCCTAAGAAGGTACATTGCACCCCAAAAAACCATATTAAGGCCACGCCCCGACAAAAGCGTACGTCTTATCGGCTGTAAAGGCTCATTGAACCCGGCAGACCGATACTACTGGCTGTTTTGCATCGTTCCCAAATATGCAAAGGCCCGCTATCATATTCCTTATTAGTACACCAATTTTATGTTTAAGCCCCCCCTATTTTGGCTAGGCAACAGCACCGTCGTGGTATGCGTGCTGTGAAATGTGCTTTTTACTATGCAGCATCATGGCACGCAAGCCTCTCAAATTCCTAGCCCAAATGGCAGAATTCATACTGCGACAAATTTCCAGCAGCAAAAGCGCTGGGCTCATAATTTTCGCGCGGCGTGCCGTACTACGCACAGCGTCAAGCGTTTACACCAATTCCAAAACGCTGACAAAAGATTTTCCTTGACTGAGGGCGAATGCCACACGCACTGATAACTACTTCGTTTGACTCCCTAGAGTTTCTTAGAGGTATATTGTGATTTTGCTATCCTCGGGTTCAAAGTCTTGGAAGCACCCCGAAGCGCAAATCTCATGGCAGCCTCTTCTCCAAGTTCCCCTTGTTCGGCTTCGCCCCAACGTAAAGGAATCAAGACAAGCGATGGCAGCATTACAGCCAAAGTTCAAACCCAGGCGTCGCAGCGTCCTATAAATGGTCACCGCGAAGCAGAGCCCATCTTTGAGCCGCAGCTAGCTGACAGCGAACCTGAACATGGAAAGAAATCAAGCAGCCACGTTCCTCGGGTCTCGGCTGCTTCCAGTGCGCTCGACGGCAGCAGCTACAGGTCAAACGTTGATGACTTCAAAACCGGCAACGCTTCAGACAATTTGCCTCAAAATTGGATCCCTAACGGCCTTTTGAAAGTTCGGCATCATGTCGCCCGGCCCGACTTTCCGGTGGAGGGCTTTATCGCCTTTCCAACACAACGCACCAACTCCAGCTCCAACCCTCAGAGCCCGAGGACAGCTCCAGCCATGGCACACGGGTCTCACAGGCTTCATACCGGCCTGCCCGTTCCTAGCACCATAAATAGGCATCGTCACTCTCACGCCGGTGTTTCCAGCCCAGAGGGCGGCCTCTTCAACCTGCTCCGCCGTCCCCAGCCCCAGCCCTTCTCCTTGCGTGTGCCCCGGACTGGGGGAGCCGTCGCAAGCATCGCCACGACACCAACGGCGCCGCGACCCCGCCGTTCGCCCGCTGCGCACACCGCAGCAGCGGCATCAACCGCGGCCGCTGGTGCCACTGCGCGCCCCTCCCCGGGCGCCTTGATTCGCTACGTCGTCGCCCCGATGTTGTTGCTTCCGATAGCCTGGCCTTGGCTGCTGCTGCGCTGCGCCCAGATGATGCTGTCGGTGGCGTGTCTGCTGGCAGCGGCGGCGGCGGATGGGCTGATTTTCCTGGCTGAGCTGTTGAGGCGAAACCGGGGCAGTGTAGAGGTGCTGAGCTCCTGGGCGTCCGGCTCATTGGGCTGGGTTGTGGCGCGCTATTGGGCGGGCCTGGGGCAGCTGCACATGGTAAGAGGGGCGCAGAAGGGATGGGAAAATGTAGTTCTGCTAGAGGTGTGTTCCCGGAATAGCACACCGGACGCCAAGCCAAGCCACTGTGCGCGGCCTTAAACGTGCCTGGGGAAGGCCAAAGCAGTTGCGACAAACTGGATAACCCCTTTGTGGAAACTGGCCTTGTCCATCCTTACATGCCCGGACCTGACCTGACGCGCCGCCCCCACCCATCCCTTGCACCGGGTTCACATGCATGCAGGGCTTTGAGGAGGCCCTCGGTCGCCTCTCACAGTTACTCACACCCCTGCTGGCAGCCGCAATTAGCAGCTCACCCGTAGCAGCGCGCCTGTTTCGGATGATTAGTCCTCTGCTTGCAGTGGTGGCCAAGGTCCAGGCTGCCGTGTACGGCATGTACTGCTTCGTACACGACGAGATTGTGCCGGTCGCGCTCGACCTTGCGGAGCGGCTGCCGCTGGTGCATGGGCTGCTTCATAGGGCGGTGGAGGGGGGCAGTGCCTAAAATGCTGAGCCATATGCTGCGCGTGTGGTGTGCTGTGCTAGATCGTTAATATTCAGTCCGCTTATAGGCGCGTGGCGAGTAGTGGGAAATTAAATTCACTGGTCTGGTTGCATGCTCACATACAGGTATGTAACCAGGGAACTCATAATGGATGGATATGTAGTAAGAGCCAGCGCAGGTTAGGGCTGTAGGAGAGGTGCCTAGAGGGTCGCAGTGGACTATAAAGACAGCTTTCAGGGAGGCAGAGCGACTGGCACGTAAGGGAGAGAACGCAGGATAGAGGGTTAGTTGGGTGCGGCAGAGGCAGCGGTAATGATCGGGGGCGCCAGATAAGGAGGTGATAGGGTTGTCGTCGTCCATTTATTCAAGCAGGGATTAAACCGAGTGGCAAGATGCAGCTTTTGCTTAGATGGGGTCCCGACAGGATACTAGTGATGCAGGCAGGCCATAACTGTGAATTAGACTGAGAAGACGTGACGACCTGACGATTGCACTTCAATTATCCTCATGGTGTGGATACGCCGCGTTGTTTTCAAGTACCGTGTCGTACTTGCTGGTGACAGAAATGCTTAAGAGGTGAGCATCTTGGGAAGGCACAGCGGCTAACGCCACATTTCCTTTTTAACGCTTTAATTAGCATGCTGGGCCTCAGGGCGTGGCTGGGCAGTGTCTTCATTGAGATCCATCTGCCTTCTTCACACCATGTGTGTGTGTGTGTGTGTGTTACATGGTCGTGGGGGTGCGTACCCGGTACCTGCAAACTGCCCGATACGAGGGGTCGAGGGCTGCCAGATCACCTATGAGCACCATCCTACCTCGCACTCCAGATAAAGCAAGTGATAAAGGAGGCTAACAACCAAAGGGAACAATAGAGTTGCGGTGGGAACACATACATTCCAGCATCTTCGCCAGACGTTCAAGTTCCCACTTCATAGTGTCCTTCATATGCTCAGAGCGTGGTAAATCCTTATCTGATCTGATTGCACCGTACACCGGACAGTCCAGCAAGACGTGTTTCCCATCTTTAATATGGCTATCAGTGCTGCAGCAGGGGCATACCCTCTCCTCCCTAGGTACATAACGCCGTCCCTTCCGCGCTCTGTTCACCGCCAACACCCAACAGCAAAGCCTAAACTGCATAATCTTACAATTCGCTGAACGTGGGATAAATGTTGTGATATGCGGGAGCACCTCCGTCCTGGCCGCTTGCTTAGCCGCCAGACCCATCCAATGCTGATAATTCGCCATGTGGATCCCAGGTTGCTTACCGTCTGACGGGTACACGTCGCGCCCCAGAAAACGGAGGACCAGTGACCCCCATCCGCCGCCTTTGGGGTTGGAGAGAGCCTCTACAATCTCCTGTCGCAAAACTTGGAATGCCACAGACCCACGCTGTAAGCGGACACGGTTGCAAAAACGCACAATCTGCTTAAGAACATGGTAGTGTAGAGGTAGCCGTGACAATTCAGCCGAACAGGAGGCGGTGCGCTGGTCTGATGCTCTCACAATTTGCCGCATGAATGATACCTGGAGCTGCACCGCTCCATCCTTCAGACATGCCTCGAAGGGCACCTCCGCAAGGATACTCGCATCACTCGCCTCCTGAGCCTGTCCTAGACTTCAGTTTACGTTGACTGACACACACTTGACAACCGTACAGCAGTGTTGCTCGTACCTGCGTATTAAAACACCTCATCCTCACATCCAGGGCGAACAACTTTAGCTTATCCAACTTTGTACTCAGCGCGAACATAGCTGCCCTAGCTGTGTTGTACAACTGCCGGCGGCAGGAACGAAACGGCCGTTCTGGCCCATAGACTAAACCCAGATATCGCGCACCCTCGACTACGACTACGACGACGACTAGGACGACGACTACGACGACGACTACGACTAACGTTGGTCTGAACCCGCAGCAACGTCTTTCGTTCGTACATACCACTCGCTAATCGCATTATAATGTTCGAGATGTTCCCTCCAAAGACACGGCCACTATGCGTTATCTTGAGCAAGGAAGGCGCTACATCCGATGTTTCCCCTCACCATCACGGGCCCCCAGGTGGTCCTCGTCCCCGCAAGCGCCCCAGCAGCCTCCTGGCCTCCCGACGAAGTTCGGCCATCCGCGCCTCCTCTGAATCCGCAGCCGTAAGCCCCATATACCGCGACTTGCCCCCTTCCCCATCACCCTCACCCACGCCCACGGTGGCGGCGAACGATCCTGCTGTGGCTGCGAGCAGTGATCCTTCGGACGCCATCCCTGAAAATTCGGATGCCGCGACGCATCCGGTGATTGAAGCGCTACAATCACCCCCGCCGCCGCTCCTGCCGCCGCTGCTGACCTCCTCTCCGTTTTCGCTGGGCCCGCATCCTCGGGTGTTCACTGCGCTTGGAGACGTCGTGATATGGGTCGACACGGTGCCGTCGCCGTACAGAGATCCCGTTGCCGTACTAGACGACCTTGGTGAGGGTGCAGGGGTCTGGTGTGCGGGAGGCGCGGGGTCTGGGGAGACCGCGGAGTGTTTCGGGGCATACGCCAGGCTGTACGGCCTCTCGTTCGAGGTTTGGTTTTGGAGCTGCTCCAACTGGGCCTGAACAGAGGAATGCGGAAGGGGATGAAGACGAGGGGTTGCCAGGAGTAGAGATCTCAGTGCCGAACATGGCCTTTGTTCATATGCAAAAGATTGAGGGGCCTGGACCTAGTGTGCTTGTCGTTTGTGTTTGTGTTTTTATGTGGTGTTTGTATGGGTGGTGGGTAGATGTGGGGGTAACTTGGTAGGTGGGTGAAAAACCAGGTGGTTTCGACAGTCTAGGCGTACAGGCACCTTGCATTGCAGGCAATGCGTTGAAGAGCCTCCCGACATGGCACCTGACTACGCGGAAGGGGGAGGGATAAATGAGCTGCTGCATATGCAGTCAGGTATGTCCGCATAATCAAGCTGCGGAACACAGTCCGGGCGTTGGAAGCGCCTGTGAGGGGGCGTTGTGGTTCCATGGCTTGAATCCGTTGCACCCACCATCACGAGGTCCACCGCGCCCGCGCTCATCGCGTTGCCCACAAAATTAGTGGTGGGGCCCACCTCCACCACCTCGTACCCCGGCTCGGCGGGTCGCACCACCCCTGCAGAGACTGCCAAGGTCCCTGACCCCCTTGCGGAGGAGGAGGAGGAGGCTGATGCCCCGGGCCCACGTGATGACACCGCCTGCGGATTGAAACGCGGGCTCCGTCAGGCGGCGGACAGGCGGCGGACAGTATGGGCGAGTGCAAAGGGCAATGCGGGTGGTTGGATGGGATCTTGGGTGATGCGCACTAGCAGGGTTGGGTCGTGGGGGCCATGTAGGTGGCGGAGCGATACTGGCGGCGCGGCACGAAGCTCCCTCATCAGCTACCTGCGGGGGACGAACAGGTGCAGCCCCTTGCCGACCTGCCCCTGCAGTCCCTCACAGACTAACTCCGGTCCGCGTCCAGCGAGTGTGAGGTCACAGTACAGCGGTGCAGATCCGCTTCCATTTCTTGCCTCGCCAGCCCCCGGGCCTTCCCCTGTGTCGCCCTGCTATCTATCGCACGTACAGCCGTCCATCCGCCCATCCACTCATCCTCTCACCCACCTTGCGGTAGGGGCCCCCATGAGGCTCTTTGACCCAGATGCACCGGTGGTGGTGGCGTTCCGCCTCAGCCCGACGAGCCTCCAGTGCCGCTCGCCGCACCATCACCTGCAGCAGCTCCACCCATTCACCCAGCAATCTTAAGTTGGGGCCACGCCTAATCGGGCTTATTGGCAGCCATGGCGCCATGGACGCGGTCCTGTCGCCCTATTGAACGGTGCGCCAATAACGCCATTGGTTGATACTTCCTTCCCTTGACTCCCTCCCTTACAACTCCTTGATTCACTGGGCCCAATCGTGGCGGGAGTCTGCTGGATCTCGTCCGTCAAATACACAGCCCACCAACAGTCATCACCCTGACTCGGCTAAGTGGATATTGAATGATTAACGCTTCTTCCAACACGCTGGCGCTGTGGAAGCAGTTAATACCACGTCGCTGCTGGACTACTCCCTTTGGTTGCCAGGGGGGCCCCCAAAACGCGCTTCGAGCTGAGGCCCCGCCCCAAAAGCTGTTCGTGAGCCATCCTTGCCATTTCCAACTCGCGACTACACAGTCTCCATGCAACACGTACACATACGGACAAACTGTTCGTCACGTTTGCAACGCAGACAATGTCCTCACGAACATGCGGGCACACACAAGCACCTGCACAGGCACAGGCGCACCTGCTCCGCATCTGGAGGCGGCGTCTCCAGCTCCACAATCGCCCAGGAAGGGCAGCCGGAGCACACCAAGGCCCTACTACTTCCATCGCTACTGCTGCTGCAGCCCCTGATGCTGCTGTTGCTGTCGCTACCGCACCCGGCGTTAACACTGCCAACGACATGGCCGATGGTGCTGCCCTCGCGGGCGCTGGCGACAACGCCACGCTCCATATCGTGCTTGCCATCGGTTGCTGGGCGCTCAGCGACAACATCATAAATGCCGGGGCTGCAGCTGGTGGAGCTGTCGTCGGTGCCGTTGCTGTTGCAGTTGCCACTGCCGATAGCGCTGGCAGCGGCGACCTTGGGCCCGTCTCTGCCATCTTGGCCGTCTCCGCCTGCAAAGCTAATGTTACTGCTGTTATTGACGATGCTGAGTGGCACTGGCCCGGGGCTGTAAGGTGTGGCAAGCAGCTCCGCCTGCGTGCGGTGTTGCATGTCGCTGGGCTGGCTGGAACGCTGGATGGACAGGCCGGCAGAGGTTAACCACTGGGCGTAGAGACTTGGGAGCCTGCCGGTGGGAGGGAAAAATTATGAGCAATCTGCGGCCGGGACAGTGTGCCTGTTTCATACAAGAAGGTAGCTTGTGACGTTCGTTGACGTTCGTTGTAACGCACATGGGACGAGCCGACGGGGAGATTGTGGACATTCCTAGATTCGGACTGTAATCGACTATGAATCCGGCATGCAAATCTTTGTGTATATAATATGAAACAATCTATGTTTGGGCATCGGAGACTGGTAATTTCCTATTCGCCCGAAGCGCCCCATGGGCCCGCCTCAATGTGATGCCACAGTTAAGTCATGCAATATGGTTTCTCGTATGCAGAGCCCATAACCCCCATACCAAATGAAAAGAAATTTTGTCCTAACATCACTGAGAGCGTAATGCTCATATTTATGATAAGGTTTTAACTAAAGCCAGTTGCGATTTATCACAGCGCTTGCCGAATCAATCGACAGAGGGGAAGCCCTGAAGCCTCAACTGTAACTTGCAGATTGGTCCTATTGTGAGCAATTTGCTGGAACATCCTTCCGCAAAGCCAAGCATTCCAAATGTTAGACGCTTGCCGATTAGGTAATTTAAAGCGCATCGCCTATTCACGTGGATCATGGCTACACAGGTGCGCATTTGCTTGCTGTCCCAAGGTGGTGTTGGTGATGGGCAACCCCATTTGTGTCGCTTACCAAAGTTCTTGACACAATACAACATCCTATATCTGTCAAACAAATGGCTTTCAGCAGAGCTAGTGGTATAAGGGTCAAGTCAGCAGCCCTTGACGGCCGGGATGTGGTGGACTGATTCCCGCTCCGACGAGGGTCCCGTCGCCAGCCACCAGACTAATCCCTTCATTCCCTTGAATTCACATCCCCTCTCCCCCTTCCCCTTATATCAAAGGCGCACGTCTGTTACCAGCCCGCCGCCCCGGGTGCCAGTGGCAGTGGCAGCCAGCGGCGCAGCTACAGTTACCACGGTCTTCGCTCCCTCGCCTGCTTCCGCATCCGGACCTCTGGCGACTTCCCCCGACTACTTCACGCAGCGCTTCCGCATCCTGCCAGTTGCGGAACAGTTCCGACAAACCCGTCAAAAGGCGAGAGCTCCCCGCGAGCTTATCCTTGGATAGATTGCCCACAAGAGCAATCGCGGCAAGCGCAGCGCACAAGCGGACAACCCTCCCCACACACACCTTTACTCCTACCAGCGCTTTTACTTTGCCGGCGCTTTCATCATGGTTTTCTCCCTGCCCCTCCCGTTTCCCTTTCGCTTTCATTGATGCCCATGTTCGCTGGTTTTTCTGCTGTCACCTTTCCCTCCTCCGGCACCTTCCTCCATGTCTCGGTCCATAGTGCTTGAGTGCTCCTCCCCCGCGCCCCCCGCCCATCCATACCCTCCCCCCCCTCACCCACCCGGCTTGCAGGTATGTCGGGAGTTCTTGGGGGGCGGTTTGCTGTATCTGGAGGGGGGGGAGGCACCTCCTCGCAACGGCACCGACGTAATGCACCGCCACCGCTCTAACTCGTACTTTGTGTACGTCACGGGAGTGGAGCTACCAGGGTTTGCGGCCCTGCTGGAGCCGGAGAGCGGTGGGTCGGTGGGTCGGTGGGTCCCAGTTGTGGTGGGGAGCAGTGGAGGAAGTTGAGTTTACGAAAGGGGTTCCGTTGATGCTGATGCTTGCAGTTGGTGACTGCGATGCTGGGTTCCCTTTCAAATGAGTCTGTTAATGGGGGTCGGTTAAGGTCGGTTGAGGTCGGTTAAGCGAATGGTTGATGGTACGGATTCGTTTCATCCCCGCCCTCTACCCCCTTCTCCCCTTCCACCGCCGGCAGGTCATTTCACGTTGCTGGCCCCGCGGCTCCCCGAGGAGGCAGCCTACTGGGTAGGTGCCGTACCCACCCTGGAGCAGCTGCAGGAGCAGTACGGCGCGGACAGGTAGGCGCCTGCTGTCGTATTTTACTATACCGTTCGATACGGCCCATTCGGCCAGGCGCCTCCCAAACACCCAACCGAAGGGGTGTCGTGAGCCAGTGGTAGCTTCCATTCTCTTCGAGGAAGAGGTGCAGCTGCTCCTGGAGTGATGTCTGGAGGGGGGAAATGGAAAGGGCCGTCATGTCGTGCGGTCGTCGTGTGGGGCTGTGTCTGCCCACATGGCCGGCAGATGGGCAACAGCTCAACCGCGCGCATCTTTTATCTATCGCGTAACGCTCTCTGCGTCCGTTCCCGCCTCGATAACGGATCGTGTGCGTTCGGTTCCGACTGCATGAAAGTGTCCAATGCAAAATGCGACTTGAGCTGGTTTATGCTCTCTCTCTCTCTCTCTCTCTCTCTCTCTCTCTCTCTATCTATCTATCTATCTATCTATCTATCTATCTATCTATCTATCTATCTATATCTATATCTATATCTATATCTATATCTATATCTATATCTATATCTATATCTATATCTATATCTATATCTATATCTATATCTATATCTATATCTATATCTATATCTATATCTATATCTATATCTATATCTATATCTATATCTATATCTATATCTATATCTATATCTATATCTATACCTATATCTATATCTATATCTATATCTATACCTATATCTATATCTATATCTATCTATATCTATCTATACCTATCTATATCTATTTATCTCTCTCGCTCTCTCGCGCTCCTTCCTGGATTTCTCCCTTCACCTCCAGGTCCTGCATCCTCTAATCTTTCCGTCCCCCTGCCGCCATTACCTTGGCACATCGAGCATGCCATCGTACACCACGTACAAACGTACAATCCACCGCATGCCACCAGAGGTCGGCAAACCCTGAATAACTGTCACGGGTACTGGTGCCAGGGTCGAATAACTGTATGGAAATGTTTTTTGGTAAAAGCCGAGGAAAGAGTGTCTGCGGGCCGATGTACCAAACTTACTACGTTACACCATCGTTATTAAAGCCACAGCTGTCTTGTTGCGCCCAATTACTGCACAAACCTGCCTTTTGGGGGGAATTTCTGCACCCTGCCGTACGGCTGCCGTACCAGCGATGAAGAGTAGAGTTGAATTTCTGCAACGGGTATAACGGAAGGACCCGCTGTACCAGCGGCGTTTGCCGACCCCTGCATGCCACGTACAAACGTACATGAATACGACCGTACTTGCATAAAATCGTACAGGGTTGTCTACCTCGACGAGCTCAAGGGGCTCCTAGCGGCTGCGGGTGCCTCCACGTTGCACACACTACCGGGCTGCGCGGAGAAGCTGACGGGCAAGATACCGCCCGGTGGGCTGGGTGTATGTGTGTATGTATGTTTGTACCTACGTATTTGAGTGGGCGGGCAGATGGGACGGGGGTGAAATAGTGGGTGCGGGCGTGTGGTAAGCTGCCCCTCTCTCACGCACGCACGCGCGTGTGATCTTACAACTCGCACCAGTGCCAGCTGTCGGGAGCAGCGAGCCAGGGGTCATACGCCTGCCGGTGTCCTAGCTTGCTAGCTTCCCCCGTCCCCCGCCCTGCCGTTCAGGCTGCCACGTGCTTACCGACCTGCTTCCGGCCACCCTGGACCGCTGTCGGGCTGTCAAGACGGATGCGGAAGTGGGCTGTCTGCAGGCCGCCAGTGCCGCCAGCGGGGCCGCACACATGGACATGTGGCGGGCGTGCAGGCCTGGTGGGTGGCGGGCGCGGGACAGGAGGGGGCTGTGGGTTGGGGGGAGGTTGGGAGTGAGCGTGCGATGGGCGGGTAAGGGTTATGATGAGGGTTTGGGGAGGGCGGGACTACAAACCGGGGGATGGAAGAGAAGGAAGATAAAGGTACGGGACGTACGGAAGTGCTCTATGCGTTGCATGACCGTGTTTTACGCTTACATTAACCCGAAGCCCCCACCTCTACCACCTCTATCGCCAACCCCACCCCTCACCTGACCCCCACCTGACCAACCAGCAGGTCTTCGTGAGTACCAGTTGGAGGCGGTGTTCTCGCTGTCCTCCCGCTGCCGGGGAGCGCCCTGCCCCGGCTACCCCCCCATAGTGGGGTCCGGACCCAATGCAGCGGTGATGCATTACGAGGCGGCGGACGGGGTGGTAGAGGCGGGGCACCTGGTGCTCGTGGATGCCGGGGCGGAGTGGAGGTGAGGAGTTGGGCAGGTTGCGGCGGGAGGTCGAGGAGTGTGGGGGTTGGGGAGGAAAGCGGTACGAAGGAGCCATAACATTCTCCGGCTGTCCTTCCCTGGCTTACATCATCGCGGATGGCCAGGTCAGTTCCAGGCTGGGCTGGGCTGGGCTGGGCTGGGCTGGGCTGGGCTGGGCTGGGCTGGGCTGGGCTGGGCTGGGCTGGGCTGGGCTGGGCTGGGCTGGGCTGGGCTGGGCTGGGCTGGGCTGGGCTGGGCTGGGCTGGGCTGGGCTAGGCTGGGCTCCTGGTTGACAACATGGGGAGTCGCTGCACTGGGATGCGCTTGTCGGCTAGTTTGCTTCCGCTGCAAGATCGATTAAATCTTGGTACGCGTAGGTGGGTTGGCTGCGTGGTGTTTGCTTTGCTTACCCGACTATGTCCTCATCCGTATCGCATCGTCGTCCATCACTGCACGCCACTGCCGCTGCCGCCAGGTGCTACACCGCCGACATCTCCCGTACGTTCCCCGCGTCGGGCCGTTTCGAGGGCGCCGCACGGGACCTGTACGGCACTGTGCTGGCGGCGCAGTATGCGGCTTTGAGCACCCTGGCCGCGGCGCCTCCGCTGGCAGGAAGCGGCGGAGGAAGTGGCGGCGGCGGAGCGTCGCTTCAGGACGCTGACCGAGCTGCCCGGTTGGTGCTGCTGGAAGGGCTTCGTGAGATGGGCCTTATTCGGCGTGAGGCGGCCGGATCCAGGTGGGTTACGACAGGGTGGATTTAATCCTCCTCACGCCCTTTTCCTCTTCCTTCTGATCTCCCCAGCCACGACTTCTGCAGTTCAGTTGAAGTCATTCTGTCAGCCTTCTAGAAACACGTTCAACCCCCCTCTGCTGTGTCGCCATTTAGCTGTAATATGCAGGCTCTATTCCGGTGGCCCTAATCCTTTCTCCATGCCGTACAAGTTACGGCTCTCCGGGGAATCTCGTTTCTTATCTCGTTCTTGGTTCCATTCCCCGTACCCCGCGACAGTGGCAGCTGGCTGGAGGCGGCGCTACATGTCAAGTTGGATCGGGTCTTCATGCCGCACGGCATCGGCCACCACCTTGGGCTAGACGTACATGACGTCTCCGAAACAGGACCTGTGCCCAAGGGCCCCGTACAACCCGGCCACGTGCTCACCGTCGAGCCGGGTGCGTACCTCATCCCGGCGTTGCTGGCGCGGGCGCGAAACGACCCGGGGGTCGCACCCTTTCTGGACTTCGACGCCGCCGAGGCGTTGGTACGGTGCGGGCTCGGCGGCGTGCGGATTGAGGACAACGTAGTGGTGCTGGCGGAGGCGCCGCCGCCGGCGGCGCTGGCTGCGGCGCCGCCTCTGGGACTCCAGGGGCGCCTGTACAACCTGACGGTGGCGGCGGGGGTTGCGAAGGAGATGGCGGAGGTGGAGGAGGTGATGCGGCAGGAGTGGCGGCCGGAGGCGGCCATGCTATGACGTTGAGCCTCAGGGTTTTCCTTTGCCGCATTCAGCAGCAGCTGCCCGAGGCGGCGGCGGCGACTACGTAGGGCTGGAGCATGGCTGCTATACCCCATGGCGTGGCGGACAGCCTGCAAGTAATGAGTCTGTGTGTTACGTTGCGTTATATGCTGCATGATAGTGAGCTCTTATAGAGAGCCCAGGACCGGGCCATGTAGGATGTAGACAGGCTGAAGGCCCATATATATGTTTCAACCTGCTGCTGGCGTGCTATCTGGTTAAGGGATAGATGACTTGGGGTCGGTATGGCACATGATTATTTGGCCCTTGCGTATGTGCATCATCGTCAGATTACCGTTTTGGGTACTTGCGGCGTGAACGGATAGGCGATTTGCTGCACTTGGTTAAGTGGTAGGCAAGGTGGGAGCGATGAGGGATACATGAGGGTTTCCTGTCTCCGAGCCGTGGTTTCTTCAGGTTTTCATCATTCTGAGCTGCAGTGTTTTTTTGCATTTCATGGATTTCGCCGAGAGACAGACGGCCTTGAAGTATATGGAAACAATTTATGTTTCTTTCTTCCGAGCGCGCGAACCCGGTGCTGCGATCGTCTTGGAGACGTAGGGAAAAGCAAAACGTCCGAGGGCCTCGTTGGGGACGCATCGAGTATGCGTGTTTATGTGTGTGCGTAAGAACCTCAGTGTTACTCCTAGCGTTTGAAGTGCAATGGCGTTTGCGATGTTTGTACGCAACAGCGTACAGGTGCAGCGAACGAAACTTCGACGACTGAAAGCCCGTACTGGAAAGGTTGAGTCTTTCCTGCAGCGAGCTCTAGTGCTGACGCGGCACACGACTTCAGTTGTTCACGGATGTGTGACGTGCAAGGTGATGCGCGTCTGTACTCTAGAAGCGTTTAAAGTTGGGATGGTGCACGTGCTGGGATCCCCAGATGTGAGCCATAAATATATTCCATACATTAAGTGGAGACGCTGATCTTGTGGCGTTACCCCTGCGTTTCGAACTCACGATTCTTTTCTTAACTCGCAGTTGTAAGTAAGGTCCTTCATAATCACATCGGCTTTGCCAGTAACCGGCAACGGGTCCGTTGGTTGTCGCAAATAAGGCAAGCCAAATAAGGCAGTGCTGTTGGGCTGTCCGCTAGTCCGCAACAGTCCCGTTACATCGACTCTCCTAGACCGCCGACCGTACCACTCTGTACAATCCGCTCCGTCCGCACGCCTGATACAGATATAGACCACAACGGCATTACCATCGTAGCATCATGTGCCACAAACACATGAGATCCTACTTGATTGGCATTCGAAATTCCGCCGGCATGAGCACCGCGTCTGCCTAGTCAGCCCGCCGGCACACTCAATCTCGCGCAATGCACGCTACAGACTCCGTTCCGCGTGCATGCACCATACCTAGCTGCAATGTGTCTCCCTCTTTCTCGTTGGCATCGCAACGGGGGTTTTCAACCTTCAACCAGAGCGCTCGAAACACTCATTGATAGCCGCATAGTACCTGCGCAGAAAAGGTTCTGGAGAGATTCTGCAGCATCGGCTTTCGCCCCGGCTATGCGTCCAGCTGACTGGTGCACATGCGAACGTATTTCCACGTGCACCACGCACGCCCTCTGGCAGCAGACCCTGGAAGAGTGTGAGAACTACCATTTCTGGAAAGGACGAGTGGAACGCAGGATTGACCGATTCTCACAGGATTGACCGCCTGTCCGTCTCAATGCCAGATGGGCGGCAGCACATTTTCCGCATACTCGCCTACATAATTGCCAGGAGGGTAGTAGCGGCACACATGGAACTGCTGACCGCCGTTGCATGTGGCGACAGCACACCCTAGGTCCGTCGTACTCCTCCAGACGACCTGCACGCAGTTGGTGTGTGTGGGAGGTTGCATGATGGATGGGCGCGAAAAGGAAGACTGTACTGGTTTAGGCCAGGTAAGTTGGAAAGCAGAAATCTTTTTCAAGCGGATCTTTTATCGGTGTTGGGGCAAGCGGACGACGTGTACGAAAGTAGCCATCCAGTGCGCGCGTGCAATTCTGAACCACAAGCAAAGCGCGTCAGCGCAACCTGTGCACATGTCCATGCCCATGCAGCGCGGATGCAGCAGATCACTACCTGGGTGAAATGTCCCACGGAGTACCAGTCGGCGGGCTGAGAGACACCGTACGCGTAGCCAGCACCCTCAGAGTAGTAGGCATCGATAGCGGACTTGGCATCAGAGTAGCCCCAAGCAAGATTTTCACCTGTAGGCACGTTTATTGTACGCCATGTGCGTGTTAGGCAGCACGGTGACGTGTCGCAGGCCACGATTGGGCATGGCTTTAAGGACCAGCCGCATGGGTCTTAAGGACCAGCAGCATGGGTCTTAAGGACCAGCTGCACACACGCACGGCGGCCCCTTGCCTCATGACTCTCATTTTACTGCGAAGCCCACTGTAAGTCGTGTACGTGATGTGCGTGTATGGCGCGTTTGCATGCACATGTGTGCGTTACACCTTCTGGAGTTGCGTACCGACCCAAGGGCCAGTCGAAGGCTGTCCGAAGCAACAAATGCTACAACAAAAACCATAAATGATAACTGAAATGTACCACCCATACCGCGGAGGTCCGCTTGCTTTGCCGTACACTACACCTTCAAGTAAATTCGAAGCGTAGGAACATTTATTTACCACTATACCTTGTCCGGTTGCCCCGTTATTGGCATGCTCGAACACGCAGCGGTTAGCCCAAGCTTGCGCATCTGCCTCGAGGGTTGACGACCAGCGCAGAGGTGCGGTCGACTGGTGCCTTGACCTGTAGTAATTGTGTGTGTCCAGAGACTGCTGCGCATAGGCGGCTGCGATGTGGGTCAAGCACGGCGCCGCAGGGGTACGAGAGTCGTACGTAAGATCGCTTGGCTTACACGCGATACGTAAACCATGTGTTACACGGGGGTCACCAGACTAAGCTAGGGTAATGGACGGATGGGAATCCTGTGCCGCCAAGGAAGTTTAAGGCCCCATCCATCTGACAGCAATTCTGCACGTGGCTGGAGTAATTGTGGTGACGCCGGGTTTGCTGTGGCGCTGGCTAAGGATGGGCTCATGGACTCGGACAGTATGGATTCACCTTTCACCACCTAGCACATGACGCATACGACAGCCTCGTCCATGGCCTAGCATTTGAACGGGGCTGGCATAGCTGTTGTACAGTACGGCACAATACCATTTTAACATATGCACTGAAGCGCTCCGCCAATTCCTAGAGACGTCTCTTCAGCGGCTACCTATCCACGGGGCACAACGACTTAAGGTCAGAGGCAGAACCGTACCGGAGGTCTGCTGAAGCGCGCGACGAGGGACGGAACCTGGAGCGAGGGAGGATGGGGGCATTGATGAGGCCGCAGGGCCGCCGTGAGGTTGCCATTGTTGGTTTCCAGAATTAGATAGCAGGTAATCAACGAAACGGACACGTCTCGCAAATGACCTGGAGATACTACGCATTATAAGAATTTTATAGATTAGGCCGGCAAAGCGCACAAGCTCGGACGACCACAGGAGCGCTTCAGTGGTGGCGCTGAAGAGCGATTTCGAAGTCAAGGTGTTGGCGAGGGCTGCATTACCCTCGGCGAAACCGACGACGCAGGCAACCATCATCATCACCAGCAGCAGCAGCGGCGGCGGCGGCGTCAGCACCGAGCCGATGGAATGCGACCTGCCATGCATGTTGGCCTTTTAAGAAGGCGACCAGATGATAGGGGCCAGACGCTATATCTATTTCGTCTTGACAGCAGCACAAATCTATTGATGTATACTTCCTGCACTGCACCTATTATTTGATGTACAACTGCAACTTATTACAACTCGGGATTATTGCCGCCGTACAGATATACCTGCCTGGAGCATTATTGCCGTTTACCACGTTTCACGGAAGAGCTTGTTCAAGGCTGCGGACGGTCCAATAAAATTGACGAGGAGCGTGCATGGGTTTCGACACTTATCCGGCCCCTCCCCCGCTTACCTACCGAATAACTTCCTCCCTCTCCAAGAGTTGCCTAGGTTTACAATACCAAAAGCAAAGGAGCCATGCCTACAAATGACAGAAACGATGGCAGTGACACAAATTTCATGGTTGTCTGCGCCGTGCCGTATGCCTCGCTGCGAGCTCCCGCGGGCCTTATCAGTGCATCGGCCCAGGCACACCTATGTTGCCGTTGATCCCGGATGCCCGCTGTTTGACGACCTGGCTTCCGTCGTCCTGCATGACACAGCCACGTAGAGCCCTCGGCTCGTATTGGGTGGTTTGCAGGTACGAGGAACGCACCCCACGACCGTGTAATACACACACACACATCCACGTCCGACTAACATGATCGGTTCGCGCCCACCGACTAATAAAATGATATCGAGACCCTCGCGCGTTACGCACCGGAAACGGCTGCTAACGTATGCATCAAGTGAACACGCACTTGCGTGAAGGACATGGCTGCTTTGGGGCGCTTGAACCGCGCGCCGTGTGGTGTGTGGCCGTTTGGTCATTGTCAGCATCAGGTAGCTCACAAGCAACCTATGCGCACGTACATTCATGGTTCATCACATGGAATCACATGAAATGACATGAAGCATGACAACGGCCATTTCACCTTCCGTTCTGAGCGTGAATGCACTTATCAGGTAATCCATGGCCCGAGCGCGTGGAGAGTACTTGCGTGAGTAGTGCGGACTAGGGCCCATGCGTTCCGCCATTGCTGCTTATAGAGTAAAGTAAACTGCTGTAGAAGCGATCGTATGTTTCACCGCACGCACAGCACACCTTGGCGATTATTCCGCAACGGAAATCCGGTCCAAGACGGAATGGCGGGTACCTAGCGGTTCTGGAATCGGTGGGCATGTACGCATGGGTGTCATGAAAGGGGCAATGGAATCCTTTTAACGTGCATCTCGCTGCTGTTGACACGGCGATGAGCGGGCGTACCCCGCGAATACTGCCGCCGCTGCTGAGTGGTCCGTCACCACGACTTCTCGAGTATTCGCCGAAGCAGCCCACACATGTGACTCAGGACGTAGTGTAGCGCGCGGAGGCAAAAGAGAAGGCTGCGCGGCGTGCCTGCCGACGAAGGACACGAGGGCTATATATTTTTCAAAGTGCCCAGGTGTCCTCATGTCGTACTTGTTGCGGCCTTCCGCCGTCTTAGCAATCGTGGTAACACTCAGGTCCCTTTTCCGACCTGGGAGTTTAAAAGGTGAGTCGTGTAGGAAACCGTTCAGGGCTGGAACCCAATTGGCTCCAACCCTGTTGAGTCCGCCACTACTGGTGGCAGGCGGCCATCCAGACCTCTTGGCCCCCTCAGCCAGCTAGGTGCGACCCCACAAGCTGTAGACCTTATATGCACATCGGATCCGCAAGCGGCCAGGGCGGCGAAGCTCGTTGTTCAGTTTCCCCGCTCGCCTCTGGACCCAGGCGCTGCTCGTTGCCTTTCCCGCGGGTAAGGAGAAAGGGTATGCAAGGTCATTAGACTGCATCCCGCTGCTGGCATAGGGGACTTATTGGGACAACAGGATGCCGGTTTGCGGCCATGTAGGTGAGGAGGTAACCATGTCGGCGTATGCGCCTGCTGGTAGCTGTATGGGTTGGCCCTGTGGTGTTGGGAGTGCGCTTAGGAGGAGGGCCAGCAGTGCTCGCAGTGTCGGCGGGAGAAGAAGTGCCATCCGAGAGCACTCGTTTGATTGCTCCGGCACATTATTGGAGAGATGATCGGGGTCCACTGTAAACATCGCAAACTGGTCCTGAAAGATGTGGTCGAGCTATAGGCGACAGGCCACCAGTCGTAGCGATATATGTGGCAAACGCCGTGGAGCTCGGCCTGAGTCTTTGAAATTCAAGGCCGCCTGGACAGCGGAATTTTCAAAGCTGACCCGTACGACATGACGGGTAGTCAGTTAGCATCAGGAGACAGAAATGGGGAAACAAGACAATCACCGTGTGCAAGGAGCACTAACATTGCACATCGTGTTCCACGCTATCATAACCCGTGCAGCGATCTTGGTCAATCACTGTATACCGCGCTCTTATGTTTTAATAAGCTTTGCCTGTGGATGTCCTCGGTTGGATCAGACAGTGCAGCGACTTATATAGAAGTAATCGTTTAATAAGGCTCTGTTTTTCGGTTCCAATTCTCACTAAAACTATAGGCTAAGCTGTGATTGGCTCCACGACGCCCAGAAACGTCAGGGAAGTAATGAGAACCTCAAGGAATCCGAAATGTAACACTCCAAACTGTCACTCACGACATGCGTATCGCCTGTGGACGCCGAGTTCCAAATGTCCAGCCGGTAATCGTGGGCGTGTTCACATCCCCTCAGCGGCTTCAAGCGAGGACAACCTGCCGGGTCCACAGGGAGCATTTGCACCAGGCCAGGAAGCAGCAGCGCGTCAGGGACTGTTCAACCGGATTGCCCCTGTCTACGATGAGGTACGAGGCGGTGTTTGGAGCTAGCCCTAGGCAAACCCTTGCGGCCCGTCTGCGGCCCCTTCAAAAGCGTTTTCATGACAGCATGCTACGCACATGAGTTTTAGTTGATGTCGAGCTTACTTCATCTAGTGGGACGCAAAGAACGTTCAGTACTACAGCCAAAACTCAGTACCTATCCGATATATACACAATTTCTCTTAACCGTGGTTCGGGCGTCATATCCACTCATATCCCAAAAGGGCCGATCCTATGTTGACTAATCCGACCTCATCTCCCCCCCGCACAGCCCCTGCCAGGCTTCCATTCCTGCTTCGCGTCCCCAATCCCTTCTCCTGCATCTTTATTTCAAAGTGAAATATCACCCATTATATGTATATTGTCGTTCCGCCCTTGCAGCTCAACAACACGCTCAGCTTCGGGCAGCACTGGGTGTGGAAGCAGATGACTGTTAAGTGGAGCGGCGCACGCCCAGGCAACCGGGCATTGGATGTGTGCTGCGGTTCGGGCGACCTGGCGTTCCTGCTGGCCAGGGCTGTGGGGCCCCGCGGGGAGGTGCGTCTAAATATCGCCACAGGACCGCGCTATCCCGCGACCATGAGCGCCATTTGCCTAGCTCCAGACGCAAGGACTAGCAACACCTCTGGCAGGTGTCGCTTAAGCCCATGTGCATGTTGTTAGGGTCTGTAGGTGGGAAGGAGAGTGGGCGGGAGGGGCTGGGGGTGTAAGCGTAAATGGATGGGAGGGCTGTCTGTAGAAGTGGGTGTGGGTGGGTTGTTGACGTGTCAGAGGATGACTGGGTCACGTGGCGACGACCGCCTTGGGGAGCGACACCCAGATCGCCCTTTGGCGGCTTGAGGTCACTGTGACACCTGCGGACACATTCCCCCCATTCGTTGCGATGTGGGTCACTGCAAATGGGCTGAGCAGTGGAGCTTTAGACAGAGGTGATGCAGGCGATACGGCGTTTCTTGCTTTCGCATGCGTTGTTATGGGTGTTGCAGTAGCGGAGCTTCATAGGAGACATAAAGCCGGTGTTTGGTGCTATCCGGGCATTGCCTTCATTGCTACAGCATGGCGACCGCGGGATTGGCGGTGGTAGGATCTCCTACAGCCTACAGTTGGGACGCATGTAGACTTGAGCGCTGCGTTTTCGGCGTTAACCTCGCCGCTCTCTTAACTGCTGCCGCCGCTGCTGCTGCTGCTGCTGCCGCCGTTGGTACCGTAAGGTGACGGGGTTGGACTTCGCTGCGGAGATGTTGGAGGACGCGGCTGCTCGACAGGACGCCCAGCGGCTGGAGAGCCTGCCGCCCAAGGCAGCCAATGTCACGTGAGCCGAACCACATGTGATGTTTGGGGGGGGGAGGAGAAAGCGGGGCAGCGGGGGAGGGGAAATGGCGGCATGAGGCGTGGAGCGTGTGGGCGGGAATTGGATTGGCCCGCGGATCTGGGGCCGGCGGTGGGTCCAACGGTAGCGGCGCTGCTTCGTGCCTTTTGCGGCGTGCGTACCTTAGCAAGGTTACACGCAAATTCGATGCCTGCGTATCGGGGTAGATTGTCGGGGGAACGGAGGTTGATGTTGCGCGGGTTGGGCACGACGCTGATGGGTTGCACGTCTTCACCGCTGTTCTCAGTGCCTCTCTCTGTCTCTGTCTGTCTGTCTCTCTGTCTGTCTGTCTCTCTTTCTCTGTGTCTCTGTGCCTCTCTACCTCTCTGTCCATGTCCCCTCTCTTTCAGGGCCGCCGGCATATCCATCTGAAACCTTAGTCAGACTTACAAAGTTCGACTGCACTCTATTCCCGCATACGTCTTCCGTACGTCCCCCCTTGTATATCTCATCCTTCACCTCTCCTCCCGGAGTTGGTGCATTGGACTTCTTCAGCACTTGCTGTTTGTAGTAGTGTATACAGTGTCTGCCTTCCCACCTCTCGCACTTCTCCTTTATAGCTCAAACTTTATAGCTCAAACTAAGTGGTAGTTATTTTCCCTGTTCCATTTCCCCTCCCGTCCTCCCACCCAACCCGGGGGGTGATCCTTGTGCCTGCGAGCAGGTGGGTGCAGGGAGACGCCATGTCGCTGCCGTTTGAGGCGGCTTCCTTCGACGCCGCCACCATGGGCTACGGCCTCCGCAATGTGTCCGACATACCTGCGGCGCTGTCTGAGCTGCACAGGGTGCTGCGCCCTGGTGAATGGGTGATGAGGGATGCATGGGATGTTGTGGGGCAGGGCTTGACATTGCGGTGTGTACTACCGTATTGCCGCAAATGTTTTTGATACGCAAATGTGTTTACAATCCAAAACGGACTTTTTCTCTATCTTTATGCGCTTAAATTTATACAAATCCGTAAAGGATTTTTTACAACTTTTTTCACCCGGCCACAGACCCTGCAGCTGGCTTCCAAGCAGCTGCCCCCGCTGGTCAGCTGGCACACCGCAGAGCAACTCTGCACGTCCCTTATAAGGCCCTTCCTGTCAAATCAAAACTCTACAGCTTGTCCTCCGAACAATTTGCAAAGCAAATAGCTCAAAGACTGTGCCTGTATGAGTTTTCCCGCCTGGTACTAGCTATAGCAAAGTCGCTAGGATTTTATGTCTGTTTTATGAGATCAGCCATGAAAACGTTTGCGGCAATACGGCAGAGGGGGCACATACAGACGTACAGACTCACTGATAAGGTAGGCATGCACGGAAGGCCTCGCTTTACCCGCACCCTTGAGTGATGCAAAAGCAGGACTCGGAACACGTCAAGCATAACACACGCAAGGCGGCCGCCTCATCTGCGCAATCTGCGGCCTGGCCGTGTTTCCTGTTGACTCCATGTTGTCCTTCCCGTTCATGAAGTTCTTTCCTGCCACTCACCACTGGAACCTCCATGCCAATGTCCCGCTATCCTTAGTCCCCGACTTTTGCGGGAGGTACCTGTGATTCCTTTGTTCCGTGTGATGCCCCGTGACTTGAATCCCGTACCCCGTACAACAACCCCCTACATCCCACACTCCCGCGTCCTCAATACACGGAAGCCGGCCCCCGATCCCGACGGCCTGTTTACTTCATGACCTGGCCCCAGGCTGCTCTGCTGCAATCCTTGACTTCAACAACTGCACGGACCCGTTCACAGATGCCGTACAGGTCCGTTGGTTAGTTGGTTGCATAATTGGTTAGTTTAGAGCCCTTTCAGAGCTACCCTGGGAGACCTTGCGAGAGTCCGCTGCATACATGCATGCGTGAATCAATGGATGAATGAACGGATGAACGAATGAACGAGGTGCATCCGCTTCACTTATCCTCGTGCCCACATGAATTGGGTTTATGGTGACACTCATGCGCTATGAGCAGACAACTTTTGGTTCGTTGTGAGCTCCTCGCCAGCTCTCCTTTCCTACCACCGCCATTACAACCACCTCAGCACGTGCCTGTGGCTTTTTGTGGTGGCAACATGCGCAGGCCTTCTTCCTGGAGCGGCTGGTAGTGCCTGCTGCCCGGAGGTACGGGCTGTCTGCGGAATACGAATATCTGAGGCCGTCTATTAAGCGCTTCCCAACAGGTTCGTGTCCGCACATGCACGGGCGTAGTTGTATGGGTTTGGGTGTTGGGCTATAGTTGAGGCGGATGCCTGGTGCAGTCGCTAAAGTGCAAATGTTGACTTGTACTAAGGGCAGGTATGTTATGCGTGTTATGCTTGTATGTATACACCTCGTCCCGGATAGGAAGCCGTGACCCATGTTGCCCGACCGGTTTCCTGGATAGGCATCAAATGTTGGCGGAGGGTTTTGTTTTATGCGGTCTTTTCGGCTGATCTGCCACGTGCCCTTCGGAGCTGTAGAGGATCAGCGCTCCTGTTTCCATGTAGCTTCCTAATCTCGTCGTGTGCGCCCGCGAAATGCCGTCGACAGGCTCAGAACTGGAGCGCCTTGCCCGGCAAGCTGGGTTTGCAACATCGCGGTACTATCCTATCGGTTTTGACTTGATGGGTGTTCTTGTGGCGACGAAGGGTCGTTGACGATAAGCGCGATTCAACGCATACCTATGCAGTATCGAACTGCCAATGGCCGTCCCTTGGACGTCAATGTATGTAATGACTGTGATATGCCGATAGCGGATGAGCAAAATTCTGGCCACATCCGAGCGTGTCAGTTTGCCCGGCAGCAGGCCATCGTACCAACAGGCCGTGTACCATACAATGCTGTAACTGAAGGGCTTTTCACCCAATCTGTGCTGCATATCGGAAACGTGTGTAACCTAATACTCTTGGACGGCGTCCACTTGTCATAGTACCTGCAAACGGCGTGAATGGCAGCTGGTGGGCAACTGCGCTGCCGTGTCCTTAAGTGTTAAGACGTGCGTTCCTGTGAAAAACGTCATTATCGCAAAATTTTATTTTATGCAGGCCGAGTACTCTCAATGCTGCTTTTGTACGGCGATTATTCATCTACGCTGCATGTCACACAAACATGCAGTATCTGCCATTTTCCCGCATTACAGGCACGTTATTGAAGGTTTACTATATTCGACAAGTCTAGGTTCGTATGTAACGCAACTCCACGTTGCGCATTCTCTGCTCAAGGTTTGAAAGCTAGCGCTTCGTAGACCTGAGGAAGCTGCATATGCACACCGTTGTGGAGCACAATAATTTCAGCGCAACGTGGACTAGGCAAAGCAGACGAGTAAGCCGCCTTATGTTGAGACGAAAGGACCTGCACGATTTTCGTTCCCCGTTATCAGCGGGCTGCAAGAAGCTGGGACTTCTTCCCATTTCGTTTGCTAGGGTGCACTTGCTTGCCAATGCTTGGCACAGACAATAGTATTATTTACTTGGGCCGCGTGTTATGCACAGCAACGTACTTTATTTCCACGCTAACGTCAATCGTCATAATTATTGCCGTTACACCGACTTTCTTCGCGTATTTCGCAGTTGTAACCGGCGGCCTCAGGGACGGAAAATAATAATTAGGCAGACACGCGCGGGAATGTACCTTTCCTGGTCAGCAACGGCATATCACGCTTCAGATGATTCGGGTTATGACCTGAATCCCGTCCATAAGTTGGAGGTGAGCTATTGTGTGGCTATGCCCCTCTGCAGTTGTAGCGTGGACCTAAGTCGTTTCTAGGAGCTGCTTTGAACATGAACGCCGCATCAGACACGACCCTTGCATGTTGCATACAGGAACCTGATCGGGACCGTAAGCGGCAGCGTAGGAGCATTTTCTTCGCACAGCCTGACAGCGACTCTGATGACGGGGCAGAATATGATGACGTAGGTCATCACCGTTCCCTGAACGTTTTCAGAGGGACATTAGATAAAGCGCAGAATGTGTCCACGGGCATCCCTAGCACACCCTGTACAGCTGACCCGCTCAGGAAGGGGGCATGTCTTCTGACGCCCAGCTTTCCTCGTCGTTCGTCATCGCCCTGCTTGGAAAGCACGAGCACTTTTGTAGCTGTGCACGAGGAACCAAACTCTGGTTTTCGGCACTACATGGAGGACAGGTGCGCGATGTCACGGGTTTTCTGCAAAGAGAGCGAAAAATGTTGAAGCTTGCAGTAGGAAAGGCTAACGGTAAACGAAGCCGCAATCGGGAAGTTTTGGGTTAAACTGTGAAGGGCCGACCACATGCTAGCTATCGCTACCTTCTGCCTGGGACACTGGCCGGTCCCAACTACTTGCCTTGTTGTCCGCACGGTACGCATTTGGGTCGCACACGGCGGTGCAGTCGTTTATCTTGCATGTGAAGCACATGGGAAGTTGACTTGATAAGGCGTATGATAACCGACTGGAACTTAGGCGTGTATTGTCGACGGGCTGCAGCAAGGGGGTGGTGTATACGTCGTATTGTTACAATCGAATGCACAAGGCACTCACGGTTCGGGCGCTAACCAGTTGATGCTGGTTGGTCTTGGCCGCTTAAGGTTTGGCTGCTACGGCAGTAACCCCATCTTTTCACAGTTGCCTCAATAATTCCCTTTACAGCGCCATCCTTGACTTCTATGGCAATAAACCTGCGTCCTCCACACCTGACACTTTAATGCGCAGATCGGCCGCCATGACAGCAGGCGGTGTTGCATACTTGGGTATCTACGATGGGCACGGCGGCATAGACGCCTCAACCTTTTTACAGCAGCATCTGCTCCCGAACATTAAGGCGCACCTGCAACCTGGCTGCGACGTGCATGACGCGCTGACCGCGGCCTACATGGCCACTAACGCCGCTTTTCGAGCGACTGGCTCCATTCAGGGCTCCACTGCCACAACGGTTATCCTCAACAATAAGCACCTCATCGCAGCTAATGTAGGCGACTCACCAGCGTTTGTGGTGAAGAAGTCCGGGGAGGTTTGCTCGGTTATCAAAGAGCATAAGATTGAGGGCGATGAGGCGGCGAGGATAGCCGCTCAGGGCGTGCCTATCTATCGCTCGCCCACCGGGCCAGCGTACATGGGCACGCCAGACGGGACGCGCTGGCTCAACATGTCGAGGGCCTTCGGTGATTTTGTCTACCCCGCTATTTCCTGCGAGCCATACGTCTGCTCCCTGGACGTCTCTGACGGCAAGTTCTTGGTGATGGGCTCCGATGGGCTCACAGAGAAGTGGCCAGTGGCTGAGGCCGCGCAATACCTAACCCAGTTGGCCAGCGCTGGTTGGAGCTTGCCGGCAATTTGCCGCAGATTGGTGGAACACTCCCTGGCGCGCGGCAGCACTGACAACATTAGCTGTATGGTTGTGGACTTGGAGGCTTATATACTTCACGCTGAGGCAGCGGCACCAGCGGTGTGTGATGCACCGGCGGATACAGCAAATGTGGAGACGGTGCAAGCGACGGCGGTGGCGGCAACGCAGCAGTTATCGGGCGGCGACGCTTCGCCTGGGTTATTAGCTGTCTGCACAGTGTGCGTCAAACGCGAGGTGAATGCGGGCCTGACCGGAGCGGCGCAACGTGGTCGCAATGGGGAGGAAGGTTATACCTCCGAGCAAGGCAGTAGCCTGCAGCTGCTTCTGTGTAATGAAGAATCTCTGGGCTGCGAGGCCCCGCCTATTGTCTTGCGCCGCGGATCTCCCCGCGGTACCAGAGTGCCCGTATCAGGAGCTGCCCTTGCGAACTGTGCAGCAAACGCTTTGGGTATCGGGGTCGGGGCCGATCTAGATGGGCAATGCCCACGGCGACAAGCAGAGGTACAAGAAGAGCATGCAGGCGCAAGCGAAGCAGCGGCAGAGGGGGCCAATCCAGGGCAGTCCGGGGGCCCGCTGCGGCTGCTAGCGTGCTGCACTGTGGCAGACGGCGGCGGTGCGACGTCCCCAGCTTGCAGCAGTCCGGAAGTCCGTGAAAAACATGGTGAAGTGACGGACGACGTAGATGCTCCAGAGGGTGGACGGCAGGCAACACCGCAGCCCGCGCAGACGGCATGTCGACTGCCGACGCCCGTGCGCGATGAGGCGACGCAAACGTGGAGCAAAGGAGCTAATGATGGTTATGTTGGTGCTGGAGAGGGAGCGGAATGATCTATAAGGGTAGTCCATGAGTGGGGGTGGGATGCTGCTGATTGAACGATAAAGTAAAGCAGCATAATCCTATGTGACGTTTCACTGTGCCGTGCAGTGTGCTGCGGTGTCTTCTCTGTCGTTACGCTGTTCCTTACCGTGAAGCGCGACGAGCGTGTAGCATTGCCCGAAGCGAGGGTATGTGATTGCCGTGTAGCACGCATACACCATGTACGGGGCTGACGTATTCCTGCATGTGGAAGCTGTTAGCCTATCGCGTATCCGGCCAAGTGTGGCGATGGAATAAGCTGGCTGCGGTCGATACCGTGCTGCCGTGTGCCTTGCGGACAGAGTCGCGGGCTTGCTCATCGCTGTACGGTGGGATTATAGTGGTAGCCTTCGCGTGTTAGGTGGTATTGTTCTGTGACCATGAGCACCGGCGTGTATGTTGGACCGCGATAGGAATCATTCAGAGAGTGCGTCGCTGCAGAGGAGATGGTTCTTATGATTCGTGGTTCGGCTGCTGGCTATGCAGCTATCCCATTCGTACGATTCTCTTGCTATGACTTAGGTACGACATCCTCTGTTTCTAAGTATGCGGGGATTTGCTGCGACGTATCGAAGGGCATAGTGGCGAGACACATTGTGCTTTCGGAGTGCTTTAGGAGGCTTTTGAGAATTGCAAGCGGGAAGGATGAGTTTGTGGATAATGTGAACTTTAAGGGGTGGACGGCGTGGGGTTAAGGAACTCAATTCCTATGCCTGTCGTTGAGCAAAACGTGAAATCAGTCCGCAGGAGTGCCGCATGTTTCTATTTGGAGCGTAGTTTTTTGGTCGTAACGTGCCCGCGACTCTGGACCATTGATATCGGGCAAAAGGATGCCTAAAAGTCTGTGCGCCTTTCGCTGCGAGGCATGGGCGCTTCCAACCGCAGGCTGGCATTTGACTCATGCGAACGCGTATGTGCGCACCGCCTAGTCATTTCCTGCCCGTTGTGCGCACGTAATCAACGTACAGATTGGAGCTTAGCTACAAAAATTAGACCTGTTGGAAAAGCGTTTGGCTAATGTGGGTGGATCCCACTTTTGCCCCGGCTTTTGCTTCTCAACCTTGACGCTTCTCTTTCACTTCTGACGCCCGGATTATTTTTCTAGACAAGATGACTAGGGCAAGTTTGTGAACAGAGCTGGTATGGCGGGACATGCGACTGAAACGCGTCAATTCGTTCATGTGTATATGGTTGGTACGGCTGAGCAATCCTGCGCGATGACAGGTTCATACAAACGAGTACTCTGCACGCACCTTGGCCGTCTCTTTGAAAATGTTGCATAGCATTGACCTGCGCATAGTTTATAGCTGGCAACACCGCGGCAGCCAGTCTATATGCAAGGTTGTGTGCGTGTGATCGATGGGTGTTTTTCTGGGGAATTCCTACTTCCTTACACGTGCCCTAGAAAATCCAGAGCGTGAATGGCCTTGGCGTACCTGCCATGGTGTCATCCGCCACTGGAATATAGTACTCTTGCCTAGATACGGCAAAGGCCCTTCTCCCATTTAGGAAGCGTCTGGGATGCAGTCGCAGCGCCATGCTCTTTGCAAATTATTCACCGCGCACACCCGAGTGGCATTACACCCGCGGCAGCGCTTCTTGCCTATGAGAGTGAGACGCGAGGAATATCGGGATAGTTCGTGAGGAGAGGAAATGTACGTTCAATGCCCGATGGTGCCAGGCGAGGTTTGCTTGGCCTTATGTACTTGCCGAAAAGGTGTACTTCACGCTCTCTTGACATTATTTTCAAGGGTTGCATTTCTAATTGCTACGCAACCAGACTCGCGACAGTACTGAACGGCATCAAAAGTCGTCGCTATAGCGCGTGTATTTTCCCGACCATAAGCGTTCACTGCGACACTTCGGACGAGTTTGTCCCGAGAAGCCGCGGCAGGCTGAAATCTGTGCCAGAGTGCAATAACAAGTTTGTGTACCTTCGCACGTAATTACGACTACATCTAGTCTAGTCCCAGGCCACTACACATGCGGATAATTGACTCACGTGAGAACTGCTCCTGGTCATATCCCCACCACACCCTGTCACAACAATAGACCAGCAGCGCGGCGCCAACCCTCCCATAAGCCCAAAGAACCTGCACACAGAGCTTCTAGGCCTCACGGTTAAGTTAGCGCATGGGCAGCAGCAACATTGCACGCAAAGGAAAGTCACGCAGAGGGCCATTGTCCCCGGGCCTGCTGGCCGAAGCCTCCAGATTGATGCGTCTTAACGTCTCCACGTGGTTTCATCTCCCGTAACGGTGTAATACTGTCCCTATGAACTCCCCTCTGTGGCCAGACCTCCAACAACGAGCTTCCTAACCTAAGCAAACATCCCGATCACCTCCCACAGTCATTCAGCAACCCCCTTTCCATCCATATTACAAAGCTACCCTACCTCACTAGTACTCTGAACTCCCTTTTCCTTTACACAAACAGATCCACAACGGTTGCTGCAGCGAAAACCAGGAACAGAGATCCGCCCACGTATTGCAGCACCCGCTCGCTAAAATACTGCGATAGGAAGCCGCCGCCCGCCACCGCAAGGCCCGTCGCGACCCCGTGCCCCGCGACGGCGCCGGCGGTGACGCCTAGCGGTGAAGATGCCGCCGCCAGCGCAATAGTGGCCAGGAAGGACTTGTCGCCCCACTCCGCCGCGAACACGAGCGCAAAGGTGGTTAGCACCAGCCGCAGCGCATCCTCCCCACCAGCCTTCAGCCCATCCACTACCTCCTTGGCCTCCTCCTTCTCCTCAGCAGCGCTTTCGTCAGCATCCTTGGCGTCCTGCAGGATGTAGAGAACAGTTATACATAAAGCGTGGGGTATTCTGCTATTTATCCGGTCCGCTGGCATGCTATCAGCAACAACTCAGGAGACATTACGCGGATTGGGTGTGCGATATATGCACCTGCGAAATGCATGTCTGGGGAAGCACACGTGGTTTACCGGCCACCACTCCGCCACTCGATCCGCCACATGAAGGCCCTGGCCCGTGAGGCGTCGACAGCATTTGGGAGCTGCACTATCACGGAATGATTGGCTTCTTGTGCTCACACTACAAACGTTTCCGCAAACCCTCAAAACATATGTTTGCCCCCAATCTATACCTCATGCCGCGTCACACAAGGCACGCACCTGCAGCGTCTTAACTCCGAAGTATACGAGAAGCGCCACCGCCAGCAGGTCATCGTACGGAATGTTGGCGTCCCCCGGAACCAGCTCGTCAACCTGATGCAGTACCTGTAAGGGCGTGGCAGCGGCGGCCAAGGGACGCGAGGGAAAGACCGAGCCCTGAACGATAGGAGCCAGCCTTTCACAGCAGCCTTTAAACAGGTCACGTCCTGTGAATTGAGAATCTCCAAACTGCGGGCCTCGTTCCGGTCGTGGGCCCCGGCCCGGCAGCGGATTCGGTTAATCCATGGTTCCTAATGCCATACACGGCCTCAAGTTTCCAGCCTCCCCTTTTTGGGGAGATCGGGGACTGTCAACCTCTAATAACATCCGGCCTAAACACCCCAGCTCGTACAAAAGAGACGCAACAGCCCGGCACCTATTGCCAGTGGTGAATGAAAACCCCCTGGGTGTCCTTTATTCCCTCCTGATCGCGTCCGGCGTCTCTCGCTTCCCCCACCACTTCGGGTTCGCCCAAGCCCAAGCATCACGGTCGGGTCTTAGGGCAAGAACGAGAACAAGTGCCCGCACCTGTCGCAGGGTGACCGCTCAACAGTGGCCAAAGCTGGCTGGCCCCACGACCCCGGTCCCTTATTCCAGCGTTTCAGTAATCCTCAACACCCGTCCTTCCCTCGATGCATCCCTCTCTTCACGCCATTTTCCAGCAAGCACGCTTTGCGCGCCGCGCTCTGCACACCTGGCCCAGCAGCACCGAGATTACTGTCATGATCGCCAATGCGCCAAAGGTGCCCGTGAACACCAGGCTCTTGGGCTGCTTGAGCGCTAAGAGCAGCGCGAGGAAGAATGTCTTGTCGCCAATCTCCGAGAAGAAGATGAGCAGGAAGCCAGATACGAAGCCCTCGCGCAGTGGCGAGTCGCCCACAATGCCTACGATGAGGTGGATGATGATGATGAGGAGGAGGAGGAGGAGGAGGAGGAGGAAGGGGTTACCGGAGTGCTTTGAGTGGATGGGGGGGTTCAGCAGCTGCAATTCACCCCAGCCACCCAGGGTGGCATGCAGATGAGCAGATACAGCGTCTCAACGCAAGGCATGGACGGTGTGCACCCACACGCATGCATTCATGTTTGTTGAGCGCCTGGTCGTACATCCTACAGGGAGATGGGTGATGGTAAATAGGAGGATGAGGGAGAAGTGGGGCGGCAGGGGACAGAGAGAATCCAGTATTGGTATATGAGCTTGCTGCAGTAGTGTGAGGCTACGATCCTCATCATCCTTCGGGTCGCAGGCGGTAAGGCATGGGGCGGCAAGGGAGGTTCCCCTAAAGGGGATGAACTAAAGGAGGGAATGACAACCTTTGGGGGGGGGTGATGCATCACAAAATAAAAAAATCGCTGCAGATAAGCGGGAGGACCCACCCGGGATGGATAGAGCAGCGGTGTCGGCGGCTGGCGCGGCGGCCTCCGCAGGCAAGCCCAGGGCGAAGGAGGCTGCCAGGGAGAGTGCGGCGGCCGCGGCAAGAGAACCTCCCCGCAGCAGGTTGTCCAGCTGCGGCAGCTGCAGGGGGCATTGTTGAGAGGTGAGGTACGGTGGCTGAACGGAAGTCGAGGCTGGGTGAGGTGTGAGGTGGTGGTGGTACGGTGCAGGTGCGTGTGCGACAGTCCTACACCTTCTGTACGAGACTTGTTGGTTGGGCATAGGCGCGGCTCCGAAAGTCAAGAAGGTGAGATCCGTCGACCTTATGCTGTGATCCTTCAGAAATTAAGGCGGCTGGGACGTGTGACCCGTGCTGGAGCTGTCCGCGATAAACATTGTTCCGCCGCAAGTAAACCAGAGGGGGCCTAAGTCGCCCGAAAGGCCGAATGGAAGGTTTGGTATGAAAGTTTGTTGAGCTCATTATTGCAATTGTTGGCTACAATGGATGTGGGCAAGGTTCCAGGGGAGGCTTTGTGGTGATTCGCACCCCTGTGTTGTAGAGGTCTAACCCGCAGGCAACCACCGCACAAACAAATCGAGATCAGTACCGCTAAAACTGCAAATATTCCTACCGAGAAGTCTTCTCAAGCAAATCGCTCCCTTTCGGAAAAAACAAGCAAGACCTGTCGTACATTTCCCCAAATGCGCGAGATTGTGCAGTAGCTAGCGAGCATTTACCAGCACAGTTATGTAGTTCTAAAATCTAACAGCATTTCTGTCATCGTGTCAAGCCAACAGCGTTCCTGACATTATGCTTGCATTGATATATTTCATCAAGAGTAAATATCCTTGATTTCATCCCGTGGTTCCCATAAGGAAATCAGCAAGTGAATCAATGTGCTCTATGAGTAACTGGGAATGAGGCAAATTTTGCCTAGGCGTCTATGAAACACCGATAGACTGCTTTTCGACGTCCTCCAGCCTTATGGACTATATTCTGATGTTCTAGAACAAGGAATCATACGACCATTGCCCTCATAGCGGTTGATGTATGTAACGGAGGGGATTCTTATAATTGAACGGCCGGGGACGGGACATGCAGCGGAAAAGGGGCTAATTCTTTCTTGCTAAGCGCAGTCACACAGCCGCTACATACATGTTTTACGAGCCCGAGGTCCAGAGTTGGGTCGTGATCATTACCCTAGGCTAAGCGCATACCTAGGGCCCTGTCCGGCTTAACTTGTGAAGCATCATAACTTCGTCAGTCCACAGTTTTCGGACAATAATGCACGGCGCGTAAAACACACCGTCTTCACGAAAAGTTGGCGTGTAGCCAAACTGAGCGGAACTGCATGAGATTTCCAGGACCCAAATATTGCTTTGAATGCGAATGTATGGTATCTTTCCCTTGAGGTTGAAGAGTGCCGGGTTCACATGCGCAAATTTCATCGGCCTTTCGGAGAAGACCGTTGGTCACAGACTTGCAGTTGTGGCAACTGGCATGTCATCAGCGCACATCGTATATATGGCACGCTTGTTATCACATTATGATAACTCAATTGCGAGCGTAGTTTACGGACGCAGCTGCTCGGTCGGTCTGATGGTGGGCGGAGCGCAAGGCAGTGTCCCATATGTACATTCTGCTGTCCTAGCGTACCTTCGGCCGGTGCCTACAAAAAGGTGTGCACATCCAATTAATTACAACCGAATGGTTTGTAAGTTTTACGAGGTACTTTCCTTTCAAAGATACTACGTGCTTAATTGTCTTGCAGAACAGATTTGTACCGTTGACAAATTGAAATGGGCTCCCTTCTAGCGTTCACAGTGCTGCTTTTCCTGCGAGCGGTGCTAGCCTTAAGTGAGTTCAAAATTGAAGCGATAACCTTGTAACTAGCCTGCTGTTTTCAGGGCACCTGTAGTTGTCCCGCATGTCGCCGACGGGTACTTAACGCAGAACTTAAACGTGCAGGCGAAAACACGTGGGGCGGACTTCCTGAACGCCTGCTTCCAAGTGCTCTTGTCATGGTAGGTCGTTTATGTTCAAGGCATCCGCACTCGTCATCGTTGATGCACTATGTCCGCAAAGCGATAGGGCTAAACTCGGCCATTTTTATCCTTAAGATACGTGTCCCTGTGCCAACCATAGGCCCTGAATTCCTAATGGTTTGGTCGCGTGGGTTTGCTAATGCTGAGTTCCCCCGAAAGGATAAACGAGCCGGTTACCCTAGTCACGCAGAAGCCAGACTCGGTAAACCCTGTCCCACTACCTTGCACGTCTCTCTTTCTCTTCCCCTCTAATCCTGATCAGCATCATGAAGCAGACAAGCAATTCGATGAGGAGGCGACGCCTTGGGTGGAGCAGGTCGGGCTCCATCCCCGCGCCTACCTCTTCCACAACTTCCTCACCAAGGCTGAGCGCGCACACATGGTTCGGCTCGCAGCTCCAAAGCTGAAGCGCTCCACAGTCGTCGGCAACGACGGCGAGGGCGTGGTCGACGAAATCCGGACCAGCTATGGCATGTTTATTCGTCGGCTGGCAGATCCCGTCATCACACGAATTGAGAAGCGCATCTCCCTCTGGACGCACCTTCCTATTGAGCACCAGGAGGACATTCAGGTACATAACCGAGCTGTGGGTATCGGGGCGGAGACCTTTCCTTGCCAGCAAGGCGACAGTAGCCTGCGGCACAGTGGGCATGATTATGAAGGACACAGCAAAACTTAAAAAGAGCGAATCATACTCCAGGAGATCGGCGGGGAAGGAGAGCCGTGACTTCCGCACTTACCGAAAACTGGCCGGGACGAAGGTCCCTGCGCTTCCGAGCTCAGCGGGCTAGGCGCCGCATGACATGCGCTGGTTGTGGTATGGGTTGTGTGGTTTTCATGGCTGCTTCATGATCTTTTATCTAGAGGCTTTCCTTTGCCGGTGTCGTTGAAACGCCCCGCGTCCCCACGTCATGGGTCATCCTCAGGTGCTCCGATACGCGCACGGGCAGACGTATGGCGCCCACTACGACTCGGGGGACAAATCCAATGAGCCCGGGCCCAAGTGGCGCCTGGCCACCTTCCTGATGTACCTGTCCGACGTGGAGGAGGGCGGTGAGACGGCCTTCCCTCAGAACAGCGTCTGGTACGACCCCACCATCCCTGAGCGCATCGGCCCCGTCTCGGAATGTGCCAAGGGCCATGTCGCCGCGAAACCCAAGGCCGGGGACGCCGTACTGTTCTACTCGTTCTACCCCAATCTTACCATGGACCCAGCCGCCATGCACACGGGTTGCCCCGTGATCAAGGGCATCAAGTGGGCGGCCCCCGTGTGGGTGAGTGCGGTGGCAGGATGGGTTATTGGGTTGTGCTTCACTGGGGCTTTCGACGTCTCACGAACAGATAGTTTCAACCTCATTCGTGTTCTTGTTTACCAATTGACCTCCACCACCAACCCCTGTTTCCTATACTTGTCCAGATGCACGATATCCCCTTCCGTCCCGAGGAGATTGCCAATGGCGTCCAGATGATACCCGACAACGAGCCCGACGCCAGCTCCTGTACAGACCTGCATCCTCGTTGCGGCGAGTGGGCCGCTGCCGGCGAGTGTGAGAAGAACCGCGGCTTCATGTCCGGCGGCATGGACAATCTGGGTACGTGCCGTAAGAGCTGCCGTACCTGCGAGACGTGCCGCAGCGGCGACATGGAATGCATCAACCGCAACCGTGAGCGTGGCGGCTACTGGAAGCTGAACAAGAATGAGCTGGAGTGGCTGGGGGCGGGAGACATTTGGCAAGAGGACCAGTCGCCGGAGCTTTAACTGTAGCTGCAGCTTTACAAGCCGTGTGTAGCTCTTGAGGGATTTCTCTTGATCTGTTGATACGTTAAGTGTTGATGATGGTGGCCACAACGCGGCGCAACTCGAGACGGCATGGCATTGCTTGTTGGGCCCCATAATAATGCGGAGGGGATGGATTCCCCGGGGAAAGGGCCCATAAAGGTGCGACATGGCGCGATAGGTGCTTAGTCATGTACACCAGTGGGCAGCTAGACAGTAGTGGTGAGTATTGCTTCAGCAGAGAAGTGCCGATTGCGATCTGGGTCGGGGAAAATTACCGAGGAGTGGGGTGGCGTGCTGCAATGCAAGATTTTCGGACTGCTGCTTACAAGGCAGCATGCCACCCCATCAGCCGCAACAAGAGGTGGAAAGACGCGAGCAGGAGGGATACGGATACACGTGTGCTCCTCGTTACACTTTGTGCCTGTACAATTGACTTCGAGGACCCGGGTAAGTGTCAGGTCAACAGTGACAGATTTATATGCATGGCTTGTCAGCGCCAGCGTGGCGCTTTGCCGGGAATAAGCAATGCCAGTGGCATCTCTTTAATCAGCATTTGCCGCGTCTTTTTCTCAAGCCGGTTGGGTACTCTAGACTGGCTTGCTTTGCGCACTGTTGCTATTTTTCGTGACGCTGCAATGGTCCTATTGTGGCCTATGAGACAGGAAGAAGCTATATGGTTTACTGGGTTGGAGCGGGTGCAGGGCGGGTTCAGGGGTAGGTTGAGGAGCCATGAGGCAGCATACGCTCTTGTGCATTTGGATGTCATGATGCAAGTACAGATGCATGACAAATTCTTTTCCGAACATCGGGCTTAAAATTTTTTCGTTCGCGATCAACCAACCATACAGGATTGCGGTATCTCAGTGCGCAGTGCCGCTGCATTCGGTCGTACTAGCGATCATACGCCCACGCTCGCCGCTTATACTGCCTGGGAAATGTGTGAATCGATGTGATATGCACAGGCAATGAATGTAGCGGCGCAGGTTGTTTTGTTGCGGTTTGGACCAGCTTGCGATTGTTACAGTGACCCCTATCGGGTCGAGTGCAGGTTTGGAGCAGACCGTTAGCACCTCAGGAAGGAGGTAATTGACATATCGTAAACATTGTGGCCCTGTGGGTGTCCACGTTCGCTCCACATTGGAGTTTGCCCATCTTGTAGGTGGCTGATGCTTGCCTTACAAATTGTAACGGTCTATGAACACTGTATGCCTGCTAAAATACGAGGCAATCGGGCTCCGCCGCCAATACTGCAATGGCATTGAAACGTGTGGGTTTCCACGGGGGTGACTTCGGGGATGTATCAAATGGGAGACTCCGCATTAGGCAGCATCTATACCATCAGGGAGCAAGAGTGGACAAGTGGAGCCGTGGGGTTTTCCCAATGCGACCCAAAAGTTGCGCAGTGCCCTTTCCGAAGGACGTGAAAGAGGACCGAGATTCCGTGTACACTCCCATCCAAGGTCTCTCAAAAACCGGTGGAGGCCTTGAATTGGGTGTCCCTCATCATGTTAGCGGCTGCATATGGAGTCATGGACAGATTGAAAACCTGCTGTGCTATAACAGCTGGGTTACGCTGACCAAGATCTTGAAGTTCAGCCGTCCATGAAGGAGGCGGTGAGGAAGTGATGGAGATTAAGCCCTATTAGGTCATCGACACAACTGGGGAATCTAAAACATTCACCAGATCTTCGCAGTCACTATGAAGCAAGTTTCCCAGATGATCATGAAATCTGGAAGCCTGAATTTTGATGGTCACCCTTCGGCGGGCGCAAATCGTGTACCTGATTCAGTCCCATGTACCTCAGAGCGAGTTACGGTCGCCTTCTCGCAAGTGCATTTAAAGAGCCTCATGCCTATACATTGCAGTGCTATCACACTGGCAAAACCTTCTACAAATTTATTACGTTCGCATAATTGACTGCCAAATCTGCTTTCCGACATCCAATTTGCAGAGGTGTTACCCAATTAGGATGAATAGGGCACTTACATTTGCTTCTTTATTACTTATACGAGCAACATTTGGGAGTTGTAAGTAACCAGCGAAGAATTGACCGAAAGGGGAGTTAACGTTCAGTTAAGTCCTTATCACACTCATAATTTTCACTTCGCAGGTAGCCAGGATGGCTCAAGTTGGGGAGGTCTTCCAGAGCGGCTCCTGGAGAGTGCACTTGTAATGGTGAGAGCAGTTGCAAGATGCCACGACACCGGCATGTCACGCGATGCCTTGATTAGGGCCTACAAATGGCCCCACGAACTCTCAGCTATGCTCCCTCTTAATCGGTTATTGCAGCATACTGAGGCGGATAAGCAATTCGATGAGGAGGCGACGCCTTGGGTGGAGCAGGTCGGGCTACACCCCCGCGCCTACCTTTTCCACAACTTCCTCACCAAGGCTGAGCGCGCGCACATGGTTCGACTCGCAGCCCCAAAGCTGAAGCGCTCTACGGTTGTTGGCTCCAAGGGTGAGGGCGTGGTCGATAACATCCGGACTAGCTTCGGCATGTTCATTCGCCGCCTGTCAGACCCCATCATCGCACGAATTGAGAAGCGCATCTCCCTCTGGACGCACCTTCCTATTGAGCACCAGGAGGACATTCAGGTAAGCCCTTAAGCTAACGGGGTCGCTCCTATTCCCATCCCGGCGCACTACGTCGCTTTGGTCCCGTTGATTTCTATTGCCGCTTGCCAGTATTAAGCTGCTTGTGATAATATACAACAATACCTAAAGCAAGGGCACACAACATAGATTTACATAAAGTGCATCCCGTAAACATGAACACGAAGTGACATGGCACCTGACTGGAATTTCAACACATGTCCTTAATCGAAAGGCTGCATCGACTAGCATAATCCACTAGTTGCCCGACACATCACTCTATGTTGCTCTTCGCCTCCCACGCTCCCGCACCCCAGGTGCTCCGTTACGCGCACGGGCAGACGTATGGCGCCCACTACGACTCAGGCGCGTCCTCGGACCATGTCGGGCCCAAGTGGCGCCTGGCCACCTTCCTGATGTACCTGTCCGACGTGGAGGAGGGCGGTGAGACGGCCTTCCCTCAGAACAGCGTCTGGTACGACCCCACCATCCCTGAGCGCATCGGCCCCGTCTCGGAATGTGCCAAGGGCCATGTCGCCGCGAAACCCAAGGCCGGGGACGCCGTACTGTTCTACTCCTTCCTCCCCAACAACACCATGGACCCAGCCGCCATGCACACGGGTTGCCCCGTGATCAAGGGCATCAAGTGGGCGGCTCCCGTGTGGGTGAGTGCGGCGACATGACCACTGGCGCCGTAACCGGTCATCGCATTCCCACTCGCTCTTACATTCCCACTCGCTACTCGCTAGGCACACTCAAGCCTTCGGCCCCATGCACGTATGGCATACAACGGCATACAACGCCCAACCGGACTGCTCCGAAGCTCCATTGATAACTGCTCACCCGCATGCCTTTCTGCGCTATGCTCGTGCACCACAAACCGCACAACAGATGCACGACATCCCCTTCCGCCCGGAGGAGGTCCAGGGCGGCAAGCAGCTCATCATGGACCGCGACCCCGAGGCGGGCCTGTGCGTCGACGGTCACCCGCGTTGCGGCGAGTGGGCCGCTGCCGGCGAGTGTGAGAAGAACCCCATGTACATGGCGGGGGGTCCCAACAGCCTGGGTACGTGCCGTAAGAGCTGCCGTACCTGCGAGACGTGCCGCAGCGGCGACATGGAATGCATCAACCGCAACCGTGAGCGTGGCGGCTACTGGAAGCTGAACAAGGATGAGCTGGAGTGGCTGGGGGCGGGAGACATTTGGCAAGAGGACCAGTCGCCCGAGCTGTGAAGGGGAGGAGAGGAGGCGGAGAAGGGGCTGGGACGCCGACGCGGAAATAGGAGTAGATGATATTGGCAGGAGGGGGGATGTTAGGAGGCGGAGGATCGTTAACGGGAAAGGAAGTCCATGGGGAGGGAGAAGGTCTGGCATCCTTCATTCCATCACGGGAGTTAGGGGATACAGAGCGCGGTTTTGCATGGGGGCCTGGGGCTGGGGTAGGAGCACAGCTACTCAGCGCCGCGCAAGAACAACTGCTTGATGAATAAGCGCGCAGCGGCTTTTGACAATTTGCGCATCCTACGTTTCAACAGATATATCATCATGTTATATAACATGATGATGCACCGACTTGTCTAATTATACTGTGCGCGTATGACAAATTTATGAATTCCAGATGTGTTCATATTTCTTGTGGTTTGCACGGCGCGTTGTTTTTTGTTTACACTGCCGAGACCTTGTTGGATACCTGCAACGATTGTTCCAATCCCATGTCCCTGGGCTTGATAATTGAAAGCTCGTAAAGGGGTTGTTAGGGTGTTTTGTTGATTCGTTGGCTGTGGGCGGCCTATATTAGGCCCGGATGTTCGGTGCGGATACAGTATAGTTGATAGGTAGGAAAGTGGGAGCGTTTCCCACCTGTTGGTGTTGGCATCGGACTGGGTCGAAAGCAGCTGTCGACAAGTCTGGCTTCTTTTTGGAGTTCTTGGGGGTCCTGTGCGAGTGTTCCATTTCGGTTGTTGGGTTGGGCTGTCCGTGATCTTCGGGTGGGGAGAGGGCTTTTCTTTTCTTGTGCACCTGGTTGATGGCAGTGGACTGCTCTATAATGGCAGCTCCACTGCGCAGCCCTTTTTATCTGTGTCGGGCGCGATGCGCAATCGCGTGCCTCGGCAATAAAGAGAATAAGGAATGACGTTAGAGGTCAGGCTTGACAAAATGCATATGAGAATATACGGACATACGACGCCATTTTTGTGAACGACACAAGGGGCATGTCTCAATGGTTGAGGCTTTTGGTTTCGCGACTTGGAATCCTACACCCGCGCTCACGTAAACAGACATGCAGCATGATGATCTGTGAACGTAATAACAGTCGAGTAGTTCATGCTGTTGCATCATGCGCAGTTCAGTAACTTGCGAACAAATGTTTTTAGTTGTTAGTTTAGGTTACATGTTCCCGTTGAAAATGTTGGTAGATCGAAGGACCAACGATGGCCACAGGTGCAGTAGCGGCTGTAGTTGTGCGTGGCCACTTCTGGCTACCAGGCTTTTGCAAAGCTGTGAGTTGGCCACCGGGCCGCCCGAATGGTTTTGGTGACAAGACGGTTGAGGCGGGCTTACCTACTGTCAGTTGATATTCGTACGGCCATGTAGTCCTAATATTCCGCACGACGTGTAAGAATGGGCATAGGAGCATGCGAATCCGTGTGTATGTATGTAAGTATCGGAAAGGTGTGGATTTCAGTTAGGTGAGACCGCGGGTGCATATTGCATGTTGCCGCTTGTAATACTCCCGCTTGTAGAGCGGAGTGTGCTGGTTTGGGCTCGGTGCGAGTAGATGCTGAGTGCAGAACTACGGATGTCTGCGTCCACTGCGAACTGACTGGCATGTGCAGCTGCTGGGGGATGCAATGGCGGACACATCTCCATCCTGGCCTGCCATCCATCTGGGGTGGGGATGGCGGAGATGGGATTGGCGCGTGTTCAAACGCCACAACCCGTGTAAGACTCATGTATGCGAGGAAGTTCGTTGCTCGTCTCTTCAATCCGCTTTAAATATTTCCTCCAAACAAGGACGTACATCAGCTAATAGCATTCCGCCTCCTCCTCGTCCTCCTCCTCGCCCTCCTCCTCGCCCTCCTCCTCGCCCTCCTCCTCGCCCTCCTCCTCGCCCTCCTCCTCGCCCTCCTCCTCGCCCTCCTCCTCGCCCTCCTCGTTCTTCTCCCGCAGCGTTCCCTCCTCCCTGCCCACCCCGCCCCAACGCGGTGCGTCTCCACCCCGAGCCGAGACTCGTCTTATGGATCCTGCAGCCGCTGAACAGTGACCACCAGCCGCTGAATCAGACCCTGTCAAAGACGAGTTACACACCACCCGCACTAAACGTCTCCCGCTTCTGATCAAATTCGTGCGTAGTACCACACCAAAGTTGTATCACAGATGTTGTCATCATTTTAACATATTCAATTTCAACGGGGTCATCCAGAGCACCCCCGACAAAGCTCCAAACTCTAGGGAGCCCCTCCTCCCGCCGGGTCCCCCTTCCCCCTTCCCTGGACTCCTCCCTCACGGCCCAGCTACCGCCGGCCCCGTCAGGCACTTGGCCAGCAGCAGCCTAGGGGGCCGCTGCAACGCTCTGGCGTACCCCTCCGACTCGGACTGCTCCACCTGCGGTGTGTGTGTGTGTGTGTGTGTGTGTGTGTGTGTGTGTAGCGGGGTGAGGTGGGAAATGTGGGGATAGCGAGTGGGGGATAGTGAGTAGAAGGAAGTCAGGGATTAGACGGGGTGGCGGTTGCTAACTCGCTGTAGCAGCTGAATGCCGGATCGGCACCCTGCCCAGCATGGCCATAAAAGAGTCGCGGAAAGGGCGGGAGCCACAGTACAGTATCGGGTCGTGACATGGCATCTTGAACGGATTCATGGACCGTATCATGCCGTGTTTTGTGTCAACCCCTCGCATACCCCCAGTCCAGTCCAGTTCCGGCCGGCCGGACGTGGAACTGTCCCCTCAACCCGTTCCCCCTCCCCTCCTTCCTCCCCTCCTTCCTCCCCTCCCCCTCCTTCCTCCCCTCCTTCCTCCCCTCCCCCTCCTTCCTCCCCTCCTTCCTCCCCTCCTCGCCCCCGCGCTCACCTGGAACCCCAGGGCATTGCAGTACAGCGCCACTGCGGGGGTGTTGTTGGCCACCACATGCACGTACAGCCACTGCACCCCTGTGGCAAGGACCGTACAGGACCGTACAGAGTAAAAGGCAGTCCGTACGGTTTTGTACTGACATTAGCGCATTCCTGACACGGAGAGAAGAGGGTATCTAAGCAACCGGATGCACCGTTGACGGAACCCACTCACACACACTTACCTGCCCCCCTGGCAACCTCCTCCACGTGCCTTAACAGGCTACGTGCCACACCAAGTCTGCGGGCGGCTGGGGCCACACAGACATTGCTGAGGTAGGCCCGCCGGTGCCGGGGATCGAACTGGGGACGGGAATCGAGCAGGAGATGTACGAGGAACGGATACGGGAAGGGAAGGAAATGACAAGATGCATTGCGGATGAAGGATGCATGTGGTCGGGAAGCGAGGGCGATAAAATATGTGGGTGGGTAATGACAACAATGTATGAAAACGTTCAGGTGCCGAGGCGGCGAAAAGCCGGCGATGGTCCCGACAGCCGGGACATGGAGGCAGCGGGAGGGGGGAAAAAGGAGCCAAGAGAGGTCGAGAGGGACGGAACCGGTTAGGCGACCGTGCGGGTTCCTCAGGCCGGCACGGCTGTGCAGCTGGTCCTTTTCCTGTGTCTCCAGAGTCAGCTGCGCCGACAAACGCTGCAAGTACAACACGCACGTCTCTTGGCCCCAGCCTGGCTTTATTCAACCTGGGAGGGGGCCCGGTGGGGGGCCCGGGCGCCAGGAGGGCACCAGGAGGGCGCCAAGCTCCATGTGCGGCGCAGGCAAGAGCTCCGACGACGACGCAGCACTGCACTGTGAACCCCTCTTGACCTCCTCCCCCCTGCTGCCGCCCTAGCGCCAACCCGCCTCGTACAGCGGCAGGTGACTCCCGCCACCCTCAAACATCATCCTTACAAGCCCCACTGGGCCCACACATTCGTCCGACCCCCCCCATCCCTTCCCCTGCTCGCTGCAACCCCCACCTGCGGGTGCCTGCCAATCAGCTCCTCAGACGGCAGTGTGTGCCCCACATTGAGGTCCAGGGAACCCACCACCAGGCGGCGAGGCCGCGGGCTCGCACTCGCACTCGAGCCAGGCTCCGCGGGCAGTTGGGCACACGCGTCCAGACACGACCGCAGCGCCGCCAGCAGCGCCCCACTCTCCTGGTCATTGCTGCCGCAGTGCTGGCTGGCAGCAGGCAGCTCTGCGCCGTCTCCTTCGCTAGCGGTTACGGTGGTTGTTATGGTGGTTGGCGCCGTCGCTTGGCGTCCGTACCCTGGGTCTACATCGTCCACTGTGGCGATGAAGCAGGTCACGTCCAGGTCCCGAAAGGCCTCATCGCGGCCTTTAACCGGTTGAGGGAGAGGCGGCAGTAGCAGTAGCAATCGCAGTAGCCATAGCAGGATCAGGAGCAGTAGCAGTAAGAGCAACAGTAACTGTCAGCAATTGCAGCGTCGGCAGCAGTAGCAGGGCCTGGGCCGATTAGGGGTGGTGGTTTGTATGAGGTGGTGTTTCCTTGGTGCGCGATGGTGGTCTGGATAATAAGCTCGTGGCTAGCCTGTGCCCCTCCGCAAGCAGCGCGCGTGTGTCCCCCGCCTTGCATTCTTGAGCTACAAAATCCCTTTTTCCCCTCACGGTAATATTCCCCAAGTTAGCAGTCACCGCAACTTTAGATTGTACTGAACCTGTGGACGCGCTGTTCACCCCGCCGGCCACTGCAACGCAGTAACCAGCAACCGCAAACCACTACCAATCACGCTCCCAACCGCTAACGGACCCGCCATACCCACCCTCCACCTTGGCCGTCACCGACTCCCACTCCGCATTAGCCTTCATGTGGCGGTGCGACTGCCATACAGGCAAGGGGGGGCCGAGAGGCGAGGGATAAGGGACGGAGCTGGAGTCGCGTACTATGGGCTTTCAGGAAACCCCGGACAGCAGCGTGTTTCGAGGCATATGGGAAATGGGGCTATGTATTGGACCTAGGGGGGAAACAGCCGTTGGGAGCGCCCAGAAATGCAGAGCGCTCTGGAACAACGTGGAGATTGATAAAAATCCAGACTCTTGGTGGCCCCTCCCTGGACCGCGAGGCAGCTGGGGACGCCGGGACCAGCCACATGGCCACATCAGCTTCCGCAGTCACAGGATAAGGATTGCTTCAGGTTACTTAGGGTGAGTGAGGGAAGGTTACTTTGAAACGGTTATTTTGGGGTCATTAGGAAAGGGGGTGATGGTGGGAGAGGGAGCGGTCTTCCGGATGCGAGGTGTACGGCAGGCAAAGAGGTCCAGACGCTCTGACGCGGTGGGGGCATCGCGTGTGCAACTTCGTATTTTGTGCAACCGGACTAAAAAACCAAAAAACCAGCTCCGAGCTCAGCGTGTCCCCGGACGCAATGGCAAAACCACCAATGCAGCCACGTCCGAGTGATTGCCGTATGCTCTGATGCGGGATGCCGTACGCACCCTTGCTGCGTACTCGCTACGTCCGGGCGGGTATGTGTAGAAGCTGACGGCCCTGAGGAAGGCGGCGGCGCGGAGCTCCGCGGGGGTGGCGGCCTGCTGTACGGCACACACCAGCGCCGGAGCCGTCGCCGCCGGCGTTGCCGCGGCTGCGGCCGCGGCGGCGGCTGCAATGGAAACTGAGCCTTTTGCTGAGGAGTTTGCAGTCGTTGTGGGCCTTGTAAAGGGCAGCAGCGCAGCGCCATGCTGTCCCCAAGGGACTTGGAGGACAGCGTGTGAGACCCTGTGAGGTTTGTGCACTTGTTGAAGGGGAGGATGAAGCCTGGGGCTAGCGACGGGGTGAGCCGGAAAGCTCATGCCGGACGTCGTCCGGGGTCCACTTGCAAGCGACATAGCCACGTGTACAGTCGGTGAAGTAGCAGCTGCCCGTTGAAAAGTGTGTGTAAGGCAATAAGTGTAACTCGTCTATTTGACGTAAAGCGCGCCTCAGCATAGAGTTTGTAAAAGTTCCAAGGAAGGGAAAAACGATGTTTGCTACATAAATAGTGGGGCCAGCATCGAACTATGTCGCGACGCCCACCACAATTAAAGGCTGACGGCCCACTGATTGATGCGCTCAGACAATGACGTTGGCTCGTTCTCACAATTGCAATTGTGCTAAAGCCTACAAATCCGGGATAGGTTGAATCCGTTGTGGTTTCACTTGCTCCAAACCGAACTATCCCATGTTCCCATCGCAAAGGCAGCTTGGTGGCATCCGTGTGTGTAAGGTAGGTGCGTTGATTCATCCTTTTCAAGTCCAGGTTGCTGATAGACCTTACTGTGCTCCACCTTTACAAATAAACCTTTCCAGATTCATCATGCTAAGACGTAAAATCGCATCGCATTGATCTCTACCGTGACTGTAAAAATGAGTAGTCTTGCCGGTCAAGCAAAGAGCAAACGCAAGCGTTCAGGAGCCGACAAAGATGGAGCGCCGCCGCAGGATAACCCGCAAGTGCGATTTAAGATAGACGAACGACCTTCGAAGCGCAGGTAGGCATCACCGGCTTATTGCGGCTGGCGGCGCTTCCGTGAGCAGACTTGAAGGTTGAGAGGCGCAGCCTTAGTAATGACATCAAGCTTCAAACTCCACCCAAACCTACATTTATTTCCCTCGTAGGTTTGTCGTGCCGGACGGTTTCGTCCCGGTTGACAAACGATGTGTTGTGGATCCCGCCGAGGTGGCAGCTGGGCGTCAGGAGCTTTGGTTAATTCAACTGCCTAATCCGGCGGTGAGGAAGGAAAAGAACTGGGGCTATCGGGGTGGCATAATTCTGATTACCTTGATAGCCTTCCGCTGCGGAACCACGGGTCTTGCCAATATTGACCCGGCGGACCAATGTCCACATAATTGACACTGCCCGATTTGCCCTGGCAATCGCCGGTGTCATGCTTGCTGCTGCGTCGTAATAAATCCTCAGGCGCTGCAAACCCTCGCAGCTGGGGGCAGCATTGAGTTCGACCTCAACGCGTTGGATAAGGGGGCGACCGGATCTGAACTGTTGGCAAACTTTAAAGGCCGAGATGGTGAGCCCCTGTCTCTGGCTCTGGTACGTCCCTGGCCTAGTAATTTTAATCCTTGGCGGGAATCTCTACCTGTCAGTGCCCGGTCGCGGTACCTTGGCTTGACCTGGAGTTCCCCGCGTACTTCCCCTCCAGGTGCACCGTACAAGATCCAGCTAGAGGCTAATGACGTGGCGCAGCAGCTTGTGGCGGTGTGCCCTCTGGACGATGACGAGGGAGCAGCGCAGGTGGGAACGGGCGGTAGGGGGCCGGGGTGCACTGCGGGGAGACACGGTGGCTAAACCGCAAGGCAACGGTGTCAATAACATTAACACCAGGTGGGTATGTGTTGCAAAATAGAGTGGCTTACTGCCTGGAACCCGACTATCAAGGGCCGGGACCGGGGGAGGTGTCGGGTTGGCACATATGGGCGTATGGGGCTGTCTGCCCGCATCTTGGCCCTTTTCAGTTATCACTTGATTCCCCGCTGCTGGGAGGCCCGGAGCTCTCCCTTTATGCAGCAACAGCCAGTGTCTTAGGGAAACATTATGGTAGAACCGAACCCCCAAAAGCTTCATGCAGCCTCACAAAACCTGTTAAACAACACGCAGGCTGTGCCCATCTCCCGCCGGCTAACGGTGCTGCGGGAGGTCGCGGCACCGGAGACCGGCTCCACAGCTGGGGAGCCTGAGGACGAGGTGAATGCGTTGGCGCGTTTGGAGGAGGCCCTAGCTGCCATGGCAGCGGCCCGGCGGGAGGCGGCAGTGCTGGCTGTGTTGGAGGGCAGGGCGCGGCCGACGGAGGAGCAGGCGGCAGCGGCAGCAGCTGCGGTACAGATGGAGGTGGACGGCCGGGGCGCGGTGGGGGCAGCAGGGGAACCGACAGCACCTGTGGCGGCGGGCGAGAAAGAACCCAAAGCGAAAGAAAGCAAGCACAAGAAAGACAAGGACAAGAAGGACAAGAAGGACAAGGAGAAGAGCAGCGTAAAGGAAGGGCACAAGCACAAGAGCAGCAAGGCTGACAAGGCGAAGACGCCGGGTGCGGCGCTGGTGCCCGCGCTGGGGCCGGCGCCGGCCAAAGCAGCGCCTGCGACGGCGCCGCCGGCGTTGCGGCCGCTAACGGAAATGGAAACGCCCGCCGCGGCGGCAGCAGCTCCTCCGGCCGCGCCCGCCGCGGTGGCAGTGACGCCCGCTGCGGCGGCAACGGCGGCGAATGGTCAGGTTCCAGCCTCTGGAGCTGCGGCTGGGGCAATAAGTACCGGCAAGCATAAGCACAAGGACAAGAAGGAGAAGCACAAGGACAAGGATAAGAAGAAGGACAAGGAGAAAAAAGATAAAAAGGAAAAGAAGGTGCGAGAGAGAGCTTTGGTTGGCGGGCCCTTATAAGCGAGGCTAAGAAGTATCCTTGCGCTTTGCTGTGGTGCAATTAGGGGGAACCGTTTGGTGGGTCCATGACTTTCTCCGGGAGTGAAGCTGTTGTAGTTTTGAGGGTTTGCCGGAACTTGTTAGCCTTGTGCATTAGGGGTTGGTTCAGGTGCGCTGTCCGTGTGCCATGCATTTCCAATGGATATGGTTTGTCGAGTAGGCTGTTAATCCTTGCGCATACTTGCGTTCACTTTCCCGTGGTTTGGACCCGGGCTTCAGATATGGCTTGATACAGGCGTGACATGCGAGTCGTCTTTGCCGCTTCAATCGTGACGCTGCAATCCAATATGCGGCTTTGTGTTTGGTTATGGTTTATGTGACGATATCGTACTTTCTCCCCGTGCAGAAGAAGGATAAGAAGGATAAGAAGGACAAGAAGGACAAAAAGGAGGACCAGGCCTCCTCAGACTCAGATAGCGACAGCGGTTAGGGGTTTAAGGATGAGCCGGCTGGGATGGCGAATCTTTCAGCGGAAGTGAGCTGGACGCATCTGATGGCACGTAATGCACCTCTGCAGCTTTAATAGCGGGGTAGCGGACCCCGCTACCGAATCTTAAGGGGGTGGGTGGGTTAGGCCAAGGCTGGGGCTGGGAATGTTTGAATGGACGCCATTCGACCCCGCACAACGTCCACGGTGGAGGGTTGAAGGTGTGCTGCTTAGTGGTGTGCTGATGCACTCGATTTGTTTGAATTCGCTGTAACCAAACGTATACTGCTTTGAACGCGAGCGTGCGGTGACGTTAATGAGTAGGTATGGATGCTGGTGTGTAGTCAATGTGGTGTTGTGAGTTTTTGATCTGCTGCTGCTGAGAGTTAATGACGCATGCAGCACTGGATGAGAAGAGATGCAATGGATGCGGAGGGGTGGCTCACAGAAACTGTTCCATAGGCAGCAGCAGTACGGTATTAAAATTGGTTTTGGCACGTTTTAGGTTAGGCAGGCAGGATAGGCACACTGATACAAAACAACCACCTTTGCGGACTTACGCGCCCGCGACGCTTTGCGGCTGTTGGTAAAGCGTGGCACTCAGGCTTGACACCTTGGTTGTTTTGTTCAGTGGTTCGGATTCCAGTACGACACCAGATCAGGATTGGCTGCGGCAAGTTTATATACAGTTTATTACGTTAGTAAATCCTCTCTTGATTTAACGAGACGAGCGAGTGATGTGTTCACAGAATGACTCTTATCACCAACAGGTTATCAGCCCCGCGTTTTAGTGTGCGGTCATCCTTTTCCCCGGTGGTGCTCTCTCTGCTGTGTGCGGACTTCCATGTGCTGAAGGAGCACGTCATCGGCGCCCTCCAGCGAGAGGGGCTTGCAAACGCGATTAGCCCCTCGCAGGCTACGCGTGACTACAAAATCCAATCCAAACGTTAAAGCGTTCTTTGCTTGCCTTTGGCTACGTACAGCGGCGGTTTGCAGAATCCTATTTATGATTTTGCTAACAAAAGAGCTTTGGGAAGGAGGTATAAACACACACGCAGGCAGACGCGGTGAGCATTCAGGCAGCATTTCCTTATGACGCAAAGCCGCAAAAGGAAGAAGTCACTTGATTGCTCCTGCTCGGAAAGGTGGAATGGAGAATTTCAAAGGCTTACAGTTCGCGCTCAGTGCATCTGTTTGCCGTTCTGACCTTGCCGCTTACAGCACGGATTCGATTGACAAACAACTGCCCATTTCCATCACACCTCTAATGCGCCGGGGAACTGAGGTACCAAAAGTAATAGAGGAACTACATGAGGAAGTGGAACCATCTTAAAAAGAGATGGTCCATGGAAAAAAGGTCCACAAAATAGTCATATGATTGCACAATACGAATTTCCTGCATCCTCGGGGAAACAATACCGGTGCATCAACGTTGGCGACCGTGCCCTACTACACGCGGAACGGACACACTCACGGAATGAGCAAAAACGACTTGTGTAGTAAGCTTTTCCATCTCATCTTCTTATTGATGTCCTCCGACTGCCTTTTCCTGGAAACATGCTCAAGTCCATCGCACAAACTCGAAAACACCTAGCGACTCACCCATGGGGCACTCCCAGCTGGAAATGTCATGGCATGCATGATAGAATGCAAAAAACAAGAGGAAATCCAAGCCTATGTACTTCTATCCGCTAAACATGGCGCATACAACTACTCCTGCGCATACGCATATGCCGTATACGGCAATCCCACTCCTAGAAGAGCTCCCGATCTCAACGTAACTTTGGCTCGAAGTAATGAAAACGCTCAGATAGCATTACCGTATGCGGATAATTTATTCCCAAGACATTTATCTGTCCTGTGCAAAACCATTATAACCTTCTGCTCATTACCTTCTGGCCTACCTACGTAAATTGAACCGTCCGACACAACTTTAAACTATATATCCTGCATGCGCAAAGAAGCCTATGTTGCACAGCACATTGCGTAACAATCAAGTCAATATTCAATATCAAAAATAAGCATTCTCACGCAACATGTAAATTTCCCGCACTCTGCCACGCTAACCACATGTCTCATTCCGTCAATCAGCCTATCCATGGACGCCAAATGCGGCCCGACCACAATACGCAGCCAGTGCCTTTCGGATCCATCAGAAGCATCCGAAGCATCTTTTGATATTGCAAACCTCCGAGAAGGATATACACATAACCCAGCAGACAGGAAGCAAAGGCCTCGTATAAGGAAAACCGTAATCGGAATTCAAGTGTCCCACATCGCCAAGCACCGTGCTTGAACCCCGTGCTCGTGAACACGCAAGTCATCTACATTTTCCATTAGTTCATAGGCTCCCCATAGCAGGCCTTACTTCGGCAACCACAAGGGTAAAGCGCACAGGTAACCTCACACGTGCGATAAGGGTCACATGTATGCGCCCAGCAGCCTAGGGTAGCCTAACAGACTCCCGTCCCGTCCCGAGGTCAGATAAGCTCACGTTCCAAACATGTTTTTTATTATTATATTTCCACTAGTGTAAGATCCCTCTGTTCGGCCCTGCCTTCGGTCCTACGAAAATATCACACCGTTGACCCGGCCCCCACGCACTCCCACAACGAGATTCCCGGCGCCAATTCCTTCCGGTCAATACGTTGCGCGCATGCGGAGGCGTGTGATGTAGACACCATGCGGCGAGGTCCTATCTGAGGTTGTTGTTGGTTCAGTTATAAGTGGTCCGTGCTTATATCTAGGGCGGCGCACTACCGCGCATACTTGTTTTCATGCGCCAGGCAAACGTACATGCGCGCAGAACCCGGCACGTAGCAGCTGTAGATAAAAACGGCAGACACATCGCCTACTATCGACACACGCTGAGGCGCTCCGCCAGCATCTTAAAAGACGCCTTTTCAGCGGCCAGCTGCGACGCTGCGACAATTGCGTTTTGTACCGGAGGTACCGGGCTGTGCGTGTCGGTCCTCCACAGTCTGCCCAGCAGCAGCCAGATCAGCAACCCCAATGCATATGCGCGGTATAAGCTCCATCCATACAATGGCGTAAATCACCAGCACGAATCCGAATCTTCCCCCCCTATGTACGCATTTCTAGATCCCCGTCTCCACCAAACCTCGTACGCTGCTCCCCTCCTACCGTCAGGGCTACCAGCACTTGACGCTAGGCATCCCCGGGTATGCAGCCCCTCGCCGGCCGTGAACCGTTGATGCTCCGCTCTTGCTGAGACGCTCTCGAGACGGCCCCTGGACGTTCACAGATTTGCGCATCCCTCACAAACAAATGCGCATAGCGGAAAAGAGAGAAGACTATCAGCGCTGGGATTGCCTAATCAAGTAACCGGTATGGATGTTTTATTAACCTTGCAGTGTTGCGGAACATTCGGGAGGTGCGGGAGAGGGGTGCGGCTTCGGGGCTGTCTGGGCCGCGGTAGTAGGACTGGCCTTGGAACCTCTTGGGGCCTTTCCTGGGCTAAACATTGTTGGGGCTGGTATGCGGGTGGCAGCCAGCGCTGGGGCTCCGGTCGGCTCCCATGGTAACGTCCTGATGGAAGCTCAAAAACCGTACCGACATACCTCCCTAATTTGAAGCGTGTTCTGCACAAGTTCTCGCTTGCGTTCCTGCACACCGTCGCGCCCGAGGCCCGCGACCACCGTCCAATTCTGTCCCCTCTCCTAAACTATCATGGGCCACACCACACCACAACGCGCACCTTTTCAGGGTTCAGGACTTCCGCGCAGCATCATGCGCCTAGGCCCGCTTGCAACGGTCCCGCCCGCCGACTGCTGCGTGTTCGCAGCCAATGTCGCCACCGTCGTGCTGGGCTGCCGCTGCTGGGGAATACTAGGCTCGCTACCTGCTGCCGCCGCGGCCGCGCTTGGCAGCGTAAGGCCCGCAGCGCTTCGTGAGCGCGTCACGGTCAGCTGCGAGCTGCTGCCCGGGTTGGAGGCCACGATGCGGTCCAGGAGGAACTGAACCTGGGTCCGAATCGACTCCAATTGCGAATCTCCTGGGCAAGCGGGGAAACATGGGGGAAAAATTGGACAGCAACAGCATTTGGGGTCGGCTAGTTGTGACGAGCAGACGAGCGGGCCACGCTTTCCTCTTTTAAGCTTAGTACCGCATGCTGCAACTTACGTGGAGGCGAAGAGGGGGGTACAGAGGGAGGACTCGGCAGCGTGGGGCGGGAGGCTGGCGACGGTGTTGCTAGTGATGGCGATGGCAGAGGTGACTGCCACCATGGAGTCGGCACGAGAAAAGGCGATGAAGGCAGAGGAGATGACGAAGGCGTCGTAGGCGGCGGTGGGCTACTGGCCGAATGTTCCTCCTCCCCCCGGTAAGGAGAGACAGCCCCGGGAGAGCTGGGCGATGATTTGAGTAGCGCTGGCCAAGGCGAGGCCAAGTCAGGGACCGGCGGCGGCAGAGACGTGGTGGGTGCAGGCAGCGGGCTGTATGGCTGGTAGGCAGCTGGTCCGTCGCCGCGGGAAACGGGAGGCAGCGACTGCGGGGCCAGTGGCGCGGGGTTGGGTGGCTGCCACCCCATCGGCACACTGTCGGACGGCGGTGCCGGAGATTCTGTGGGCTCCAGAACTAAGGGCGGTGAGGCCAGTGACGCGGGGCTGGGTGGCTGCCACCCCATCGGCACGCCGCCGGATGGCGGTGCCGGAGGTTCTGCGGGCTCCAGAACTGAGGGCGGTGAGGCCAGTGGTGCGGGGTTGGGTAGCTGCCAGGTGAGAGCAAGCGACGGCGCCGGGACGTAGCTTGGCGGCGGTGTACTGCTCGCGACGGCTGGCCTTCCCGCCGAAGAGGAAGAGCGCTGGATAGGAGCAGGAGAGCCGTACATGGGCGGATGCTGGCCCGGAGAGGCCGACCGGCCTGATGTGGGCATCGCAGGTGCGTAGGCAGGTGGCCGGATACCAAGCTCACTAGGATATGAGGGCGCTGCGGCGGAAGGTGGCGGAGATGGGACGCTGTCCAGCTGACCCGCTGGTGCAGGCGACGAGTAGTACAAGGGGGAATGTGCTAGTGAGGGGCTGGGCTGCGGCGCCGGCGCCGGCGCAGCTGGTTCTAAGGGAGGTGGACTGAGAGCAGGCGGCGATGGCGGGCTGGCAGCAGGCCGCAAAGGCGACTGCGGGCAAAATGAAGGTGGGAACGCGGACGATTGAGGTACAGACGCTGGGGTTGAAGGCTGCGTCGGCGGCATTAGATTCGTACAACGCCGGCGACGGCGGAGTCGACGCATACGCATACGATGGCGGGCTGCCAAGCTGCGACGGCGGAGGCAGCGGCACTTCCGGATAGGCCGGTGGACTTGCGGTCTGCGGCGGCGGCAGAGATCCGTACAACGCCGGCGACGGCGGAGCCGACGCATCCGCATACGATGGCGGGCTGCCAAGCTGCGACGGCGGTCGCAGCGGCACTTCCGGATAGGCCGGTGGACTTGCGGTCTGCGGCGGCGGCAGAGATCCGTACAACGACGGCGACGGCGGAGTCGACGCATCCGCATACGATGGCGGGCTGCCAAGCTGCGACTGCGGTCGCAGCGGCACTTCCGGATAGGCCGGTGGGCTTGCGGTCTGCGGCGGCGGCAGAGATCCGTACAACGCCGGCGACGGCGGAGTCGACGCATACGCATACGATGGGCTGCCAAGCTGCGACGGCGGTGGCAGCGGCACTTCCGGATAGGCCGGTGGACTTGCGGTCTGCGGCGGCGGCAGAGATCCGTACAACGACGGCGACGGCGGAGCCGACGCATCCGCATACGATGGCGGGCTGCCAAGCTGCGACGGCGGTGGCAGCGGCACTTCCGGATAGGCCGGTGGACTTGCGGTCTGCGGCGGCGGCAGAGATCCGTACAACGCCGGCGACGGCGGAGCCGACGCATCCGCATACAATGGCGGGCTGCCAAGCTGCGACGGCGGTCGCAGCGGCACTTCCGGATAGGCCGGTGGACTTGCGGTCTGCGGCGGCGGCAGAGATCCGTACAACGCCAACGACGGCGGAGTCGACGCATCCGCATACAATGGCGGGCTGCCAAGCTGCGACGGCGGACGCAGCGGCACTTCCGGATAGGCCGGTGGACTTGCGGTCTGCGGCGGCGGCAGAGATCCGTACAACGACGGCGACGGCGGAGCCGACGCATCCGCATACGATGGCGGGCTGCCAAGCTGCGACGGGCTCGGCGATGCGGCACTTCAGGACGACGGTGACGTGGTTGGGATGCCCGCCGGCGGAAGCGGTAGTTCCGTGTCTGAGGTTGACGTTGACAGTAGCGGTAATGGTGATGGCAGCTGCAGCAGAGGCGGCGAAGGCTGCGGCATTGGCGACATTGGTATGGATGGCAGCTGCAGCGGTGACGCTAATGTCAGCGGAAATACTGGCGACAACGGCGACGGAGGATGACGCGGCGACGGTGGTGCAAGGGGCACTGGCGACGGTGACGGAAGCAGCACCGCCGATGGTGGCGGATACGGCACCGGCGACGGCGATGCAAGCGGCACCGGCGACGGTGACTGAAGCGGCAATGGGGCCGGCGACGACGGCGACGGTGACGGAAGCAGCACCGCCGATGGTGGCGGATACGGCACCGGCGACGGCGATGCAAGAGGCACCGGTGACGGTGACTGAAGCGGCAATGAGGGCGGCGACGACGGCGACGGTGACGGAAGCAGCACCGCCGATGGTGGCGGATACGGCACCGGCGACGGCGATGCAAGCGGCACCGGCGACGGTGACTGAAGCGGCAACGGGGGCGGCGACGACGGCGACGGTGACGGAAGCAGCACCGCCGATGGTGGCGGATACGGCACCGGCGACGGCGATGCAAGAGGCACCGGTGACGGTGACTGAAGCGGCAATGAGGGCGGCGACGACGGCGACGGTGACGGAAGCAGCACCGCCGATGGTGGCGGATACGGCACCGGCGACGGCGATGCAAGCGGCAGCGGTGACGGTGACTGAAGCGGCAATGGGGCGGCGACGACGGCGACGGTGACGGAAGCAGCACCGCCGATGGTGGCGGATACGGCACCGGCGACGGCGATGCAAGAGGCACCGGTGACGGTGACTGAAGCGGCAATGAGGGCGGCGACGACGGCGACGGTGACGGAAGCAGCACCGCCGATGGTGGCGGATACGGCACCGGCGACGGCGATGCAAGCGGCACCGGTGACGGTGACTGAAGCGGCAATGGGGCCGGCGACGACGGCGACGGTGACGGAAGCAGCACCGCCGATGGTGGCGGATACGGCACCGGCGACGGCGATGCAAGAGGCACCGGTGACGGTGACTGAAGCGGCAATGAGGGCGGCGACGACGGCGACGGTGACGGAAGCAGCACCGCCGATGGTGGCGGATACGGCACCGGCGACGGCGATGCAAGGGGCACCGGTGACGGTGACTGAAGCGGCAATGGGGCCGGCGACGACGGCGACGGTGACGGAAGCAGCACCGCCGATGGTGGCGGATACGGCACCGGCGACGGCGATGCAAGAGGCACCGGTGACGGTGACTGAAGCGGCAATGAGGGCGGCGACGACGGCGACGGTGACGGAAGCAGCACCGCCGATGGTGGCGGATACGGCACCGGCGACGGCGATGCAAGCGGCACCGGTGACGGTGACTGAAGCGGCAATGGGGCCGGCGACGACGGCGACGGTGACGGAAGCAGCACCGCCGATGGTGGCGGATACGGCACCGGCGACGGCGATGCAAGCGGCAGCGGTGACTGAAGCGGCAATGAGGGCAGCGACGACGGCGACGGTGACGGAAGCAGCACCGCCGATGGTGGCGGATACGGCACCGGCGACGGCGATGCAAGCGGCAGCGGCGGCGGTGACTGAAGCGGCGGCACCGGCACCGGCGATGCAAGCAGCTGCGACGGCACTGCAAGCGCTATTGGCGGCGGTGACGGCGTTGGCAGCTGAGAGAGCTTCGGTAAAGGCGACTGTGGCAGCTGCAGCGGCGGCGATGACGGCAGAGGTAAAAGTGGCGACGGTGCCGACATGACATCATCTGGCAGTGGGCTTGCAGGCGGCGGCAGAGCGCCGGGCTGTGCAGGCAGCTGAGATGGGCCCGCCGTGTCGCGTTTGCTAGGCGAACTTGGCTGGGGCCCCGCTGCGGCCGGCGATGGCAGGGTAGCATCTGGGCCGGAGATCGCGCCGTCCCCATCGTCCCGGCTGACCACCGGCGTGCCGTATTGTCCGCTGAAGTCGCCGTCGAGGCTGACGGACACCTGCAACGGGCTTTCTCCGGGCGCTACAGCGCCGGTGTCCCGCAACGTAATCGTGACGCTTGAACCGGAGTTTTGCCTCATCACTTGGATAAGCATGCGCATGAGCTCGACTGCGTCGTTCTGCAGTGAAGCATAGTAAAGGTGCCCCAGGCATACATATCGGGTGATGCGGAGAAGCCGCATTACAAAAGTGTGGTAAACGTACAAGGAAAAAAGCCTACAGCAGCGGCAAACTTTATGGAATTGATGGTTTCTTTCCAGCTGCTGCTGGGGTTATTTGGCGGCAATCGGTAGGCGGCGTCATCAGGTCGCTGGTGAAATGGTGGCGCAACATCTGGCTCTTATGTACAGTTCGGTCGCCAGACATGAGCCCGACCCCGATGGGGGAGTATCTACATCTCGACCATGCTCTCCTCAAGGTTTGCGAGGCGGCTGTGTAGGGTACTTTCCGATCTGGGTCATGCCTGCAACTGGTCGCTCGGCAGTTTTCCCATTTGGGTTGGGGAACAACAATTGTATTGGGGACTTATCGGGCCGCAGCACTAGTATAAGACACCTCCCAAGCGGCCAAATGCGACTTTTGTTTTGTACCTGACCCAGATGGGGAACTTGCCACATGACCCGATCGTCAGATTTGTAATCGACGGGGGCCGAATGGAGAGCACGCACGCAATAAGCGATTGCCGCATGACCCAAATGGAATAGGGTAGATGGATGCACGATTGCCACACGATCCGAATCCTTGACTCAGATGGGAAGCGATGGAAATAACTTCTATGCGCCCTGGCCGCAACGCAACCGACCCAACTGTACAGAATTTATGGTTTTTGTTGCTTCTACTAATAGAAAGGTAAAATAAAGCCTAGCAGGTTGTCCTGACGGTTACGACGTGTGAAAAATAAAGGATAATAACTTGACGATGGATCCCAACAGATCACGGTGCAATTTGTGCTCTGAGCGCGCTTGCTCCTTATGACCCACCTCGATGCCAGCTTTATAGTACGTGCCCGTCGATGCGTTGACCAGGACTGTTGACGCGGCACCGCTGAGAGGCGAAGTCATATCGGCGATCTCTTCGTCCTCAGCCGCGGCAGAGAAGCTTCCGGGGCTGTAGGAGGAGCCACTTCCGATGCCCGCGTGCAACACGCCCGGCGGAAGAGAGAAGCTCACGGTCGCGTTGGGGTTCTGGGATTTGAGGTTGAGCGCCGTCTCGACGAGGGAGTACAAGTCAACCAGTTTCGTCGTCGTTACCGGCTTGGCTGGCTGCGACTTTGACGATATGGCTGCTAGCTTGCGCTGTGAGGATGAAGGCGCGCCCGGTGGAGTGTGCGCTACTCTTTGCTGTGAGTCCGCTGCGAATAATGGGCTGCTTGAGCTTGCTGCGCCACGAAGATGCCTTCCATAGCGTTGCTTAATATGGCTAGTACTGCTGCTTCGGTCCTCAGCCTCAGTTGTTAATGGCAAGCCAACTTGTGCCCAGCTCGAGCATAGCACGAGGAAAAGCGAGGTAGCCGGGAACGCAAGCCGGAGAGGCCTGCCTCCCATTTAATATAAGAGTCACTGGAGTGTTATTTTGCGTACCCAGACTATATGGGAATAATTTGAATTGATGAAGCTTTCGCGAGAGTGTTGCGGTGTCTTGATCACGTGTGGGCGCGCGCTGGGCGAAGCTTGCTATCAATAAGCACAGCCGGGCATCGGGGAAGAAACAGCTCTACAGCGCACGTGTGTGTGCGACGCCAGGACTTGAATAATACTTTACAAATCACGACTTCAGAGGGTTGCGTCAAAGTAGCTTGCTTACTTTGAGAGAATGTTGGGGCTCTAAATGTGTGTGACGGAAGATTTTACGCCCGGCGCCGTACACCGCGCGCGATTAACCCCAGCAACGATTCCTTTACTTAATTCGTTACTTATCCATATGCACATGGCCAACATCCGTCCTGCCCTTTGCTAAACGTCCCTGGAGGCCCTTGCTTCTGGTACTAGCCGGTTCATCCATTGCTCATGATGTGGCGGAACCTTATCTGTCGGAAGTCGGGGCGGAAACGTCGACACCGCTACAACAAAGGGATTGAATCGCCATTCCACCTACTGTGTCGTTAATGCCCAAATCTCCAACAGGCTTAGATGGCCAGGAACTGACAAACGCCCTGCAATGACCTTGCGTGAGGCCCCGATAACATGTGTACAAACGAAACAGAGAATTCACCAAATTGGATTCAGGAGCGCCTTAGCCAGTCGCGCGATGTCTGGATAGATTTTCAGCCACAAAAAAATGCGGAAAGGAGCCGAACTGGTTGTAGGAGTTGCTCTTTACGCATGCACGCACACGACCGGTCTACGGGTACCCTTGCTTGTAAAAGCGCGCTCTCAGGCGGTAATGGTAAAATAGAATTGTCACAACTATGAGGTAGTATCTAAAATACATCGCATACACGAGTGGCGACTACACTGGTACTGGGAGGTACGCGGCACGCTATGGGTATATCTGTATTGCAAATGCCGGAATGCAGCCAGGTGCGCTTCTTGCTACGTTTACGGGCAGGAGCGCTGAATAAACTATTTGGATTAAATTTTGTGACGAAAAAATGAACCTGGATGGGAGTAAACATTATGCAAGCTGGCAGCTGCGTCATTTTAGGTTTGGATTAATCGTTTTACCGCCAGATGTTCAGCGCATTGTGACAGCGTTGGCATACCTTCCCCCAGTGGAAGATGTTGATGACCACCCGTTAGTTCCTAATGCGTGGTGTTGGAATTTGCCATTGTGGGGAAACCCTGTTCTTCCAGAAAAAAAATTGAATGTCCAGTTAGATAACATCCGCCCGGGACTAGAATTTCGTCATCAAGCCCTCCTGGGCTGTAAAGCATTGCATACGTTGGGAGATGTTCTTTGCGCGCGAGAGGCCTTGGATGGAGTTATGAATGCAACGGACCAAGCAGGCCTAGCAATACGCAAGGCTTGGCATCAAATAGTGGATAAATACCTCCAACCGCAAACCCCACTAGCTAAATCCCTGTGCACCTATCGTAAATGGCAGGAATGTATGGATGCTATTGCCGCTCTTCTAGATGATATTCCAGCGAATTGGAGACAGGCGGCTAGTCTTTTGTTGCCGCTGAGTGTAGAATCTAGGGAAGCGATGGTGCCCCCTATTGAGTCGGTTACTCAAACCCTAGTGTCGAGGCTTGGTTGGAGATGGGGTGTAGGGCCTCCAATCCGATTCCAACAATTATCCGTTAAAATAGCGACTAATATGCAACTTTCACCTTTTTCGATGGCTCGCCGTGTGGCCCATACCCTTTTCATCAAAGAGGCGACGGGTTCTTCTGAGATATTGGATGAAGCTATTCTTCTTTTGCAACGGACATTCCATCGTTTATGGTTTCATTTACGGTGGGAAAATGAACAAAAAGAGATTTGTTGGCGTCTTGCGGTTGATGGGGTGCCTATGTTAGGAAATTCCCATCTTAGGATGTCGCGCCCAACGATATGTGGTTGTGGAGGTTATCCAATAGGTTCAGTGGGAGGTGTATCCCCTCGCTATCATCATTTCTGGGCCTGTCCGGTGGCACAGGCAATAGCAGATCAACTTACTCTTTCAATAGGATTGCCAGTCTCAAGGGAGCAACTTTGGCTTATCCAAGCCCCACAATCAGTGCAACAATGTGTTTGGGATGTTGTGGCTCTTGCTGCGGTGTCAGCCATGGAGCATGGGAGACGTTATATGGCTGCAAACATGAAAACCAACCCGGCACTGTTACCTGGTCCTTCCCTTACGGAAGAAGCAATTTGTCGAGTTATTGTTGATTTTTGGGGCCGCATTCAGGGTTTCGCAGCTTTAGGAATTCCACGAAAAGGTTGGGAATCCGTTGGCGCACATCACCCCTTTTTGAGGATTATATCTGGCAAATTGATTTGTTCGCGAGAGCGGTTACCGATGAGAGGTTAATTATCTGAGATGATAATCTTTTGGTATATTAGTCTCTACTGCAGTGCACGGCCAGCTGGCCCGATGGCTCTACTCTTCGGGAGTCTGGAGCCCACTGTAACAACCACACACACATTTTAGTGAGAGAGCTTGGAGCGGCTGGCCGGGCAACACCTATCTCAAAAGTCAAATTGTGTAGGTATGCAATCACACTAATTTTTCACCAGGGGAATCCCAGGTGCTAGCAGAAGGGTACCAATCTCCCGGAGCTTCCGGCCTCGGCTGCCGAGAGCGTGACAAGCCACGACTAACATCACGGGAAAAGCCGAACGTGTCTAAATTTGAATCCAGCAAGGTGTTGGATGCACGGGGTGATGTGTCCGCGTTGCAACATAGAAAGAGCGCAGGAGCACATACGCACGCACGCGGCCTAACCCAGCCAGCGCAGCGCTTTGGTTTTACGCAAAATGGGAAGAAATTGAGCATGCATGCATGTCAGATTGTAGGCAGGTGCTGACTATTTTGAATCCCGTACACCGTGGGGCCCTATATGGTTAGGCGGGGGGTTATAAGGCGGATTTGCTTCCGTAGTATAGCCACCGCCTTGTTCCGAAGGTTCACTTCAACGGAAACGAGGCCGCCTTTTTGTGATCATTCTTATCTATTAATCGGTGGGCGGATTTCTTCCCGAATTTTTCTGTCGACTGTTGCCAGAACTGTGTCAAAAATGAAAACGATAGCACGCTCCGTCAGCTTGGTGCTTGCGCCGTTGGTGCTGCTGGCCGCGTGTTCCCCTGCCGTCTCGCAAGGTACACAATCAACGCGCCCCGGCACATTGAGTCGGAACACTTTTGCGGCAGCTCTTCATTGCCGCCGACTGCGCGCGCTTTGCCGTCCTTCGATTTCTTTCTTGTTCCTTTCTTAGTCCAGCTTAATCTATTGTTCATCTTCGCTTAAAAAGCCAAACCATAATGATAAACCTCATAACCTCGCGGTGTGGCCGATACTTTTCCAGGTTCCGTACCTCGCCGCGCGCTCCATCAGGCTTACAGTTTTGCCTCTTCTTCCGGCTCGGGGTCATCGTCCGCTTCAGCGTGGTCTTCAGGATCAGGCTCCTCCCAGCAATCTGCCACGTCCTGGAGTCAGCAGGATAGGACCTCGCAAACAAGCAACTGGGTCACACAGCCGCAGCTCCAACAAGTTCAGCAGGTCTTCGGCCAGCAACAACAACAGCAAACAAGCAACGTGTTTGGTTCCGTGCCCAACGCTTTTCAGAGCGGCCTTACCGGCGGCAACGCAGCCGCGCAGTTTACTCAACAATGTGGGTGGGCTTGCTCCCTGGCTGATCGCTGTTGTGACAAGGATTGTGTGCATTTACGTTGCTCTTGAGACTCAATTACATGGGTGTTGCTATGACCTGCTGTTGTTGCACGGCCTGGCCTCAACACCGACATTCGCTTTAACCCGTAGTGACAACTCAACCGCATCATACTTCCGCAAATGCAGGGAATCAGCTGCAACAACAGCAGCAGCAGCAACAACCCCAGCAACAGCAGCAGCAGCAGCAACAGCAACAACAGCAACAACCCCAGCAGCAGCAGCAGCAGCAGCAGCAGCCGCAAGTCCAGGCGCCGACCACGTCGCCATCATCCGGTCTAGGTACATGCATGTTCCTTACGAAGCGCACGTCGACGCGTATTTCAGCAATTGCAATGCCGTGAATGTTTTGCGTGCCTTGTGGCTTCCGTTTTGCTACTTAGTCCTTCTCAGTTTTGAGTGATTGCCAGGATCATCCATGATGGACTTCCCCGCCCACGGCCTGACCCACATCATACAAGCATGTCATGGGATGTCGATACGCGCCGTGTCCCAAGTACATTTACAGGGTTTCAACCATAATACACAGCACCGTCATTTCCGGCCATCCTGTCCCCTAAGTGCTGACCCGCAACTACGACAGCTACGTTTTATGTCCTTGACCCGCATTTTACCCGGTTACCCTAAGCACCACTTCCCTGTTTTCATGCCCACTATACATTGCAGCCGCGTATGCGCAGCAGTCTCTGGACACACACAATTACTACAGGTCAAGGCACCAGTCGACCGCACCTCTGCGCTGGTCGTCAACCCTCGAGGCAGATGCGCAAGCTTGGGCTAACCGTTGCGTGTTCGAGCATGCCAATAACGTCGCCAGCGGCGAAGGCGAGTCTAGTACGAAACGTCTTGCCTAACCTCTAGGGCACACATGGTGTGTGCGAGTTAATCCTAAATTCTGATCTCGTTTTTAAAACGCTTGTAGTAATTTAGGAGGTAGGCATCGACTATTATTTCTTTTCTTCTATTATCGGCTTTGGTAGCCACAATAAACCTATAACCGCATTAGTTGCATTAGCTTAGCGGTGTTTTTTGCTTCGCCCTGAAATTTTTTTTAATAATATTAAAACCGTGCGGCTGTTGTACTACCCCACTGCATATTACAACTGGCACCTTACTTCAACAGGTGAAAATCTTGCTTGGGGTTACTCTGATGCCAAGTCCGCTATCGATGCCTACTACTCTGAGGGTGCTGGCTACGCGTACGGTGTCTCTCAGCCCGCCGACTGGCATTCTGTGGGACATTTCACCCAGGTAATTTGCGTGCACCCACACGTGGCATTGGCATGTTGTACGTTAACGTGACATTGGACTGTGGGCTTGTCCCTCCAGTCGCTGAAGCTATATCGCACCCTACTAATCCAGCCTGATCTTTTCTTTTCATAAGGATAGGCCATTCATGGCCTCGGGCTTGAAACGGCGCTTCGACTTCTGGTACACTAAGATTGCTGTATATTGTCATAATCCGTATAGATTCACCCGTTTTGACGACTCGAGATTAACAGATTGCCCTCGTCTGTTCCAGGTAATCTGGAAGGCTTCGACGGACCTAGGTTGTGCTGTCGCCACATGCAACGGCGGTCAGCAGTTCCAAGTTTGCCGCTACTCTCCACCTGGGAATGTCCAAGGCCAGTACGCTGAAAATGTCCTGCCGCCAAGTACATAACGGAGAGTCAGGGGGTCATCCACCATACAATTTCGTAGTTAATTTTGGGGCAGCTCTCTGGTTAAGAAGGAGTGCGCCCGCGCATAACGCAGGGCAGGGTGTGTCGTGTTTGAGGAACATACAAGCAGCTTGTACAGCACATTGTGCAGAGTTTGCCTTAAGATGTCTTATCTACATATGCATAGCGGTATGCGGCAATGAAATTGTGCAACATTTGTTCATGCCACTGCCCTGCAAATGCGGGCGAGCGGCGACACGGGTACAATTGACTTGCTGGGGGGTGTCGATGCAGATGTAGGTTACGTTAAGGATGGAGCAAGGTGTTGCCGCTCGCGTGGGTGTAGATTGGGAGGTAGCGCGCATGCAGGAATAATAAAAACGCGGGATAACATTTGTCTCACGTAAATGTTAATACTGCAGTAATACAGAGGAGGCAGGGCCAAGTATTGCAAAGAAAAGCAGCGGCATTTGCAGGAACGAAGCCATGGCATTGTTACGTATGAAGAAACTCTTCGATGTCAATTCTAGGCAGGCTGTTGCGCGCGCCTGCCACTATGTAAATAAAGTGTATGCACAATCGCTGCAGCGCGCGTCCAATTCAGCCGACTTCTTAACATCGGGTACAGCGGGTAATGCAGTACCGATGCACATTGGTCCTTTGCACCATAACTGCACATTTTGCGACCGAGTATACGCAAAGATATACAGGGCTGGCAACGGCCATGGGCCGCGACCATGCGGTCATCACCTTATAAAGCAAGGGCAAGACAATACCGTAGTGCTACTTATAGTTCGTGATCGCTTTGTTCGGGGAGGGGTCAAAAAACTTTCTGAAATTTGTACGTGCTCTCTGAATTTCGGGGAAGGCCGGACCAGATTTTGCGGGCGTGATACAAAATTCGGGGCCCCTTCCAAAGTTTCGGGGCTTTTCAAACTGCAGCTTCCAGTCAGTCTCCCTTCACCGGGAACCCTTAGGCTCATGGTCTCTCACCATTGTCTGATTTGTGTAGCCCTGCCGTTGTGGTGTATGTATGTGGGGATGATGTGCGATTTTATGACCCAGATGACCCTGGTCCTGGCAGGCGTGTGGGGGCCGCAGCCTACGGATGGACGTTCATGACCGTTGCACACGTGCGAGCATAAGGTTGGGCGACTGATACCTGTCTTTGGTTAACCATTGGCGACAAGGGCTGTGGGGCATCCAGGCATGCGGTGGAGGGAAAATCTTTGGTTCTATTTCAATGGTGTTTTTTCACTCGAAACTGGTGGTATGGGATATGTTATGTGATAAGAAGGCGATTGGTTTCCTGGATTGGTTTGGCGTAGCTTATTTGTGTGTACGCATGCCGTATGTACGGCACCGTACGGCAGGTGGGTGGGTCCGACGATCCTCTCTGGATGATTGAATTATGAAGTTCCAAGGCGAAATTTTGTTTACATATTTCCCCCCAGCTGTGTGCATATGTCCATGCATACAACTAAGCAAACAAGCTAATACCCGACCGGGTAGTCGTTGATCTGTTGAATGACCAGCTGCAAGCGTCAGCTCACCATCCCCAAGGCAATGGGCAACCGGTACGGCAGGCGGTGCAAAGCTGCAAGGATGCGCTCCGGGCCACGCATATGAGATAGGAGGGGAAAAGATGGGTACAGGCATCTCCCGACTCCGTAAGTCATACTGGGACACAATCGGGGCCCCGGCCTTTATCCTGACTTAAAGTGGCTTTCGGGTCGGTCGATATGTGTGTGCGTAACCGGCTGGCCCGCGTCGAGCCGGTGCCCAGCCAAGCCTTTGAGAGCCCTGAAACGTACACAGGTGCGGACCCTGCCGGTAAATGGCTGATAGGTGTACCCGCGCGTGGCTAACACGCCCTCTGTGATCTTTGCTCTGCTGGCCCATCATCGTTGGCGTGCCTGGCTTGGACGTGCGGGCCGGGGAAGCACCTGTGGTTGCTTGGGTGTGTTCGGGGCATAGTATGGGGCTAGGGAAACGGTGGTAGGAGCCTAGGGAAGCATTTAAGCATTGCAGCTGTAGGATGGCGGGCTTTGCGGGGGGAATGGTTTTCGCGGTAGAGGTACATTCACAACACTTAATTTTTCCTAGCTGTAGCCGGAGAGGACTGTCACACAGGCTACCTCAGTCGACCCTCTGCTTCTGCAAGTCGCATTGGATGCATTGCACCAACCTCCTGGAAACTAAATTCCTGGACACGGAGTGAAATAATTAATCGCCACATGTAAGGAAAATTCCAGACACGCATACACCAGACACGGTTAGAGCAGCTGCCGGTAAAGCGATGTAACGCAGCGACGTAAAGCACATCCAACGTAAGCCAGCCCCTACCCCCACACGGTCACGTCAGCCGCAGGGGGGGAATCCGTCCTGGACACAGCTCCAGAGCCCCCAACGTCTCAAGTCAGGTCACAAAGCTGCTCAAAACCTCGTCCATGCCGGACATAGCTAGCCATCATTGCCTCCCGCTGGCGTCCCTTGTTTTCGGAGATTGGCCGCCCAGGCGCCCCCCCCATCTTCCCACATCCAACATGTAAGACGCAATTGCAATAGCGACCAATAGCAGGGCCGCAATGCGCAGTGTGCACCGTCATCACGGCACGCGGCAACCTGCGAGAATCAACGCGTGTACATTAGGCCACACCGGCTTGCTATCATCTGCAACCAGCAGCGAGCATCAGAGCTGGAAAGCACCAGCCCCAACGCGCCCCAACGGGCTGCCCCGGGGCCCCAACGCGCTGCCCCATATGGGCCCCTTAAGCAGGTTCGGGGCCCATACAGGAGGTACGTGACGAGCCTACGGGCCCTTCACATGTTCACCCACCCTGCCTTGGAAGCCTGGCAAAGCTCCCGGCAGTGATGCTGCCCGGCCAATCCTCAGCGCAAATGCGGTGACCAAAGCCACGCAGCTCAAGTTGCGTTACACCTGATGTCGAGTTCCCTTAGGACTTTGTCTCTGTACATACATAAATACATACATGCATACATAAGTGCAACCCGCATAGCAAACCGGTCCCAAGCCTTGTGGAATCCGCCCCGCAAGCCAGCGGTTGTCGTTGCTTGGGGCAAAACAGGCTTGAAGGAAAGGAGGACGCATGCACAAGCGCGGCTCAGCGGAGAGGCGGAAAGACCCGAGCGCCGGGCGCTAGCGGCTCGCAGTCACATTCTTGCGCATATGCACATAGAATGAAGACGTGCGATAGCTGAATGGGTTTATAAACACGAGTGGACAACAGCTACTTTTTCATACACAAAAAGCTTCAGCGCGCAAATACATACATAGCCATACACGCAGCCAGCACACACACACACACACACACAGACACGCGCGCACGTGTGGGTGCATGCGCTTCTTGTTGACTAGGAGAAAATAAATGAATCCCATGGCCGGCGAACCATGCCGGGACGTGTACCACAGCCCAAACTTCACCAAGCCTCCTCCTCCTCATCATCATCATCATCCTACTACTACTAAACAACCGGACACCGAATCTGCGGCGCAATTGTCCTCCCTTTCATAAGCACCCCGGCGGCGACCCCTTCGTGCAGCTCGCAGCCGTAACACCACAACCTTGCTGTGGGCTAGGCAGCTGAGCCGATAGATAGCCAACATCCCCCGCAACATCCCCGCCACCCCCCCGGTCAGTGGGCGATGCAGATACGCACATGTCACATGCCATCGGCAGATGTCGCATTCGCCCCCCAATAGCTCTGGACAATAGGGGTCAAGTGGCCTCCACTACAAAACACACATGGCTACACGAGGAGGCGCTGTGTAACCTCACACAACGCAATTCGCTGCTTGGCCCCCCTTGGCGGTCGAGTCGTGGCCCAGGTCCTCACACCAAACATACATACGCTGCGTTTTCAGGTAAGTGATATATAGATCCCTTTTTAAACAGTCATTCGTGTTTGATTCGTCAACAAGAGGGCAAAACATGCGACACCAGACACAACCTTTCCGTGTGCAACGCGCAATATACGTCAGACACGACGAGCTGACGAAAATGAAAATAACACACGGCCCAAGATCGTGTCGTGTGGGGCCACGACCCGGTACAATATCTGCTCATCCGCATCGAAGCCCACGTGGCCATGGCTCATGAACCCGGGCCCGCAGGTTACACGCGCCAGCTCTATCTGTTCTCCGCCCCCAGGTTGTGACCAGGCGACAAGCCCGGACAGCCCTTCAATGCTTCGTTAACTACTGAAACACGCAACCAAAGTCGCCGTTACAGGCCTGTACAACTTGAGGTTTTATTGGATGAAGTTTAAAGTACGGAAAGTCGTAGTTAATTTCTCCGATCAACGATGCCCCAAGATCAAGCCCCAGCTCCCTACACCGCCACTCTACGCTTGGGGCTGGGGTTGCAGCGGGGGCAGCCGCGTCGGCGGCAACGTTGGCGACGGCAGTGGCACAGCCGCCGCCGGAGCAGCAGCAGCAGCAGCAGCAGCAGCAGGCCCGGCGGCAGGCGCCGTTGCCGGGGACGCCGCGTCGGGCATGTCCGTCAATCCTGCACCGGACCTGACGGACACAGCGCCCGGTATGGCCGTGCTGCCCATACCTGCGCCGTACGACCTGCTCAGAGAAGCATATGGGTCGTAAGCCATCGACTGGCCCCCTGCTGCCGCAGCGTACTGCTGCTGCATGGCAGCGTAATACGCGGCGTATTGCTGATACACACCGGGGTCATACGCTGGCATGCCTGCCGTGCCACCTGCCGGCATCGACCCGGAAGCCGCTAACGTTCCAGTGCCGTACATGGTCCCCGATCCGTACGTGCCATACAAAGCAGCGTTGGTGCCCGGTTGTGCGAACTGCGCATACGGCATGCCAGCAGCGGTAGCGGTAGCAGCGGTAGCGCCGCCGTATGCGCCGTACATCCCGACAGGGACGCTGCCGTACTGCGCCAGGTTGCCTTGTGTGCCGGCGTTGGCCGCCAGCGTCGCCGCCGTGGCAGCGGTCTCGGCAGCTGTCCGCGCGGTAGCGGAACGGCTCCGCATCTTGGCGGCGAGGCCTTTGGCGCTGACAACCGAGTTAACCATACCGATGGGGCTCTGCTGGAAGTGGTACTCTGGACGGTCTGTAGCGGAGCCGAAGAAGGCGTTGGGGGCGGAGGGCTTGGGAATGTAATTGCCGTACCGGCCAGTGGCCCCAGCGGCACCTGGTGCGGCGGCGACAGCAGCGCTGCTGCCGCCGCGGCTGTCGGCCTCGCTGCCCTCGCTTTCCTCGCCCGCCGACTTGACGGATGCGGCAAAGCGTAGGCGGCCGCCAGGTAGACCGCTTGCGCTGCGGGACCGCCCGCTACCCGCGCGGCCGCTGCCCACGCGGCCGCTGCTGATGCGACTGCCGCCCGCGCCGCTGCCGCCCGCACCAACGGTTGCCAGCAGTGCCTGCGCGGCGGCGGCGAGGCTGCTACTTAGGCCAGCGCCACCGGCGCCGGGCTCGCCGCCGCTGCTGTCCTTACGCGCACTGCCAAGCCGGCTCGGCGCAGTGCTGCTAACCCGGCTGGCCCCGGCAGTGCTGCCGCCGCCGCGGCCGATGGGGGGCAGCGGCCCCAGCAATGCCGACTTTTGGCTGGGACTCGGTGCTTCCGACTCCGCCGCGATCTCCGGTACAGCCTCCTTGCCCGTGCCCGCTGGGAGTACTGAGGGGTCCGCGGGCGCCGCCGCCGCTCCCGCGCTGGTGGACTTGGCACCGGCCGCCGCCACCACCGGCTTGACCGCGGCCTTCTTGTTGTAGCTGTCTTTCCCGCCGCGCTCCGTGCCCTCCTTGTCGTCGCGTTTGCTGCCTGAGTCCGGTCTGGAGGCGGTTCGCGAACCGGCGGGACTGCCGACGGCGGAAGGCAGCGCCGAGCCACGCACGGACACTCCGTCCTCGGGCGCAACTCGGACCCGCGAGGTGATGGAGGCGGACTTGCCAATGACGCGGTGCACCAGGTTGACGGGGTCGTCCTTGTTGACCACCTCCATGTCCTGGACACAAAAAATGACAATAACAATAACCGACGAGACGGCAGAAGCAGGAGTTCAGCACAGAAGGGCGGGAGATTGTGTGCATGTAAGAGACGTGTGTGTGTGTGTGTGTGTGTCCTAGAAACGAGCACCGCAGGAGAAGCATTTCGGGTGGTTGTGGTGGTGTCTGTAACCCTGGAGTCGCTGCGGACAGAGCCACTATCAAATACACGCCCAAAATCTTCCCCCTTCACAACCCACCTTCATTACAGTAAGCTTCAACATGCGATTTCCCCCGGGCCCTGGACCCCTGGTCTATAGCTTGGATGCGTCCTTCAACCCGTTCTCACATTTAGGTCACGAGCCCTGAGAGTCGGTCAGAGAGTTGCCCCCGGTTTCCCTCCTCCCCAGTTCCCACACGCATACACAACATATATACACACATACACGTATATACAGACACACGCGCGCACACCTTGATGTCCTCCAGCGCGTCCAGACTCAGCAGCTCCTCGTTGAAGTGGCGACCGCGCTGCCGGAATACATCGGCCAGCGGCACACCGCTGTAGGCGTAGTGGTGCAGCGCGGCGGCCCACCTGAGCAGCGACAGGGCGGAGGCCACCCCAGACGCCAGGTACACAGCCGGCCAGATGACGAAGCCGGAGCGGTAGGCGACCATGTAGAACGTGGACTGCAGTGGGACCGAGGAGGCCATGGACGGGATGGGATGGGATGGGGTGAAGAGGGTTGGGGTGTGAAAGAAAGGGGTGGAGGGGGGTAGAAGGGCAGTAGAGGGGGGTCGGGGGATTAAGGACAAGGGTTCCCCAACCACGGCTCCCACATCCACGCCATTTAGTCACTGGCCCCCCGCGCCTTCCCCTCCAGCCTCTGGTGTTCCTTCCTTCACCTTCACCTTCACCTCCATCTCACGTTTCCCCAAGCCTAGCGTTCCGTCCTTAAAACGCACACACGCACTTGTGGCTTCTAAGCTCTTGGGCCTACCTCTGGCACTCGTTACACCTCTCTGGGTAACGCAACCGAGGTGTAACACACACACACACACACAAGTGCTTGTGTAAATCCCCATAGGCTTGGTCCCCCTTCCGCCTTGCTCTCATCACCTTTCCATTCCCCTTCCTACCCTCCTCCGCATTGGTCTGTGGTCCATCTTCCCCCTCCTCAGGGCGCAAGTTCCTGCCAACCCCGCGATCCCCGCACACGACCCCCTACCCACCTGCACCACGCCCTGCAGCAGCGCGTTGAGCAGCGGCTCCATCACCAGCTTTATTCGGAACACCCGCAGGTTGGGCGCCAGGCTGAAGTTGCCGGGCCTGCCGCCCCAGCACCACACACCGCAACCGCGCACCGCGCGGTTCAGCAGCTCCTCTTTGCCCAGCAGTATGGCTAGCAACACCGTGACTACGTCCCAGGCCAGCTCGTACAGGAGACCAAAGGGAAAGGTGAAGAGCGCGGTGATGGTGGCAGAGCGGGGGGAAAGGCCCCAGGCAACGTTCAGGCGGATTCCCCAGGATGTCGTGAAGAAGACCTACAGTGAGCCGGGAGGGGGGGGGAAGTTCGGGTGGAGGGAATGAGCGTGGCGCTGCCTGCTGACCGCCTGGCGCACAGCCATTCCTTGGCGTGCATACTTGCTCGCCCGTCCTTGCGCGCGTGGATTCTACCATACACTTCGCTGGCTGCAGGGGGACCCTCGCGCAGTGCCAGGCCCACACCCTCTGCGCGGCCAGGCTGCGTGCACCTGCATAAGCCCCACCTAAACAACCCTAAGGCCACTCACCTCTGGCGGTGAGGGCGCCCACATCGCATAGACCCCAGGCACCTCAACAGGAAGCTCCCCCAACCCCCAAGCATCCCCCCCGGGAACCCTAAGACTCACCAGCAAGATTGCGCCCACCACAACGGGCGGCGCCGGACTGAGCGCCGGGTCCACATAAGCCGCAATAAAGGCGATGTCCGTGGCGATGCTGAAGAAGTACAGAATCGCCGCTAGACGGGGCCCCAGCTGCACCCAAGCCCCCCAGTAGTACACACAAACGTGCTCCAGGAGATGCCGTCGTATGAGCGGCTTGGACGGCGGCGGCGGCGCCAGCGACGGCCCGACGGTGATGAGGTGCGGCTCCGGCGGCGCCATGGCGGTGCCATCCAGATCGAGGCTATTGCGACGGCTGCGGTCCCAGGCGTGGCGGCTGCCCGCGCCGGTGGCGGTGTACGACACACGCATGCTGCGATTTGAACGAATGCTGAGGGAACGGCGGGACATAGAGCTGCGGCGGGACATGGAGCTGGCGCGCGACGGCGCGGCGCTGTCGGTGTAGTACGACGACGTGCCGTCGTCATCATCATAGTCGTCGTCGGATGTGTAGTCGGAGTATGCGTCAGCGGCGGCATTGGCGGCCAAGGCGGCTGCAACGGCCGGCGGCGGAGGCGTCCGAGGCGGTAACTCCGCGCCGCCGCTGCCTTCTGGCGCTGCCGTACTGTCCACAGCACCGCCATCAGCGCCGTCAGCAGGTATGGTCGCAGCCTCCCGGGACTTGCGGGACTTGCGCTTCTTGTGCTTCCCATCCTCGCTGCCCTCTCCCTCCTTCTTCGACTTCTTAGATTTCTTTTTCTTCTTCAGCTTGCCTTCCTCGCCCTCCGTCGCCTCGTCAGCATCCCGGGACTTTCGCGACTTGTGCTTTTTGAGCTTGCCATCCGAGGCCGCTCCAGACTCCGCCTCCACTGCCGCGTCCCGCGACTTTCGCGACTTGCGTTTTTCCAGCTTGGGCTCAGCCTCACCCTCCGCGGCCGTCGTCTCACCGCCAGTCGTCGCTGCCTCCCGAGACTTGCTCGACTTGCGCTTCTTGAGCTTGCCGTCCTCACCGCGCTCCTTCTCTAACGACTCGGCACCAGCTTCGCGCGACTTGCGAGATTTGCGCCGCTCCAACTTGGCCGCGTCCTCGCCCTCCGTTGTCGCCTCCGCAGGCTTGGCATCCCGCAGCTTACTGGACTTCTTCTTCAACAACTTCTTGTCCTTCTCCTTCTCCTCAGCCGCGCCCTCCGCTGCCGTGCTCTCGCCCGCGGCCCCATCCCAAGCTTTACGGGATTTCCGTCGCTCTAGCTTGCCCTCCGAGGTGATCTCCGCTGCCGTCTCCGGCGTTTTGGAGTCCTCATGTCGCTTGCTGGACTTTTTCTTCAACGACTTCTTATCCTTGCTTTTCTCCTTGTCGTCTTCGCCTTCCACCGCCGTCGTCTCACCGGCCGTCGTGGTAGCACCCTCATCCCAGGCCTTGCGGGATTTCCGTCGTTTCAGAATTTTGCCGCCCTCACCTTCCGCCTCCGTCGCCGTCGCTGCTGCTTCACCGGCAGTGCCATCAGGTGTCGGCTTAGAGTCCCACACCTTGCTGGACTTCTTCCGCAGCTGCTGCTTGTCTTCCTTGCTCTTCCCCTCGCCTTCTGCAGCCGTCGTCTCACCGGCCGTAGGAGCCTCTTCCCGAGACTTGCGAGACTTGCGGCGCTTCAGCTTGGCTGCATCCTCACCGGCTGCGCTTGCATCCTCCACCGGGAGCTTGCTAGACTTCTTCAAGCGCACCTTGCCATCGGCCTCTACCTCCGCCGCCTCATCGCCGGTTTTGGCAGCCGTGCCAGTATCACGCGATTTACGCGACTTGCGGCGCTCCAGTTTGGCTGCATCATCTACCGCTGTCGCTGCTGCTGCCGCTGTGACACCGTCTGCTTCCACAGGATCGAGAGATTTGCTGGACTTCTTCCGACGCGGCTTCCCGCCCTCACCCTCAGTGGTCGCCTCCGTTGCCTCATCGGCCGTTCTGCCCTCTCGGGACTTGCGCGACCTGCGTCGCTCCAACTTCCCAGCCGCATCGGCGCCCGCGGAAACACTCGCTTCGTCCACACCCGCAGATTCTAGTGACTTGCTGGACTTCTTCCGCCTGAGCTTGCTGCTGCCATCGCCTTCCTTTTCAGGCGTTGCCTCGTCTGTGGCTTTTCCGTCCCGCGACTTTCGCGACTTGCGTTTCTCCAGCTTGGGCTCAGCCTCACCCTCCGCGGCCGTCGTCTCGCCCCCAGTCGTCGCTGCTTCCCGAGACTTGCTCGACTTGCGCTTCTTGAGCTTGCCGTCCTCACCGCGCGGCACCTCCGTCGTCTCGGCACCAGCTTCGCGCGCCTTGCGCCGCTCCAGCTTGGCTGCGTCCGCACTCCCTTCTGCAGCCGTCGCCTCGCTTGCTGTCAGCACTGCTGCCGCTGCCGCAGGCTCCCTGGACTTCTTCGACCTGCGCCGCTCCGGTTTCGCCCGGGGTGAGCCATCCACTGGCGGGCCCGGCAACGTCAGCTCCTCCACAGAACCCACAGACACCGCCGTACTGCTCCGCGCGGCTAGGCTGCCCCGTGCACCGCCACTGCCTGGACGGCCGATATGCGGCAGCGTGCCACTCGCCGACGGGTGGTCCATGCCCGCGCCCGCAGGGATCCCCGCCGCTGACGGCACAATCTCCGCTGCCGCATTCGACGGACGGCGTTGCCGGCCGCTCATACCGACACCGCTGCCATCCCCTTCATCATCCGCATCCCCGTCCTCGCGACCCCGCCCCTTAACTGGCGCCCCGCTGGCGTGCAGCCCGCTCAGTCGGCGGCCGCCCTGGCCAGGCTCTGGCATCAGCTCTGGCGGCAGGTCGACGATACCTGACTTGCGGGACCGTCCCGCCAGGAGCCCCGCCAGGGGGCCATCAACGACGCTGCCGGGCGGGGGAGTACCTGTGCCGGACGGGCGCGGCGGCCGCAGCACCACTGCCTGCGCGCCATCCTGGGTGGCCGCAGGTGTGGTCTCGGTGGGCGTCATGGAGATTCGGCGACCGCGGAAGCGCTGGCTGATGCTGGGGTTCAGCGATGGCCCCGACTGCAGTGATGCCACCAGGCCCAGGTTGCCGCGGCTCATGGGCCTCGGCCCCTGGTTCTGTGCGGCGGCATCCGGCAGCGGCAGCGTCTGAAGCTGTGAATGGGACACGGTGCGGGAGAGCGAGGCTGCGGCTGTGCCGTGATCGCTGACTGTGCCGGAGGCAGCAGTGCCGCCGCCCCCACCTCTAGCGGCTGCGGCGGCACCAGCGGGACCGTCCTTGGCTGTACCCCGCACACTGCGCATTGGTGAGGCTCGCCTGCCCGCCGCGACGTCCTCATCGTAGCGCTCGCGGCTAGGGGATTCAGGCTCGCTGGCGTAGTCAGGTATGGGCAGGTGCGGACCCCTTTTAATGGTTGATTTGCGCCGTGGCACCGGCACTGGCGAGACGATGTCACCGTTGGTGAGCATGCTGATGGGCGTGGTAAGGTCCTGCCGATTTTCCGTCACGGTGATGGGCGCGGGCGCGAGGCTGGCGATGCGGCTGCTGCCTTTTGCCGGTCCCGTCGTCGACGCTGTGGCGGCGGCGGCAGCGGCGGCAGCAGCAGACCCGCCGAAGAAGCTGCCGGTGCCGCTACCGGTACCCGTGTTGCGGCCAAGTAGAGCACGCAGGCCGCCGCGGGCTGGTGCACCCTGGTCGGATTTACCAGCAACGGTGGCGGCAGGCACTTCATCGTCCTCTTTGGCCTCCGCCACGGGGCCGGCACCGTCTCCGTTGCCGGTGCCACCGCGGCTGGCACCGTCCCCATCCCCGGCGCTGCTCCCGCCGCGGCCGCCGCCTCGATTCAAGGCCGCGCGGGAGGCTCCCGTAGATTGCAGTGTCAGGTTTGCGCGCGATGGGGCCGACGCGCCCCAGCCCAGAACCGACGCCGCCGTGAGGGACCCGTGGGTTGGCGGCGGAAAGTCGGCGCCGGGGAGCGCATCGACTGCCAGCAGGGCAGGGCCACCGCTGCCGGACAGCCTCGGCACCCCCCGGGTCCAACCGTCCTCCGTGGTAACAAGGACGGCAGACGCCCTGGCGGTGGCCCTATTGCCGCCGACGCCGGGGGCGGCGGCGGCGGCGGCGCCGGTGCCATCCGGGTCTCCACCGCCCTCTGCGGCGCTGATCTGCGGCTCACCCAACGTGCCGGCAGCAGTGCCGCTTCCACCGTTTTGGCCCGGTCTACGCACTGGCGCCGACGGCGGGGCCCCGCCGTCACCTTCTTGCCTACTATCCGCCGCGGACGGGGCTGCTGGCTGCTTCTTGCCACGGCCAAACTTTGAGAAAAGCTTTCCAAACGGGCTGTGTCTCTTGCTCGCCGCCGCCTCTCCTCCCGCTGCAGCCCCGCCGTCACCACCGCCACCGTTGGCCGCCTCCGCACTGTAGCGTGAGAGGTTGGCCTGGCTGGCCGCAACGACGTGCAGCCTATACATCAGCTGCTTGATGAAGCCCTGTTCTTGCGCCTGCAGCTGCTTGCGCGATACTACATGCAGGACGCCGTCGTCTTCCTTTTTAACTGCCTGCTGCGCCAGCTTCTCGTCACTGCAAGGGCAGGGAGTACAAGAGGGTGCAGAGCGGGCAGGCAGGCATCTCAGGCGTCGCAGGACCCTTCCCCCAAGTCTAGAGTCGGCAGCTGGCAAGTCTCTGGCAGTCTGAGTAAGCTACCCGCGGACGCCGTTTTTTCAGGAGCTGGATTACCTTACGCGAGTAAACGACAACACGAAATACGCATCTTCATACCGATATAACCCAAGACAAGTAGGAAAGACGGTAAAATGAACGTGACGCTAAAATGTCGTGACAGGATGATGCAAGGCAAAACGCTGGTATGATGCATCGTTGGCCCTCTATTATAGTGAACAGCCGGCCCTAATGGGGGTGTGTGCATGTGAGGGGAATTGCGCTGGTCGGGAAGCAAACACGCGCATTACAGACAGCACAGCACAGCACAGCATGACATAGCACAACACCGTGTCGCAGCACCACTCAAAAGCCGCAACCCCACCCAGGCTTCTCCACGCACTCCGCTCCACACTCACCGCCATTGCCAGTAGTAGTAACACGGTATGGGCAGCAGCATGGCCAGGATGAATGCCAGTACCGGCAACCACAGCCCCAGCACCGGCCGCAGCAGCACCGCCACGTTGCGCTCGTAGCACCACTCGTGGGGTCGCGCCACCCAGGCAGTGTCGTCGGGAAGGGGCACCCAGTGCAGCGTATCGTTGCTGGAGAAATTGTTGGGCACGCGCCCTCCCGCCGTCCACACCGCAAAAGCAGCCATGATGCCGTACATGTGCCGCGACGTCGGAGCGCTGCCGTCGGGATTGAGGGAGGCGGCGAGGAGGCTGCTGCCCAGCGTCAGCGAATCGGTGACGCCGTGGAGGTCGCGCTGCGGCGCAGACCCGCCTTGTTGGCGGTAGGCGTTGTAGGCCTGCGCGTGTGCGGGGGGAGGTGAAGAAATTCGCGCAGCCGCCGCTCTTGAGTGCGCAAATCCCGATTACGTAAAGTGAAACGAATTCACGGCCCCCAGGCCCAAGTCCACCAATGCCCTACCAGCCGTCCCCCCTCCATTTCCTTCTCGCCTGACCCCCCACCGCTCTGTCTTCGTCCTCCTCACGTCATCCTCCTCACCTGGTATATGGAGCAGATCTCCTTGAGGTCGTCCGACCGCAGCTCCGGCCGCTGCACGTTGTGCAGGTCTATGTGGCCGCCCAGCACCGCCTTCACCAGCACCACCCACAGGGCCGAGCGCGGGTAGCCGTCCGCCAGCACCCCCGGATCCAGACGCACCTGCGTGCCGGCGACCTGCACAGCGGGCCGGGGCCGGGGCCGGCAGCCGAGACAGGCCGGGGGCCAGGGCGGGGTGAGCAAAAGGGTTTGAGCACGTGAGCACGTGAGGCAGCCAATGCCGATAGATACCATGAAGGTCGAAGCGCACAGTGTAACAGTGTAACACGGGCTGCAAGCAGCAGGCGGTTGCCTGGGTGGGTGACTGGGAAAAGCCTATATAGATTCTGAGACGAGTAGGAAGGACGGAAAGCCAGGTGGCAGCTCAGCAGAGTCCAGCCGTGCCTGAGCTGGTGCGCACCTTGACGATTCGCAGCGCGTCTGGCAGGGAGATGCCGCTGATGGTGCCCTCCAGTCCCGGGTTGCCGCTTAGGTCCAGCAACCGCATGGAGGCGATGCTGCTCCAGTCAGTGGGGACGGCGCCCTGCGAGCCAGTTTAGTCAAACAGACAGACAGACAGTCAGACAGACAGCTGGAGGACGCGTGCTCAGGCGGATGGATCACCGGGCCACGGGCGGGTGGGCAGGTGGGCTGGGGAGGCGGAGGGAGCCGGAGGGAAGTGAAGGGAGGGGAAATGCAGGATGGGGGAACACGCGGGAGGGTGGGAAGGCGTGTGGCAGCGACTACTCTCCCCTGTCCCTTAAACCTGAGTTCCAAGCAGAGTTAATCACACCGTTGTCTGTCAGCCTAGCTGGACTCAGGGTGGGACCTGGGGAGCAGCGAGGTATCTACCGCGGGTCGGGGGTTAACTTGCCACCGCGACGCACCGTGAGTTGGTTGTTGGACAGGTCCAGCTCCGCCACCGCAAGGTGGAACCATTCCGGGGGTATCGTGCCGCTCAGCCGGTTACCGCCCAGCCGCAGCGAGTGCATGCCTCGCTCCCGCGGCGGGGCCCCGGGAGCCGGCGGCGACGGCGGCGGCGGCGACGCACTGCCGGTGTTCGTACCGATTTGCTGCAGCTCACGCTGCCGCCGCCGCTGCTGCTGCAGTTGCTGCTCGCCCACCTCATAATCATTGTCGCGGCGGCTGCTGCTGCCGCCCCCGCCACTGTCACGTACACCGCCGTACAGCTGCTTAGTGTGTGAAAGCATCATCCCCAGCAGGTCCTCCTCGGACCTAGCGGCCTCATGCGCGACACCGGTGTTCACATCGCTACGGACCCATGGGTCGCTGCTCTGATCCAGGCGCCGCCGGAGGCCACCGTAATCACGACGAGTGGTGCGATTTGAGCTGGGTCCCAGCGTAGTTCCCCAGCTGCGAGGCAGCGGCCCCTCCAGGTTGTTGCCTGTCCGAATTGGGATGGCCGAATCAGACATGGGAAAACAAAGGTAATCAGCCGGTGGAATTCTCTGAGGCTGCCGGGTACTAGCAGCGATAAAGACCGGAGCGCGTGAAAGGGTTTAGTAGAGAAGGCTTTGCGGTCGCCACCGCAAGCTGTAGGGGTCGTACGGACAGAGAATACAAGCCGGAGCGGCTCTGAGAGCGGTCCTCAAGACGCGTGCAGAAGCCTACCTGCGTTTCCTCCGCATGCATGCACGCCCCTTTCTCACCCCCCCCTGCTTGCCCGACCATAATTCTATACGCACAGGAATTTGACTTATTCCATAAAATAGATCATGGTAATTGATATTGATTACGTCACACCCAGCCGTACAACCCCCCCCACACACACACACCCGTCAGGTCCAGCACCACCACCGTCTCCAGCAGCGTCCAGTTCTCGGGCAGAGGCCCGCGCAGGTCGTTGTACGACAGGTCAACCAGCAGCGCACTGTGCAGGTAGAAGCTCGCGGGGATGCTTCCCGAGATGGCGTTACGGCTCAGGTTCCAAAACAGGCACGGAAAGTCGTAGCCCTGAAAGCCGCCGGTGCCGTCAGGCAGGGTGCCGCGGATGGCGTTGCTGGAGAGGTCGATGGAAACAAGGTTGGACACGGGCATGCCGTCCGCAAGCAGCAACGAGTCGCGCAAGATATCGGTGCCTAGAAATCCTCCGAGTCCAGCTCCGGCGGCGGAGAAGTGCGCCATCCTACAATCAAAGACAGGGGCGGAGAAAAAACATACGGTAGCGGTAAGCAGTAAGCAGAAGGTCGTGTACGGCCAATCTAAGCAGCGAGGTAAGAAGGCAGGAGCCCCCAACACAGATACGATCAAGGAACAGCGGGCGACGGAGAGTGTGACGCGAGAGAAATCCTATGAATGAGTGATTTCACCCTGGACCCAGGTAGCCTATGTACTGTAGGTGCAGACCTGTAGGGTCGGTATCCGAAGGGCGTGCACACCGCCGCCTCCGGTGTTGGCAGGATGTTCCAGCCACCGAACGCTGCGGAGAACAGTCCCGGCAGGCTGCTCTGCGTGGGAGGTGGTGATGGCGGCGGAGCGACCACGCCTTCCGGCGGCGGCGGGTACGGCGCGACCGCGCCGGGCAGCAGTGTGTGCAACGAAAGGTCGAGGCAGAAGGTGTCCGATGAATCAAACGTGATGACCCAGTTTACGTGGTTGGGCGCTGCACGTTAGCAAGACGCGTAGGTAGGGGAGCCAGGGATGAGGGGGAAGGTGTTACGTGGGTTAGCGGCGAGTGGGTTGGTCCGTTAACTTGACTTCGATATGCAGGCGGCACGTGATTAACAGCCCAGACACGCAGTCCAGACGGCCAATCCAACTCCACCCCTTCCCACAGCTCCTTTCCTATACCACCATGTCCCTAGTTCCTTAACCCATCAGGCAGCTGCACACACCTGGCGGTGGTGGCGGTGGTGGAGACACGCGTCGCGAGGGGGGCTGCGGCGGCGGCGGACTGAAGACCTTGAGATCCACGTCGATGTTGGCACGGCGGCTGTAGCCCGCAAGGAGGTCCAACGCAGCAGAGGCCGGGTGGCCGCAGGGCTTAACCGGACACAACAGTTCCGTGAAGGCCTGTAGCGGCTCCGGAGCAGCCAGCAGGGCGCTGTTGACAGGGAAGCAGCAGCGCCAAGGGACACCCACCGGGGGGAGGGTCAGACTGCTTTACTACGCAACACTACAAACTCCGGACGAGAATAAAGACGGGGAGGAGGAGGAAGGGGTAGCAGTGCCGCGGTGTCAGACAAACCGGAGTATGGGATGGGATGGGATGCGATGGGAAGGACGGCGACGGCTATCGCAGCGGTCCAGGCCATCCGTGCATTATGACCTATATGGGATGGTCTTATCTACGCTGTGTACCTATGCACGCCGCTGAGTTTAAATAACTCCTGCACGGCTTCCAACGGGGGATGTCCATAGCAATGGACGTGTGCGCAGCGCCGGAAGGCAGGCACGCAAACCACACTAACTCCCCCCCATCACCCCAAGGACGTGGGAACGGCCCTGCTTCTCGCTCATTACCTTAGCCGCCGCTGAAGTCCTTCAGGTGCACCGTCTACCATGCCGCTGGCCCCGCCACTGCCGGCGCGGCCTCCGAAGAAGCGCTCACAGCCCAGATGTGTGTTGAGCCCGTTGCGCGAGGGCGGCACGTCCACCGCGGACGGTGTGGAGACGGCGTCGCAGTAGATCAAGGTAATGTTTAGCGGTCGCGTGGGAAAAGAGTCACGCTGGCAGGCGGTGAAGTTGGAGGGATCAAACGATGTAAGCGGTTCCAGGCCTTCATCCACCGTGTGCTTCGTTCCGTTGGTGTCCATGTACGCGACGCAGCTGATTTCCCCGTTGATGGAATTCGCCATGACGGACGGCGACGGCGGCGACGGTGGCAGCGAGGGCGGTGACCTGCGCCCAGGCGGCGATGTCGGCGGCAGCGACGGCGACGGTGGCGGTGGTGTACGGAAGCGCACGGTGCAGGAGAGCCTCGTCCCGTTGGCCACGGTCGGAAGTATCGCTCCGCCACCGACACGTTTTGTTTCATTGTAGCCGCAATTCAGGGTCTCCACTTTAAAGGCTGCGGTGTTAGCGACATCGCAGACGAGCGTGACGGTGATGCGGCCGGGCAGCAACTTGGGAATGCGTTCTAAAACGTCCAGCTCGAGCGTCTCCTTCTCTGCATCCATGAGGTTAGACATGTTGTAGAACACAGCGGTGCGGTCCGCCGTGCGGCCGGGCATGGCGCTGGGGCAGGCGTACGGCGACGGTGGTGGCGGCGAGGGCGGCTGTGGCGGCGGCGGCGAGGGTGGTGGCGACGGCGGCGGCGACGGCGGCGACGGCGGCGGCGGCGGCGACGGGTATGGGGAAGGCGGACGGGGACTCGGCGGCTTGAATCCACCGCCGTACTGCTGAACCCGCCTCCCATGCCGCGCTTTGTCGCCATCGAATGCATGGATATCCGCAATGAAATCACCTCCCATCTCGGCTGCCCCATCCGTGGCCAAGTCGTCCCATGCTACATGGGCACCGTCCTGTTGCTGCTGCGGCAGCTTCGCCGCGGCGCCTTCCCTGGCGTTGCGACACAGCAGCGCCATACGGACTCGCGAACCTCCTGCCTTCTGCACTTCCGCCGTCAGTTCGGCGACGACGGCCGCCAGCTGCCCGCATCCGGAAGCCTCCGCCGCAGGTGCTATCGCCTCCGCGCTGGTCTCCGAAGCGCCGTCGGCGGGAAAAACTGCCAGAGCCTCCAGCGCCGCAGCTGCCGACGACGACTCGTCTCCGCCATGCAGTCGTAGCGACCACGAAGCCTCTCCGGCACCGTCGCCGCTGCTGTCCCTGCTGCGTCTGCCTCGTTGCTCGCCATTGCTTGCTCTTCCCCCGGCATCGCCATGATGCGTCAAGTCACCTGGAGTCGGGTAATCTCGCCATAGCAGCGTCTCGCCGTTCCGCAAATCCGTTAACACCAGGCGGCTACTGCCGCCGATGCTACTGCCGGCGGCTGTGGTACCGCTGGCAGTGACAGCGGCCGCGGCACCGCTGGCAACCGTCTGAGACGTTGGAGCTGAGCTGAGCAAGCAAATGACTGCCTCGTGTTGGCGTAAGAGAGAGCACCTCGGCGTTCCCGGCGCGGCGTCCAGCGGTCCCCCAGTAGCCCAGTCGCCGATGTGGGAATAGGGCCAGGAGGCCAGGTGATTGTGCGGCTGCTTCCAGCCTATCGCCTGGTGCTCCTGCTGCTGTGCGTGCTGGGTTGCGGGGCTGAGGGGGCCGGCAGCTTGTGCCAGCTCCCAGGAGGACAGCAGCTCGGCAGCGGTGTCGCCAACAGCGATAACCTCCGCCGCTGGATCCCACGCGTCCGCTCTGGCAGCAGCAGCAGCACCGCCTGGCTGTAGCTCCTGATCCCCTTCCCGCTCTGCTACCGCAGCTACTCTTGTGGCTGCCGTACGCCGAAACGCCAGCAAGCCGCCCCGCGGCCCTGCGCCCAGCTCGCCGTCGCTTTCCGCAGCATTGGCCGACGGCAGGTAGGTAAACGGCAGGAGGAGCAGCTGGGGCGTTCGGGCTGCGCCGCTGTCCCTGTCGTACTCTAGCGGCTGTCCGATCGACAGCACCTGGCCCACGCCCGAAACGCCAGCTATTACAGTGACACGAGTGTGGCCCGTGAGGACATCCACGAATGCCAGGGTAAGCAGAGGAAGTGTCGCGGCATCTGGGTCACGATCGTGCAGTCCCAGCTGCTGCTTAACCCCCGCATCCGGCCCCACAGCCAGCAGCGCGGTACGACCCAGATCAAGTAGCGTCAGCGACAACGGAGCATGGTGCATAGAGAATTGCCGCGGTAGTGGAAGTTCCCATTTGGGCTCAGAGGTGGTGGTATGGATGCTAGCGAGTGAGAGGAGATTTCCAGAGGTACTGGCGGGTGTGCCGAGCAGCAGTACCGAGGAGCCGGCGTGGAGCGCGCCAGCGAGGGACGACCAGCGGCCCAAACTCGACCACAGCGGCTGGCCGTCGGAGCTGAATGCTTCTACGGAACCGATAGTGGACTCCCAAGCGACAAGGACGCCGGACGGCGGCGTCGAGGCGCTGCACAGACGCCAATTGCCTGACAGATGTCTCTGCCAGGTCAAGTTGCCGTCCGACGCTCTAGCGCAGACTAGGCTCTGTTGCCCAGTCAATACGCAGGCCGAATCGGCAGTATGGGCTAGTGCAATACATCGCTCGCCGTGCGACAGATGGAGCGCCCATCCTCCAGTCGACGTAATGCGCTGTGCGAGGACTCCACACTGACCGCCATCAGTACAAACGTCCCGTGAGCAAAGTATTAAATGGCCATCAGGATGTATGCCAAGAGCTCCGTTGCTCTCAGAAATGGCCCATGCCAACGACGACGCCGCGGACCACCTTGACCACGCCACGAAGAGCAATGAAAGCAGCGCAGCTGCCAAGCGCATAGCTGGTTACTCCGTGCAAGCGTTCGCCAGCACCCGAACTCCTCGTGCATACCTCGACATGGAGAGATTCACTAGGCTAAGGCTTCCAAATTCAACGCCTCCAAATTTTTTCGTGAAAAACGATGCATTCATTAAAAGCTAGGATTCTAGCACGCCTTCGAAAGGGTGGCTATGGTACGGCGCCAATCTAAGACTGACTAGGAAGACGTGATGGGCAAAAAAGGTAGCACATTGAACAAACATTTTTGTAAGGGACTTTTTAGTCTCTATACTGACGCAGTAAGCGGTCAGCACAAGCGTACGAACGGTGTGGCTAGCCAGCTAGGGCACGCTGTCGCGGAACGGCTATAATGCAACCACCCTGCGCTGTGCTCGATCGTCCTGGAAAGCCTGTTTTGACGGCAGTCACCATTACAAAGTTGCAAGCGGGTCGTGGTAGTCACATAAATCAGTGTAGCTTTCACGTCGCGTCCTCCGCCGCAAGTGCACAAACACCACGTACAACCGCAGCAAGTCTACAACAGGATTGGCAGCAGCTACGGGAATCATTTCATTCGCCCCTTCAGTCCTAGGGGACCCGGTGAAGACGATATGGCTGTGGCAGCAGCAAAGGGTAAAAGTCAGCGTGGTTACTGACAACTCGCCAGCGTTTCGGCCAAGTACTCACGGTAATCACGACTCCGCCTTTTCACCAACACGAAAGCATATGTGCACCCTGGCCTACCACTCCTGACGCCATTACAGCCTTATAGTTCGCTCACAGGTCAGGACCGCTGCCGCGGCGACCGCTTGCCCTGCCTCCGGGACCTGACCCGGGACCTGGGCCCTTTCCTGCTCCTGCGCTGGCCCCCGTCCCGCCTGCTGTTTGCCCGGCGTCTGCGCTCGCGCCAGTGCCAGCACCGGTACCTGTGCCGTTGCCTGTTACATTCGTGTTGCCAGTGATGAACATCTTGCCTTTGCCGTACACGTCCTGCAATAACGTAGGTTTATTTTGGTGTCACAACTCCGAAAAGCAACGGGGGCCAGTGTTGAGGGGCCAGTGTCTCAAACGTCAAAGGCCAAAATACAAACCGCAACACAAGCCTCGATGCTTTTTCGCATCCATCAGTTCTGTATTCGTAAAGATGCCAACCCGCGGCTTGTTGCTGTAACGAAAATGAGGAACGAAGAACGCAAGCCCGTCCACTGCTGTCGTCAGCGGCGCCATCCCCTGCCATCGCTATTGACTACACGAACCCTGAATCAGTCAGCATTTTGTATACGCAGGTAACGGCTTGCGACCTATCCGTTTGCTAGCCTCCCAACCGCACAAATATATCATCCTGTCATCAGGTAGCTGCTTGGCAAAGTTGCTACGGCATGTAACCCCTTGCTCCCAGACGGCATCGTTTTGCAGTGTCCGCGTGCCTTGCTCGCAAATCCGCTCCTTACGCTGTCCGAATGCGGCCTGGTCGCGGTCTGATCCTATGTCCAGATCCCAGCAAACCTTACGGAAATACCCTCCCCTGCCATTCGCTGTGTCTGGCCATCCGGTCCCTCTCCAGGCAACCGGACTGTGCACACCAGGCACCGCAACATATTGCTACCGAATGCTGGATGGAGTCACCTTGACCAGCCACCCTCAACTCACATCAGCAATACTCACCAAGTAACCAAGTATGGAGTCATGGGCCTCCTTGGCGCTGGCTGCTAGCTTCTCCGCATCCGGTGTGTGCTGGTACAGCATGTAGACAATCCCGCTTACCAGGGCTAACGTGATCAGCCGGGCGACAATCTGTGTGCGACTGCCTTTCTTGGGTCGGTCATAGGATAATACTGGAGAGAAGGCGTCGAGGACGCCAACCTGCAGTGCCGTGGTGTAAGCATGCTTAACACATTTGCGCAAGCATAACAACTTATGCTCATATTCCCCGACGCACTTAGCGCAAAAATTCCCGTCCCATCCAGCTTGCCTGATACAAACCCCTGACCCCTGACACAAACAGCGTTGAGTTCGTTACTGCGGTCGCACTGCGCCTAGGCATACGGTCAGACACAGCCCTCAGGCGCACCTCGTCGGACATCATGTTCGGGAAGAGCCAGAAGGAATGGCCTGTGACAATCCACACCAGACCGAACAGGCTGTAGCGTAATGCAATAAGACCCAGCAGCAGAGTCAGGACCGCCATGAGGAAGTACACCAGCGTCATGCGCACCCACCTGCACGAGACAGACAGAGCCAAGCCATGGCACAACAAGGGATAAATATGACAGCCCAATGTTCAGCTTTCTCCCTTTGGAGCGAACCCAGGGCCGCACGACGGATCCCGGGACTCGGGCAGGCCCCTTAGGACTGCTGCTGAAGGGCAACTCCATGAACGCAAGTGGACTTGAAAGCGGCACTGTGCAGAATGCTAGGACGGAATTCCAACCGGATTGCACATTTGTATGGACGTTGGATGTGGTAAGGCGCCTCCCTGCTATACTCGACGCAGGAAACGGCCGTAATGCCCGGTCCCTAAGCGCACCAGGGTGCCAATGGGAAGAGGCACGCCGCGATGACCAAGAACGGGAGGGCCACCGTGGCTACGTAGTACCACATGGAAGTTGGGCGGTCGTAGGTCCAGTAGTAGAAGGCGTTTTCCGTCCAGCCGCTGCCATCCTGCGTACCCGTCGGGATGCTGCCTGAGATCTGTTGTGTGCGGTGGAGGCACGTGACGGAAACAAGTCCTATGTCTGCTGAACCCTGAGAGTGACGGAACGCGCTTTCACAACCTATGGAAACCTCGTATTGACCTTGTGCCTTTTTCCGGACGCTGCTTCGCCTGCAGGGCAGTTGACACCTGAGACTCGCCCACCGTGCACAGGTCATAGTGCCAACCCCGTAGCCATGCGCAGCCCATCCCGTAGCCACCTCCACGCGGAGCCTACAGTTGCAGCTTAAGCAATCCTGTGCTGGCCTACGCCTGAAACTCTTTGGGAGCTACCCTCCGTCCCCTGGTGAAGAAATGGCATCAACCCCTGGAACTGGCCGTTTCACACACACCGGGTGTGGAACAAGTGTGCGCGGGAACTTGACCAGACGTTTTTTCCCTGGCTTTGGCTTCTTATACTTGCGGTCCGTTTTGCGCACGAGCTTGCGCTTCATAAACACCATTATCAACTCAGCGATCTGGTCATCCACCGTCTTGCCTGTTCCAGGTAGTGAGACAGACTGCTGAAGATGTTCGAAGGCAAGCAATTAGAGGCAACCCTTAGATGCCACAGAATCACTTACCCGGCTTCGGCGGCACATGCGCGTTAAGCTTTTCCGGGTTCGAACGAAAGTAGCGAGCAAAATCCTTTCCCCTAAAGTATTCTACATAATGACCCTCTCCATTAGGCGCCTCCAGCTTCGCCGTGCCCCATTGCACGCCTTTCTTTTCCCGAAGTGAATCGGCTAGTGCCTTGATTGGGTCGTCCTGAAATGCGGATCATATTAAGACTCAAATGATCACACACTAGCGGTGTGCTGATTGGAAATTAGACAAATGTCGAGCACAAGCGAGCAAACTCCTACAGGTTGCAAGTTTATAGGTTGTATACCTTGTTCGTCCCCATGATATCTGTTAGGAATGAAGCAGTAGACCTGTAACAGTTCAATGCCTCGGAGTGCTAAGAGGGTACCTAGAGGTTGGCGTTGTGACGCATTAACAGTCCAGGTCTACTCTGAAGTTACACGGAACTGCTAAATTAACCTACAACTGCTAAAGTGCAGACTGCTGCCTTGCTGAGGCTTGCGACTTGGCGTTGTACTTCAGTTACACGACAACTGATCGTTGGCCTAACGGCAGGCATCCGTCTATCCCAAGTCACACAAGGAGTGCAGCATCGGCTATGACACATTTCATATAGGTCGTTATAAGAGCTAGCCATATCGAAAATTACTGTATATGAGATTTGCATATTGGACTGAAGTAGATTTACTTGGTTGCCCTGCACTGTTGTCACGGTTGCCTTTCCCGGCAAACTGTTAGCTCTTCCTCCACGAACCCAATCAGCGACTTCATTTACATAATTTTGCTGTAGCCCTAAATATTTGCATTTCGTCGTTGTGCCGTCCACTCACCTTCGTTCAAGTAATTGAACGGAATTCACTTGCAAGCGGGGCAAGAGGCACAAACTAGTTCAGCAAACTTCATTACAGTGTCACACCATTATGATAACCAGCACAATGTTGGTTAGGCACGAGCACGTAGGCAGCCCCCGAATCAGGGGTATTCCGAGAGCCCGTACTCCCCGCACACGGTGGGTTCTCCATCGTTAACCCCGTGAATGCGCAAGCAAGACTACTCCAGCAAGCTACTCCAGCACCACATGTCCCCGAGATGCGAAACTTCAAAATTCCCGGCGCGCACTGTCTTTAGCCGTCCGCAAGCAGTCCAAACCATCCACCTGAGAACGCTGGAACTGTCCAATGGAGAAATTCCTCGGCCCACGTAAACTTCAACTTAATGTCCATTAAGACCGTCTACACTTCAGCAAAACCGAGGTACCGCTTACTTCACGCTGCGGGCATAGTACTCAATTACATAGCGCTCAAGCTGCTGGTCGCCAGCAGTCATCTTGACACCAACAGAGCTGCGGCTAGCTGTGCCGGCCACGACAGCGACGGTGGGCTTGACGAAGACCAGATGAGCCGGCTTAGGCAGCGGCAAGAAGTGCTTGAGCTCCATGCCCTTCTCAACGCCTGAACGCCGTCCACGGGGAGCCATCTCCGTGTCATCCAATACTTCTGGAGCATCAACGTCCTCAGCAGCGGCGCGAACTGTCACACGGCGAGGCAGCACGGGATTCCTGGCGGCCGGCCGCGCGCTGGTGAAAGGACGGGCAGCAGCCCGTGGAGTAGCGAGCATGTTTCTATAAGTTGATGTTACAAAAAGCTGCGCTAACGGAGACGGCTGCCTCGGCTTATGAATGCGGACGACAACTCCTGACCACTAGACCTACGCCTTCGAAGAATACTCAACGCATGTAATGGTAAACCTGGCCACAGCGTTGAGCATTAAGGATGTAGGGCAAGTGGCAAGTGCAAGTCGTGCGGCAAAATGTTGTACAGCCACAAGTCTCTCGTTCACTTGGGCCCAATTAGCTCCCAAATTCCTATGGCGCTTGTGTCTAATCAGAATTCTTTTAGTTACACATTTCAGATCAGGCTCTCTGCCTGAACCTCTTGTGACAGCTGAAATGGCCTCCGCGCTGTTGGCCAGTCGGCAGGTGCCGTCGTGCCTGTCGTCCCAGGTGCGACCCCGTTATGGCAACGCTAAAGGATTTCTTGAACTCTATGTCTAACAACTTGGTCAATTTCATTATTCGACTGGCTGCTTGCAGAGGCGCAGCGCCCGCACGAGCGCTGTCCGCAGCCGCCCGGCGCCCTTCACCCCCGCTCGCCGCGTCTTTACGCGCGCTCAGGTATGTCCACTGTGCAACTTAATAATTTTCTGAACTTTAACCCGAGTTGAGGTGATGCGTGTGAGGATAGCAGACTCCTGGCTGCTAGGCGCACTTGTATTTCTTGAAAACTGTGCATGCCGCGGACTTACGATGGGTTCTTTGTAGTATGCATTGCCAATTGAGCCTTGGTTAAATGGGATCAGCCCTAGGCGGCAAGGTTGGAACTATAGCTCAGACGCCCATGGGAGCTCGGTTTGCTCGCGACAGGAGGCGGCTAGCGAGCCGACCGTAACTGACGAGGAGCTTGCACAGCTGGTCGAGGAGGAGGACGAGGATGAGATCCTGGAAGAGGTGTATGCCACCGCGGCCGATGACGAGGAGGAGGACGACGACTTTGAGCTTGACGAGGATGACCCCGATTTCCTGGCCGCTCTGGAGGCCGCCGCGCTCATGGAGGATGACATCGACCTGGAGACCGCGGCTGCTGTTGGCGCGGAGCTGGACGAGGATGAGGAGGATAAGGAGCTGGCCGCGGCTGCTCTCGAGGACGTACTCGCCGAGAAGTTGTCGGGCGACGAGCCCATCGGCGAGGCCGAGCTGGCGGAGATCACCGCTGGCGTGCCTGAGGAGGGCCTTGAGGAGGTAGGCCCTGTAACGGCTGGGCGTCATGCTTCTGCTCGGGAGACCCGGTGTGTTCTGCGATGGGGTTGCAACGCTGAGTAAACCCAGACCAAGCAGGAAACGTTTAGGGTCAATCCAACCCGTCAGCATCCATGTTATTCCACATCAAGTGAATACTCACTTCACAAGATCCCTCTGGAGGAAGTACTTGCAACAGGATGAGAACGATGTTTCCAACAAAACATCTCATCACGTCGGGGCTCTGCGTTGTCTCTTCAATAGTACACCATCCGTCAGCTGCAGCCTTTAACTGCTGCGGCCCTGGAGGGCGCGTGCACATCAGAGTTATCGGCTGGTCTCAGTTAGATAGACAGCAGAAGGGGGGACCCTAGAACAGGGGCCTCTGTCCGTCTGTGCCCGCTTCTGAGCGTGGGTAACATTCAGGATATGACTGGCGTGAACAAGCAGGCGGCGGCTTCAGCGGTCATGGTGACTGTGTAATGAAGCATCTATGCCGCCCATTGCGTTCTGTTGGATGTTGAAACACAGCTGGACGATTTCTGGCGGCTTTTACCCTACGCTTTTTCCCTTTAGGAACTAAGAGGTAGCTCGTCTTTGTAGCAAAAGCAAATGGCGCCTGTTGCAGTTGCCAAATCAGCTCAGCCGGCCTTGAAGCAACTGTGCGGACAGTGTCGCCCCCTTGCTGACCCCTGGGTTGTTGTTCCATTCCAGGCACTAACAGGACTGCATACTTGTTAATGTCCTCCAGGCCGATCTCGACGACTTCGTACCGGCTATGAACAGTGATCGCTACGAGGAGCGGGCGCTGTCAGCAGATGACAAGGAAGCCATTGCGCCGTACAAGCTTGCTAAGAGCGAGCTCCGGAATCTGCTGCCCCAGGTGTGTTTGTGAGTTCAAAAGGATGTCGGGCTTGCAGGCTTCACGGGCCATGTGGCAGGTGGTGAGGCAGTGGTGTAAGACAATGTCACAACACTGGATTGGTCGGGCACCAGTTACCCTGCTTGCAGAGGTACCTGCAGAATGCTTCAAAGTTGGGCTGAATGGCCAAAGACAAGACGGGCCTGGGCAGCATGGCGTAGTCCCAGCTGCTCTGCTTCCACACCCAGCCTCAACCCGCTATGTCTTTGTTGTGAACCCCTGTCTATCGCACATCTTCATCTAAACAGGACTGGGACCAAATTAATGTGGACTTCTTCTCCAACAAAAAGGACGAGAACATTCCACTGCCCGAGTTCCGCCTGAACGTGCTATGGACTGAGAAGAACTTGGCCGTCGCGATCGACCAGGTCTACTCCAGGGTGAGTACCTTCGTGGCGGTGCTTGGCTGTGCGTGCGTCCTTTGTGCATTGTCCACATGGTTAGTCCCCGGAAAAGACGTCTTGATGACGGGGTTGCGTTGCTATGCTCGCCTCAACCAAGTAATGCGACGCTTGGCCCCTGTGCCATGGGGCTGCGCTCGTGCCGCGGGCCCCTGCGGCCCGGATCTCGCCCGACGTGATGTGGCATCCATCCGTGCTTTCAGGAATGCCTTTCAGGCCACAATCGGCCCGGCTATTCGTTCCTCTTGTTAACTCGCTTGTGAACCCACATCACATCTGGTGGCCTCGGAACATTGCAGGGCCAAGTCAGCCCTCTGACGGAGTACTACTTCTGGCCTCGCCAGGACGCATGGGAAGAGCTCCGCGTCAACCTGGAGATGCGGCCATGGATATCTGAGCGGTGCGTCCGTAAGGGGTAATGGGAAGAAAGGAAGTTGCTACATTCTCGTGAGTATTTGCGTGGGTTTAATGCGTGTAAATTGATGGTGTATTGAACGTAGCCTCCCCGTTTTAATGAATAGCAGGTAATAGATACGGTGGAAGACTTGTAGCGGTGCCAATCCGACTTGACTCGTACTGGTTGGACTTCATTTGTGTCTTCGCTAAATCACTTGTAAACGTGCTCCGGACGCTGGTTGTGCTTGCAGGGACCGCATCATCCTTCTCAACCGGCTGACACAGCTGATTAACTTCTGGCAGGATGAGGAGGTTAAGCACACGGTGGAGGAGGCCCGCACTGAGTTCCCCGACTGTGCCTTCGCCATCGCCTAAGCACATAGGGCTGCACTTTTCGTGCATTTAGAAGAGTGCGGTCGTGGTTGTGAGCCGATAGGCTTCCTTTGGCCCGGCAGCTCACGCCGCTGGTTATGACGATGCGACCTTATGCCTGTGGCCTTCCGTAAGAGAGGAAGTCGCGTTGTTGTCTCTGTTCTGAACTACAATGGGCTTTTTCAGGTGTTGAGGAGCAAGACCAAGGAAATGGTGTTCCCGTTATGAGCGTGGATCGTTACTTGCCGCTTTTTGTGTGCATGCTATTCGCGGGCGACCCAGCCGGACGGCCAGTCGATAAGCACGTCTGCCGAGCATGGCAAGCGTGATGCCGGTTGTGTCAGGTTTTGCATCGCGCCAGACAGAACATCGTCCTAGGCACGCTGCTTAGGTCCGCATATGCAATGGAGGTTTGCCCTTCAAGATCTAGGCTGGGCGGGTTGCCCAACTTACGTGGCGCCTACATGTCACAGAGTGCAAGGATGCGGGTGGATGGGTATCCAGTGCGCCGGAAGCGTTGCTGGGTCGACCCACAGGCTCGTTGCGGGGAGCATGGAGAACTATTTGCGCGTAGACAGCAGGGTAGGGAGGGTTTTTCAGGTTTTTCCCGACGCGCACGGTGCGGTTCTGGACGCCATTTTTCACGAGGTTAGGCCGCAGGGCTAATCCGTGTCCAGTCGGCATACGTGTCGGGACTCTGGACTGTTCCAAATGCAAGGAATTTTGACGTTGACTGATGAGCCAACATGCGTGTATTACGCTACTTAAGGGACTCTGTGGTCGGTGTACGCACGCACCGAGTTTTGATGGCGACTCCCTGCGTCCTCCTCCGGTGCAACTTTTTATCCTGTACCGTCCTGGCAAGAGAGCCCTTGACGCCTCGAAGACCTCGGATTCTACCTGCTTCGGTCTGACAAAAGCAATTCGCACTGCCCTTGCTTGTATCCAGTTGGCAAGAAAGCGGAATACAGCGTCCGACGCCCAATGCATGTTGGACAACTGCTACCCCGGGCGTATGCACCACCACATGGATGCTCACTTCCCTGCACCACAGCACGAAATTCCTTTCGGCCTTCCAAACATCGCCCCAATACAGTTTGAGCGTTTCCCCGTTCAGCTGGCTTTTTGTTCCCTTTCACCATCCGTTTCGCCTTTCACTGTACATGAAACAACATATACTTCTCACGAGCAAACCCGCCCTGATCGTTGGGAAGAGCCCAGAAAACATAACACTCACCCTGCGCCCCGAAGGAATGCCCGCGGCAGGCCTTGCAGCGTTATCGGCCCCAAACACACCACCGCATCTATATCCACATCCACCCCCACCCCAGACCCCTCTCCCGCCTCCACTCTTGCAGGTGCGCCGTCCGCCCCGACAGCGGCTTTCCTCCCCAGGGCAGCTGACCCGGCATCGGCATCAGCTGTGGCGGCACCGCCGCCGTATTGCAAGCCCCCACCACCAGTGGCCCTCGCCAGCCGTGGCGGCAGGAGCGGCTGTGCAAACTCCGCCAGCTTGGGCAGCGCTGCTGCACCGCTGAACAGCGTCTCCGGCTCGAAGTGCAATTCCAGTCCAGGTCGTCGCCGACGATGCCTCAACCACCACGTAAGCCAATCGGCGGCGCTCTGCGGCCCCGTGGTGCCATCTGCTGTGCAAGGCGGGCCCTCCCCCCTACACCCGCCGTCTGACACCGGTGCCGCATCCGCCTCGGCCTTAGCTTCAGACGCACCACCCTCCTCACCCTCAAAGTCATCCTCGGCCGCGGACTCGTCCTCCACCTCGCTCATGTCCGCGCTCTCAGCTTCATCTGTGCTCCACGGCTCCACGTCTTCCTCCCCCTCCTCCCCCCACTCCCTTCGGCCTGCAGCAATACCTTTGCTCGCACTGGTCTCTGTGTCCGAGTCCGACTCGAAGTCATCACCGAACCAGCGCCGTAGCAGCCAGTCCGCCGGCGGCGCCAAATTGCACATGTCGCCACCCGTTCGGGCCACTAACACGTCGACAGTGGCGCCACTGACAAAGTCGGTGAGGCGCGCGCATAGAAGGTCCGTGCAATCGTCATCCGTGCATGGATCGGGCGGCACGGCGGGGGGCACGGGGCGCACAGCTATGCCATAACAGCGAGCACGACGGCTGTCGAGGCTGTGATTGCCGGTTCTGGTGATGAATATGTGGCCCATTCCGTGTCCCGCAGGCGTGACGGCAAGCTGGCAGAGACCCGTTACCTCCAGGCCGCTCCTAACGCGGCTGACACTGTCGCTCTTCAGATGCCGAGGAGCTTCGTCGTCGTGCGTTCCAATGACGATTGGGGTTTGTGCTGTGGTCACGGAAAACTCAAGCTCCGATACCGGGGCGTGCCGAGGCGCCTTTGTGAACCACCCTTGAGTGTCTACGTTTTGTTCTTGCGGTGGAGGAGCCGGCTTCAAGCTGTCGCGAGGCACCGTCGAGGGCCAGCTTCTCGCTTCTGGCGCCAACAGTAACGCTTCTTCAATTATGTATGGAACGCCTATGGTCGGTTCTTGGATTATTTCACGCTTACTCTGCCAGGGTGTTACTGCAAAATCCTGAGTTATGCGCGAACGCTCCCGCACCTTAGGCATGGCAACAATATTTCCAAGGAATTCGTAAAAGAAGCAACCTAAAAAGGACCTGTGTCAGACGTACTGGCGGGCATGGCTGCCAAGCATGCTCAGCACGGCAGGCTGTGTTACGTGAGTCACACCGTTCAGCGGACCAGAAACGCATGTGCTTTTTGGTACTCCGTTTTTCGGAGTTCCAGTAGAAAAGATTTACCAACGGGCAGGCGACCGTATCGACATCCTTGCTGCAGATGTTTAAGTGTTAAAGTAGGCCGCATTTCTCAAAAGGGTGACATCGTTCAAGAGGTACAGGGTTGAGCTTCATGATGTGAAGGAGTTGCGCTGCTTTGGCACTTGGTAGAGAATATAACGTCCGCCCCCCCATCACCCCCAACCCTGGACCGCACCCATCCCTCGCCCTGAAACATCTCTCCCTATGGCATGTCACCTTCGTCTGCGTCGCAACAGCGTTATATATTTCTGTCGCGCATGCTTTCATGAAGGCAACGGTGCGCGCGGCTCTCTTTCCTTGCTTCAGCGGCCTGCTTGCCGAGGGCCAGGCCCTCGGGTGCAGCGGTGGTTGAGTCCACTGCCTGCTACCCTTTTTCAAAAACAAATACCGACGCAACGGCAGCACGAAAAAAAAGGTAATGCCAAGAAATTTTACACGCTCTGTTACCCCTGGGTCAAGCCCGGCAACTTCGAAGTTCCTTCCTGTTGGCAGAGGCAGCGTGTACACCTGCCATACACGGCGGCCGCTTGTGAGGTTGGGCTCGTGGGAGCCTGTGCATAGCACTTGCTGCTTGCACACCTCGCGGTGCAGCTGGACAGAGCTGAGGCGGCGGGCGGTTGGGCCGATTCAATAATCGGTTGGGAAGCACTGAAGAGCACTACTACTATCGCCCCCCTGCTGTGTATTTGGCCCCCAGCACCAGCCCAGCACCAGCACCAACAGCAGCACCAGCACCAGCAACACCACCAACAGCACCAGGACCCGCGAGCGGCTCATCGGTTCACAATAACTCGATCCACGGAACTTGCCAGCAGTGCCAGACGACAAGCACCACGAAGCCCGGACAGCCGGGCGCCCAGCTCGTCCAACACCAGCGGAGGCCACAGGCGCCGCTGCCCAGCGTTGGGAACGTCTGCAAGACCGACGTCCTCCTTCACCGTCGTCGTACTCGCCGCCGTACCCTTGAGCTCCATCATAACACGCAGAGCCGCTGCCAGCTGACGGCACTCGTCCAATTCTGGCGCGGCTGCCGGCGCCAGCGGCGCCGCCGCTAGCCGTGCCAGCTGCTCCGCGTCACCCTCCCTCAGCGGCTTCACACAGGCCGCCGCCGCCGCCAGCGCGTCGCCGTACGTCGCGCCGCCATTCTGCAGCAGGACTCCCACGAGGTCTCGCAGCGCAGCAGCCACCGCCCTGTACGACAACGGCAGGTACAGCGTCTGCTGCCGACCCACATCATCACCATCATCGTCCTCCCCTTCCTCGCCAGACCCTTGCAGCTCATCGCGTTTAGCATCTGTCACCGCTTCCATTTCTCTTCTTCCCAACGTCGCGGAACCTTGCGAGCCTTGCAACGACAACGTTTGGGACGGCGGCCAAGAGCCCAGCAGCGGCGAAGGAGGCTGTAGCTGTAGCTGCGGCCCACCACCACGCTGTAGCTGCCGCTGTACTTGCAGGTGCTCTGCGCGGCGTGTTAGATGCTCCGCTGTCGCCAGCTCCCAGGCCCCTGCCCCTGGAAGCACGTGCCCCCGCTGCAGTGCCGCTAATAGCCGGTTGAAGCAGTTCTGAGGGCAGCCGGTATGGGGTGAGGGAGGAGGAGGAGGGGGATTGAGGGGGCGGTTGTTGGCGGGGCAAGACAGCGCAGATGGGATAGCTTATCCGATTCTACTCGAACATCGTGCGACGGTTGAGACGCTCCAGTCAAGTCACGGCTGCCTACCAGGACTATATGTGACTACACCTCCGTCTTTATTCCCCTCTTTCAGTTTGCTTCCCCTCCACCCTCCCCCTCCTGTCCAACTTCACCTCCCTGAGGGGGAAGGGCGGGGACGTGTTTGCCCTCACTTAACCCCCCTTGCCCGAACCCCCTCTTCCCCCCGCCCTTCGCGCGCTCTTCCGACAGTATAGTATCCCTCTCCTGGCAAAGGCCCTTCAGATCCTCCCACTCTCCCACCCGAAAGCATGCGCCCTGCGTCTCCAACTGGACAGTCACCGAATGAGCGAGAATCACAGTCACCCATCCAGGCGGCGCCACTGCAGCGGTAGCGGCGGCGCCGGTAGGCGCCGGCGCCGCCATCAGCCGCAGCAGCACAGCCGCCTCTATGTGACGCCGGCCGCTGGTGGTGGCTCGGTAATCCTCGAGGCCCAGGCCTCCCTGGAGCAGTTCCGCAGATACACGCGGCGCCACGTGGCGGCAGCCGTCCAGGAAGGCCCAGCTGGCGGCGGGTGTCACGCCGCAACATGCCGCCGCAGCGCGTACGGCACGCAGGCCCGCGCCGCCGAGCGCTAGTACTGTGCCGCCGCTGAGCTGGTGCAGCGCCGCCGCTACGTGATCAGGAACGTGGCCGCTGGCGAGGAGCATCTGCACGCCGAGGGGACGCAGCGCGGCGAGCAGGCGGACGGTGAAGGCCTCGGCGCGCGCGTCCGCGGTGGCGGCAGCGAGGCCGGCGGCGTCTGTGACGATGACGGTGCCGTACGCGGCATGTTCAGGCTGCAGGGCGCCATGGTAGAAGACGGCGGTTAACGTGACGGCGGCAGCGGATGGTGATGATGATGACGACGACGCGGCAAGCTCTGGGAAGAAATTTGCCGCCAACGCGGCCTGCAGAGGAGACAGCGCCGCCAGCGGCACCACCACGCCCCTCATGGCCGCGACCGCTGACGGCAACCGACCCATGAGCTCCGCCGTCAGCACGCAACGTTCGTACTGTAATGCACCCGCCACCTGCCGTACCTGTTCCGCAACCTCACGCAGATCCTGTTTGGTGCCGGCGGCGGCGGCGTCAGCACCGGCCGACGACGGCGGTGCCTCGCAGGGCTGTCGTACGCGCGGTCCTATTAGTAGTAGCAATGCCGCTGCTGCCAGCTGCATCTCCAGGCACCGGCCGTGCGACAACCCTATTGCGGCGGCACACACCAAATGAGATAACGGGCTCAGACAGTGCCGTACAGCAGAGCCGCCGCTACCATTCTTGCCGTCTCTGCCAACACAGCTGACGGCGCGCCGTGCTGCTGCATTGTTCCACTCGCAGGCCGCACTGTCGGTCAGCGCCGGCCCCGCCGCCGCTGCCGCCGCCGGTAGGTGCACCGACGGGTACAGCATCCGCGGCGGCAGTGCTGGCGGGGGGGGTGGCGCTGGCTCCGCCCCTGCAGCCACCCTTGCCACCGCACCGCTGACGCCGCCGGTTACATCACGCGGTTCAAAGCCGTCGTCGTCACCGTCATTGTCGCCTACTGCCACGAGACCGGAATTAGGGCGCAAAAACGATGCTCCCCGCCGGGATTGTACCGGGGGTGGTTGGGAGGATGGCGGCTGCATCTGCTGTGTCAGGAGCTTGGGCGTTTGCTGCTGTTGCTCCTGCACCACCAGCGTCGGTGCCGCCCCCGCTGCGACGGCAGCGGCCTCCTGAGCAAACCCCCGTTCTCCCCGCATCTCGTCAAACCAGCTAAACCCGTCATCATCATCATCATCATCATCATCGTTACCCTTATTGTTGTGATTATTGTTATAACGCCTGCCGTCACCGTCACCATCGCCGTCACCGTTGCCATGACAGGGCCCCTTGGGGCCCGCTGTGGCGGCGCGACGTGGGGCGCGTTGGAGGCTCCCACCGACGGCGGCGTCCATGTCCCTGGACTTGGCCAGCTCGGGCGCCATCCGGCCCCGCCCCCGCAGCCGCCGCCGCACTGCCCTAGCCTCCCGTTCGGCTTGTAGCTCGCCCTCGCCGAAGAACCATGCGACCTCCTCCTCAAGCGCCACTAGCGCCACCTCCTCCAACAAGCCATCACCGTTACGACCACCATCGCCATCTCCAAAAACAATGTCATAATGCCGGTCATCATCCTTACCGCCCCCCCCACTATCGTCGTCACCATCATCAAGCGCATCACCATCCTTCACTACGCCGCACCTACTGCCGCCACCTCCGCCTCCGCCGCGGCCCCAACGTTCGGGACCGTTATCTGCGGGGCCACACAACCCAACGATGGCTGCTGCTGCTTCAGCAGCGTTCTGCACGGCTCCTCCTGCTGCATCCCCACTTACTAACGCAACCACCGCCGCAACCGCTGTCGTACTAGCAGTCTCAGCAGCCAAAGCCATGCCTCCTTCCCTTCCTTGGACAAGGTCGGCGGTGCCTCGATGCAGACGGAGACCACCTCCCCCCGAGGATTCTTTACCGGGCCGAGCCATAGCCGAGTCCTTCGCAGATGCGGACTCTGCAGACGCCATCATCATTTCATCAAACCAGCCGAACTCGTCATCGACGTCGAGGTGCTCTTTGCCATCGCGACCCTCTTTAAATACGCTGCCGCCGCCGCCAGCACCGCCGCCGCGTTCGTGTGGCTCAATGTGACCGCCGTTGACACACCGACCCAATACACACACCGGCTGCTGCTGCTGCTGTTGAGGTGGTGGTGGCGGTGGCGACTGTAGCATCAATGGCCGAGTGGACTGCTGCTCGTCAGAACGCAGGGAGGATTGCTGCGGCAGCGGCGGCGGCAGCGGTGATGGCATCTGGGTTACACGCCCAGGACCCCAGCTTGTGGAAGCTGCCGCCGCCGCCGCCGGCTGCAGCTGCTGCTGAAGCGAGTGCAGCGGCGGATGACGTTCCTGACCTACCACCCGGCCTGCCGCCTCCAGCTCATGCCGTAAAAGAACTGAACCAGGTGGCGCCACAGCCGTGGATCCAGTGAATCCACTGCATGGCGTGGCGGCTGTAGCAGCTTCCGAGGCTGTAGCGGTCATCTGCAACGCGACTCCAGGTCTGTGTGGATGAGGTGCTGGAGCCGCCACCGTTCCTCCCCCGTCCGCCACTCCCTCGTCGTGATGCTCATCCTCGTTAACCCCCGCCATGAGCACTGAGACAGCCTGGTAGTACGACACCAGCTCCTGCTCGTCCCACAGCTCCGCAACCAGAGGGAGCTCTAGGGCACAGTCGCGAATGGCCTGTCAGGGGGTGGCGGTCCGAGGGGTATGTGAATCATACGATGCGAGCCACAACGTCTCAACATGCATCACGATAACTACTGCACTAATGGATGGGGCCCAGTGGCGGCGGGTAGTGGCATTCATGTCGGGGCCTGGGGCCGCCGGCATGGGAACTTCACTGTGCTTCGTGTAACCAGCAGGATCGCGATCCCTGACCGCTGCGGGGAATACTGACAAGCAGTTTCTTACACCGGTGAGGTGGACAGCCGGAAGAGTTCTGTCCTAAGGGAGCGAATGACCCGTGGCACAGGGGACACAGTGAACCTCTGGGCGGCCATTGCGCTGTTGTTAGGTAGAGATTAGCGGGGCCCGCACGGGCCGATGGGGTTGGGCGTGGACGGGAAGGATCGCTCGGAGACGTGTGCGCGCGTGCGTGCGTGTGTGTGTGTGTGTGTGCACACGTGTGCGTGCTCCACTCCTTTCCGGCCGCGTCCTCCATCGCACCTGGCAGCACTCGCCCACTGCCTGCAGTATACCACTCCGCACAGATTCGTACGGCACTCCCTGGATTTCCACGAGCTGCAGCATGTGGTCCAGCAGCATGCCGCACAGCACCCCCAGCCAGGTGGCACCAGAACCGGGACTGGGACCGACGCTGGGCGCATCTGAGGCGCTTGGAGCCTGGGGCAATACGGACAGGGCGGGTAGGGGGAGAAACGAAACAGAGCCCGGGACATAATGGGATAGGCTGGGCGAGTGTTCCTTAATAGCAGTGCAAGCCACTGGCTGCAGAGATGCGGATAGGGAAGCCCGTAAGCAGCGGGAAGAGGGGTAATCCTACTAGGGTATGCGCCCCATGCAGGGCAGAATTCTTATTCCGATACAGCTATGGTGTAACGGAATAATCAGGAGCTCGTGGACTTGTAGGTGAGGAGAAGGGTCACGGCTGCGTGGGGAATGAGCTAGGTGGCAAGGGTAAACGGTGCCGCTCCGCTTGCCTGACCCTCCAGAGCATCCAGCAGGAGGTGGGTTGCGGTCGGGTCGCCGTCCGCCGCAAGAAGTAAGCCGTGAGCGGTTCCCACGAGGCAGTTGCGTGCGTCAGAATTGACGTCGATGATGCACTTGAGTGCCTTGTGCGGCCCGAGGAAGGAACGCAGCACGGCGCACGTTGCCTGCAACTTTCGCGCCAACTCAAGTCGGGACATTTCAGCTCATGAACGTTATCTATAATGGTTGATTGTGCAGATGCATTCTAACACTCAAGTTTCTGCGTTAGCAATTCAAGCAATTAGGCACGCCGTACGTCCTCCGCGAACCCTGGTTAGGAAATGTCGTATCTTCTATACTCCTACAGCTGCTTTTGACTTTAAAGTTGCCTTAGTCTGTTGAGCTTACGATGAGCATCAGGCGCTGAGTTTCTTCAGTAGCGTAGGTTTACAACGTTTTCCTTGTATGCTAAGACGCCGCGGCCACATGTTGACTGAGATCTGAAAATTTCCTTGCAATTACGTGTAAACTGACGCACACATTAGGCACATGTCCAGCTTGCGAAGGACATCCTTGCATAGCAAGTCCCGCCCGTCACTGCATCCCAAATCACAATGCAACTGTGGCACGATGTTATCACACTTGCGTTTCTGGTTCATTAATTTGAATAAAGTCCACATACCAGGAAAGGTCTGGACCCAACTGTCGTTCGTGCTTTGGGGAAGTGTCGGAGGCACATGCAGAGACGCACATATAACTCAGCATGATCTTGTTCATACTTTGCCTGCTTGCAGTTCACACCTCGCAGAGGATTATAGCGAAGTGAAAGATTATCTAAGGGGGACAACACGGCCAAGCCCAGCAATAAGGCCCAAGGGCCTAAGAACCAGGGAGGATGAACCCACAGCAAGTGCATACGCTCGCGATGAAGTGGATGCCGATCAGAAGCATTTTCCTGTATAATCCAGCAACGGGGAGGATGCGCAATCGTCAAATCGTGACAACTACTGACAGCTCTGTTAGCAGGTCTCTTGGCTGTACGAAGCGCTGAGTCTCTTGGCTGTACGAAGGGGCCTCATGAATCGACACCCGCCTTTCGCACGGAGCGAGGATGGCCGCAGGAAACGATGCTTCAAGCCACACCCATACGTCGGGTATACAGGCTGCTGCTGCCCAGAGTGCCTTACCAATGGAGCTCCAGGGACCAAAGGTCGGGAATACACGTTTGACGCACTCGAAAACCCCAGGACGGCAGCTCGTTAAGCACTAAAGCACACTGGTACGCATCTGTTCACGTACCTGTTATCGTACAGCGTCCGTCATGCATCCACCCAGCTATACGCGGCTAAATAGCCGAAGCTCCTTTCAACCTGATAATCACACCTCCTGGGGGTTGTCTTTCCTGCTTTTAGGCCCACGAGCTTAGGGCCTGACGGCAGGCACGGAAGCAGAAACAGCAAGGATATTGTGCATGGTATCCAGCAAACCAAGGAGGTGCCGACGAGATACGGTAACGCTCGCATCGCGGCTGTGGGAAGAAGGGATGGCCCTGTGTGACAGCGGGGATGGGAGGCGAATTCCCTTCGAGGAACTCGAAGGGGCAATTCTACACTGCTGACAGAAGAGTGCACGAGGATAAGTTTCGTCCATTCGCATGCCTTGCCAGCGGCCCCAAGAGGCTGGGATAATGCGAAACGTCCCTGCGCTGGAGCAACACTTTAGCGACATATTGTGCAAATGCGGAAAGTGTTTGACCTGCCGGCAGGAGTTTTGTAATGTGTCGAGCGGTAGACTTCATTGCAAAGTGCACGGCAAATGTGAGGACCCCAAGTTCGACGCTCTAAAAAGTGCAATTTATGCAGCGAAAGACCTCGACCTCCTTGGTCTTGCAGCTTGGGCAATGCATACAAATCACGAATTATGAAGTGGCGTCTCAGGCTCACTTCCTGACTGCATGTCGTTAGTTGGTGGACAGAATATTTGCCGAGCTGGCTGCCTGAGGACACGCTCGGCCAATGTACGGACCCGTACTGATACTGTGTGTGTGCTCAATCTCAGCTTCTGGACGACAAAGACCTGACTACTGGACCGTAACCAGAAGCGCATTGGAAAAATAGCTTATTGAACACATGGTTACAGGGCTCTATACAAGCCCCCTTGAAGTTTACAGGAGGACACAAATTCAACTCAACAAACCGCCGGCGCAAGTGGCAACAAACTGCCGAAAGGGACCTGATCAGCCTGTGCATAAGTTGACGCTCGCGCAGCGCCGTTTAGGTGAGCATGGAAGAGGCCGTTGAGAGTGGAGATTGCGGCCGTTTGGCGCGCGGACTTGCTTGCAACATTCTTTTGGATGCTTGAAGGGGCGAAGTATATGTTGATGTTATTATCAGAGGGCCTCTCGCGCGCGCACGTCGTCTGTACTGACGCGTGCTGTTGACGGAATTGGACGGGGGAATCATACTGTGTTACTATCCTGCGTCCATCTGAGGCTTTTGGCGCGTTGGTTGGAAGGAAAATTATCTAGCGCTTTTGCGTGCAACTGTGGCTGCCTGCGGAGGGCGAGACGGAAAAGAAACTTCGGACTTGCTTGCACACGTCGCTCGCTATTCGGGGGCAAGCTGGAGCAAACCTGGCGTCCGTGTGCAATTTGCTGTGTTGCGTATAGGTATTTAAATATATTTGTCCAAGGAGTTTGTGGGCGCGGGTTCCAGGGCCCTCCAGGTGCGCTGTGAGGCCCATCCCGCGGGCACCTAACGCACCATGTCACGTGGCCTGGACCCATGCCTGCTCCAGTACTGCCCAAAGTCTGAGGCGGCCATCTCCGAAAAGCTCATGGACCAACTGGATAGTAAACTATTACATGCCTAGGAGCCATGATCCCGTGCTGGTGCTAGGCGTTGCTACGTCGTGAAACGTCCGCTGCGACTGTTGGCACCATCCTCAAGAAGGCTCCGTTCATTTTGTCACATGCTACACTTGTCGCAATTTCCGACAGTAGACGAGTTATAATGGCTATGAATTGCTGCTCCGGCAGCAACAGTGGCTGTTGCTGCCCCGTTGTGCTTCCCCGTGAAGGGAAGCACAATAAACGGAGCAGCAGCGGCAGCTCATGACTTCAGCCCGGAGGCAGGGAATATGGGCAGCTTCTCAGTCGGCTCCCACGCGTGTTGTTACCTGACGATGCAACAACGCACCGCACGCTGGCATTACACCCCTCACGCTCCACACACCCACACGTTCCCCTGCCTCCTGCCATGGCTAACCTGCTCCCTACCCCCTCTCCCCACCTCCATCCCTCCTCTATCCCCCGTTCCCGCAGGCGGTGTATACCTTATCACCGGGGGATCCCCATCGGCCTGCCACTTACACCGTAGGTCCATCTCCGGCTTCGTCAGTAGCCATCGCTGCTGCTGCCGCCGCTGCCGCCGCTGCCGCCGCCGCCGCCGGGGCTCCCGGCGGCTGTAGGGGCAGCTGTGAGGGCACCGCCATGGTAGCGCATTCCCAGGCAGAAGGCAGTACCGGCACTAGTGCACCCCCTGGACTGGGTCCGCCCCCTAGAGGCCCTGACCGCGCCTCTTCCGCCTTCACCGCCTATGTACGACCCTACCCGGCGGCTGGCACGTCAAGCATTCTGATCCATGGTGGCGGCGGCGGCAGTGGCAGCGGCGGCAGTACCGACGTAGCGGCCTCACCCTACACGGAATCTATGGCAGCCGCCACTGCTACAGCCGCCGCTGCTGGCGCTGGGGCTGCTGCCAGCAATGGTGGAGGCAGCTGCACTTTAGAGCATTTTCCGGTTGCCCCCCGTCACCGGAACCACCATTACAGCGGTGTGCAGAGCCAAGGCGGCAGCTACAGCCACAGCTACAGCCACACCGCTGCGAGCTCGCACCGAAAAGACCTAGGCAGCAGCGAGCCGGCGCCGTCGTTACATCTGCCATCACACCAGCAGCAGCAGCAGCTGCGGCAGATGCAGCAACTGCTATCCTCGCACAGCTTAGACAGCCGCGGGCAAACGCACACGCACCGACAGGCGCACCTGTTAGGGAAGAGCGCCCACATGCACTTCCACATGGACGGGGCTTACTCCACGCACAAGCGCCCGCACAGCCATGCGGAGCGGTACGGCCAAAGTTCCGCCGGCAACGATTACAATCACCACCGTCACCACCAGCCTCATCACCATCCCAGCGACTTGGATCCCATGAATCGGTTAGTGGAGCTAGCTACAGCCGCGGCGGCGGCGGCCGCGGCAGGATCTGGCTCGGGATCCGGATCCGCGTCGCCGTCCAACCTTGCGATCAAGAGTGAGGATTGCGATCCGATGCGAGGCTTGGGAGGCGACACGGATTTGGATCCAGAAACCGACCAAGCCAACGGTCACCTGGAGGATGGCGACGAGGGGATGAGCGAAGGTGGCGGCGCCGACGGCGACAATGAGAACGGACTGGACCCCGAAGACGACACCAAGTCTGGTGTTTTGGATCCGTCGTACGCTGCCAGCGGCCGTGCGGTGGAGCGCGAGCCGCCAGTGGCTGTGGGGGAAGGCGGCGGGCTTGCCCCGGCCCCGGCGGCAGGGAACGCGCAGCAGCTGGCTGCGGCTGCGGCCATGTTGGAGCTCGCGCAGGCTGGCGGTGGCGGGGCCCGCCACGGTGCCGGAATAGCGGCCGCCGTCAACGGCTCGCCAATTGGCGTCCTGGCAGCGGCGGCGGCGGCGGCCTCCGCTGGAGGGCCGCCAGCGGCGACGCCGCTGCTGCAGCTCCTTGCTGCCCAGCAGCAGCAACAGCAGCAGGGACAGACGCTATCCGAACTGATTTCTGTGCTCTCCGGTTCTTCCGCTGCCGCTGGTGGCGTCTCCGGCGGCATCAGCGGCGCAGCGGCAGCCGTACTACAGCACCTGGCCACGCAGGAGCAGCTACAGCTGGTACTACAACAGCAGCAACAACAGCAACAGCAGGTGGCGCTGCTGCTGCAGCTGGTACAAGCTGGCAGCGGCGGCGGCGGCGGCTTGGGGACAGGTCTGGGTGGCCTTGGCGGTCTCCTTGGCTTCGCAGGGCTTGGAGGCGGTGGCGGTTTCGGAGCGGGTCAGGGGAGTGGCGGCGTCCTAGGCCAGGTCCTCGGCTTGTTAGGGCCCCAGGCGCTGGCGGGCTTGGGCGGCCAAGGCGGGCTCCAAGGGGGCCACCAAGGAATTCTGGGGGCGCTCCTGGGCGGCGGCGGCGGCGTTAGTGGCGCTACGGCCGCTGCTGCTGTCGCGGCTCAGCAGCAACTGCAGCATTTACAGCTGCAGCAGCAGCAACAACAGAGTCAGCAGCAGCAGCAACAACAACAACAACAACAGACTGCGACCATTCCGACTGCTTTGCCTCATGCAAATGGGGTTGCGGTGTCGGTGGATCCACAGGGCCATGGCCAGTCTCTGCAGACGCGACCCTCGACATCCTCAGCACCCGCAACATCCGGACCACTACCGCAGCAGCAGCAGCAGCAGCAGGTGCCGCCGGTGCGGACTGCAACGACGGCTGCGACGCAGCGAACGTGTTCACCGGCGCCTCCGCAACCGCCACCACCATCACAACAACAGCAGCAGCAGCAACCATCACAATTCCAAAACCTACTGCAACAACAACAGCAGGACTCCCAGCTTAGGAAAGCATCACACCAACACCCCCAGCAGCAGCAGCAGCAGCAACGGGAGCAGCAGCACCTGCAGGGGGCATGTAGTCCGAGTGACGCGGATCAAGGAGAGTCGAAGGCCCCCGGCAGCCCGCCAGAGACTACTGCGGCTACAGCTGCCGCCGCAACAATGATGGCGACGACGGCGATGGCGCCTTCAGCGACGCCGCCGCAGCAGTCGTACAACCAGTTTGCGGACATTGCCAACGCGCAGCTGGAAGAGGCCACGGAGGAGGGCGATGAAGACACCGAGGAACGAGAGGACGATCGCGACTCAGACACCTTCGATGGTGGGTCCAACTAAACTGGAATGTATCACCGCTACTGTTGCTACGGCCGCTATTGACACTGCTAATAAGCGCATCATGCCCCTCGATTGGTGTTCCTTTTTCCTTCCTTGATCCCTACTTTCCCCTACTTCCCGCCTATCCATAAAGCCCCTTCCTCGGTTATAAATGCGGACGCGGGTACGGGCTCCCCTGGCCCCCGGGTACTGGCGTCCCCCCGACCCGCCCCTTTCCGCACCCGTTTTCTAAACCCCAACTTCAAGTTCCGACCGGCGTTTGTCTTCCTACCTACCCGAGCTTTCCACTGCGAGATCGCGTCTCGGCTTGGTCTGCTGAATACAGCCCGCCGCAACTCCCCATCACCGACCGCAACCGCCTCACGCCCGTGGCCTATCCCCAATCGCCATCCCACCCCCAGGTGACGGAGGTGACGGCGGTGACGGCCTGGAGGGCTTCCTGGATGAGCGCATGGTGGTGGTGGCGGCGGGGGAAGCGCACACCGACAAGGCCTGTCAGGTGGGGTGGGGGGTCGGGTAGGTGGGTGGGGGGTTAGGGCCAGATGGAGTGGGGGGTCGGAGTGGGTAGGTGGGTAGGCGAAATTCGATCCGAGGACATACGCCAACACCCAACTAGCGATAGGGCTATGCCCCCTTTCACTCTCCTTTCCGCTCCCCTTTCCCTTTCCCTTTCCATCGATCACTCTATGTCTGCACACCCCAGCTTGCATCCACTACGTATATGTTACATATAAGCCGTATGTATTATAATATTATATATATAATAATATGTATACATGTATATACATATTATAATAGTAGTTCATGAGACAACACGCCTGTCCTGTCCAAGTGCAGTACATATTATACGTACTTAGGCGTACATTATATATGTAATGTAATGTAATTATATATTAATATATATTAAAATATTATAACATATGTATATAATATATGTATATTTGTAATATAAATATTTAAAATATATTTTTATAATATATATTTATAATATAATATATATTATGTATAATATGATGTGTGAAACAGGGGGGTATATCTTCGCCCGTGGCAGCTACCCTGCGAAACCCTGCCTTCCCCGGTATTGCGGGGAACTCTCATCCAGTCACCCTAGTCAACTTCTCAGTGGATCGCTCAGGTTCCGCACCCACCACCAGCATCCTACGGAATCTGGCGGGTCGACAGCGACCCAACTCCTTTCCTGGTCGGCTCGCAGGTTAACTTTATCCCAGGTCACCACCGTCCAACTAGGGGCGCAATACCTTCCACCATCGGAAGGATTTTTTACCCTAACGGGTCGCGCGTTACCAGTAGTGCCAAACCCTAGATATAATATGTATAAGTACGTATAATATGTACTTCATCTGCACTAGGACAGGACAGGCGTGTTGTCTCATGAACTACGTTAGCTTTTCAAGGCCGTGCCGCTTGGCGTTTACCTTGCTACAACCTTGCTACAGCTAGCAGCTGTTTTCCTACATCACACATGCAGTGTTCTCACTCTTCGCCGTCCCGATCTCTTGCACATATCTTTGCAAAATAATCCTTCCCCCGCCCTTCCCCTTGGCGTATCAGTCGGCATACCTCCTCGGCATCAGCTTCACTCGTTCACGTGGTGCTCGCCTTCCCCTCTTCCCCTTCCTCCTCTTCGCACCAGGTCACGCTGGTACCCGGCTCGCCGCTGAGGTTCCCTGGCAGCCACCCCCCGCCGGGTCGGGGCGGTGCCGCCGTCGGGGCCGTTGCGGCCGTGGGTTCCAAGCGCAAGGCGGCCGCAATGATGACCGGGGGTAATTCCAGCGCGGCCTGTACGTCCAACGGACATGGGAGCGGCGGCAGCGGCGGTTTCGGGGCCAGCGGCGGCAGCGGCGGCGGCGGCGGCGGGGAGGAAAACAACGGCTCCGCGGCCGGCGAGGGCGGTGACGGGACCTGCAAGGTATGTAAACGGGGTTTGGGGGGAAATGGGCTCTTGCGGGATAGAGGGATGTGGGGGGAAGGTGTTCGCGGGTCTGCTTGCTTGACCTGGTATGGATGGATGTGCGGATGGATGTGTCCATGCATGCATCCATCTGGCGTTGTGTCATGCGGGCTAGCAACCTGGCTGGCTGTGTTTGCTGCAGATGCGATTGCTTGGCGCCCCGAAACCAGTAACCTTTCCTTCCGTCCGTTTGCTGCTTTGCTCCGAAACTGTCTCATCCTCCCCTGTCCCGTCAGGCCCCCAAGAAGCCCCGCATCAACTGGAGCCAGGAGCTGCATGCCCGCTTCCTCAACGCCATGTTCCAGCTGGGCATCAAGAACGCCGTGCCTAAGACCATCCTGCAGCTGATGAACGTGGAGGGCCTCACGCGCGAGAATGTGGCCTCCCACCTCCAAAAGTACCGCATCCTGCTCAAGCGCCACGCACAGCTGCCCGCCAACGCGCCCCTCAACCCGGACAACCTCCGGAAGCTGGAGGTCGTACAGCAGGTGAGTGGTTCGTCATGTCGTACGGTGTCGTACGGTACGGCTAGGAGGGAAGGGTAGAGGGATGGGTAAGGAAGGGCAGATAAGGGGTCGGGTTAGGGAGGGGTGTGTAGAGGAGAGGTGCTGTGGGAATCTAAGGAGGGGCGGCACCATACTGCTGTGGGTATGGCCACGTGTGTGTTTGTGTGTGTGCGTACGTACAACGTGTGCGTGTACCGCCGCGTGTAGCCACAAACCCGATGAATCCCCCCGTGCATTCCGCGTCCCTGTGCGGTGCTGTGTGCTGAACAGGCCGTACAGCAGAGCATGCAGCAAAGCATGAGCATGCAGGCCGGTAGTGGCGGCCAGGCAGCACTCATCAACGTCGCCGTTGGCGGCGGTATCGGCGGCACCCTGAGCTACCAGGACCTCATCAGCCAATG